ATGACCCCCAACAGCGTCCTACATTCGCGATTTTCCCTCGCACAGCTTAGCTTAGCACCGCACCGCACCGCACTGCACCACTGCGGTGCTGCCTTCAAGCCACTGTCTGCCTGCCATCCCACCCACCCGCACACTCCTACTTGGCCAAGCTCACACACTCACATCACCATCCCTCCTTTTTCCGCCACCCTTTGTGCTTGTGCTTCTCTTTTCTTTCGTTGCTTTTCTACACTTGTCGTTTGACAGCATTTCTTCTCGGTTTTCCACACTCTCACTCTCAGTACTGCTGCTTCCTTGCCCCCCACTGGCTTAGTGGTAGGGTACTTCCTAAAAACTCATTCCTAACCTAGAGGTTAACCGCCGAACCTCAATCTCAGTACCAAACTCTACTTAATACTACTCTCTAAACGCACTCCACTCCTCCTCTCTTCATTTTCATCATCTCTCCTCTCACCTCTCACCTCTCACCTCCGATTGCAATGTATATACATGTGCACATATGTATGTATGTATGTATGTATGTATGAATGAATGTATGTATGAATGTTTGTATGTATGTAATTGCTGCCTAGAAAGCCTTGCTTGCTAGTTTTGGTTGCCTTTCGTCCGTCCCGCCTTTTCTAGCAAAAATTCCTAAAAATTCGCCTCTCGATTTGATTAATCAGAGCCCGAAACAAAGGTAGGGGGGAGAGAGGGAACGGCTAAAGAGCCATGAACTGAAAGCCCCTTAAATAAAAATAGGGTGGGGGAGCAAACACAAACATAACGCACAAAAGGTTGACCAAGGGTGGCGGAAGAGGAAAAGGAGGAGGAGAGAGAGAGGAGAGGAGAGAGAGAGGTTAACGCGTAATAAGTATGCCCCAATTTAAGCTTTGATTGGCGGGAAACAGAGTGCTGAGCCGTGGTCTAGGGCGCGGGGGGCGCGGAGAAGCAAAGCAACGGCATATTTCACCGACGACCATCGAAAACGTGCGCAAAACGAAAACACAGATAAGACGGACAGACGGACAGATGGACAGATGGAAAGATGGAAAGATGGACAGACGGACAGACGGGGAAAGATAGACAGACGACGGCAAACCGCCCGAAGGACAAAGAATGAAAAGCGTGTTCTTTAGCTATCCCTCCACCCAAATCGCCCCCGCCCGACCACTCCACCTAAGGATTGGCCAGTTGTCGCCTGCTTATCGGTCGCACGCCTCATACCCACATTCGCATACACAGAACAGCCACACGAACATGCATGCTGTTCAGGGCATGGCGGGGTAGGGCAGGGTCTGGTCTGTCTGTCTGTCTGTCTGTCTGTCTGCCTTTCCCAGTGTCAAAGAGAGTCGACAAAATAGCCGATTGGTTTCTGTTCGCAAGTGTCTCTCTCCAGCTATCTCCCTCCCTCGCCCCACAAACACAAACAGCCACATGCCCATGCCCATGGCTTATTATGTCACGATCTACAATGTGGTTGGCGTCTTTGGAGATTTTATGTACATCACTTGTCGGCTGTGGGCTCTGGATTGTGGATTGTGGATTGTGGACTGTGGACTGTGGATTGTGGCTCGTGGGTTGGGTGTATTCCTCATTTCTGACTCATCCAGGATGATCTCTTCTATTATAGTCTTATAAAAACCACAAAAGCGAATGCGTCATGGTGGGTCGGGAGACAGGCAGGGAGGGAAATGTGTGTATGTGTGTGTGTGTGTGTGTGTGTGTGTGTAAATATTCATATCCGAAGTCAGTTCGCAGAATTGGTCGATGAGAAAACAAAGCTCACTGTCCTGAAGACTAAGTTGAGTCGCCGAGATAATACAGTGGACTTTAATAGATCTAGAATCTAGATCCAACCGCTATCAAGATCTTATCGCTCGGGTCTGATAAAGTTCAGTGACGACCAGTGGATTATATGTAGCAGTACATAATGTATGTACATACCTCACATCATTCCACCTTTAATATCTTTGTAATCGCACCCCACCTCTCCCTGATTTCATTTTGCTGTATGGTGGGCATTCATTGGTAGCGAGGCTCATATCCAAGCACACCCTACATTCACAAACACTGCCACTGCCACTGCCACTGCCACTGCCACTGCCACTGTGGGCACTTGTGCAATGCTGGGCTCTCTACTCACCTTCAGCCCGCTTTTCGCCCCCTTTTTCCAGAGGCTCGTCTTCTCTTCCGGCTCCCCAAAGTCCCCTGGTCTTGTCTTCCTTTTGGCACCTCATTTGGTTGGTCAGCCCGCTGCGCTGCTCTTTGTCTGCATGTTCGTCTCCGACCTCCCTCGTCATCATCTACATACATACATATGTACATACATACACACAAACATATGAATGTACATAATGTACGTCTTCGTTGTGGGCTTCGACTGTGGCTTCAATTTGGAGCTGTTGCTTTTGCTGGTGCCTCGGCTGCTCCCATTTTCTTTTGGCCATCCATCATTTCAAGTTAACGGTGCGCCTACCGACGACCAGCCAACAACAAGCATTAAACGCAGCAAAAGCAACAATGAAACTAACACACTTTTTTCGCTTGCTGGCACGCTGGCTGCCGCTACCTTGCCCTCCACCTGTCCTCTTGCTCTGTCTCTCTGTCTTTGCCAAAGTGTATTAAGGTGCAAGGTGAGGCTCTGCCAGAGAGAGGCTCGCTCGCTCTCTCTCTCTCTCCCTCTCTCTCCCCGCTCTCTTTGTGTAATGCATTGAAAGTGGCTGAAGAAAATATGCAACTCGATTATGGGAATGCCTCCTCTTTTCCCCTTTTTCTATGTCTACCACTGCCACTGCCTTTTCCCCCATTTGTTTCCTCTTCTTTTACCTCTCGCTGTCTGTCCAACACACTTTTTCTTCTTGTCCCTCCCCCCGCCCGGACACGGCTTCTGTTGTACGCTTTCTGTTTTTTTTTTCTTTCTATAAGACGAGCAATTTTGTTGTTTTCGTATTTCGCTGCTGCTTTTGGTTTTGCTTCTTCCTCTCTTTCGCTTTCTTGTTGTTGTAAAGATTCCTCTATACTTTCGCTTTTTGTGTGTTTGTGTTTTTTGTTTTTGTTTTTCTTGTTTTTGTATTTGTTTTCGCCACAAACCTACAGCATGTATGTATGTATGTATGCATGTAGCGCCTGCCCACTTTCCTTCATCGCACCCTTGAAGCGTACCCAGGGCATACAACCACCGTTCCAGCACCTCCCTGCTGCCGCATTATTTCTGTCAGTTATTGCTTGTGTTGTAACTGTTGTTGTTGTTGCTGCTGCTGCTGCTGCTGCTGCGTTTGCTGTCTCGCTTTAATAGTCAAAATTGACATGCTCTGCTGCGTATTTTAATGCGTGCTCACCCCACCACCCCACCATCTGACCCCTCCCCTCTTCCACAACCACCTGCCACCTGTCACCCGCCACCCGCAACCCGCCACCCGCCACAGTGCCACCACGCCACCCATCAGTGCGACTTTTTCCTCCACACAGGTGGAGGTCCCTTACTTTTGACCCTACACTGAGAGGGTACTATGATATTTTCTGCAGATGCCGCCTCGGGCATCCCTCCTCTCTGGAGGATCGAAGGACCATTGTGGACCAAATCTATGGGCCTGACCGGCTGCTTAGTGGGCTGATCTCCACCGGATAAACTATGGAAATAATGCCATAGCCTTTCTTTAGGGCTCTTGCCAAAGGAAGGGAGCTTTCAGGCGCTTGCTTACTTCTCTTCCTTTTCCATGGACAATTGTGGTATCTTTTTGTTGTTATTTGTTGTTATTTAGGATAGAAAATATTTAGTTTAGCCAGGTAAGGACTATTTTGATTTCGTTGGTTGATTGATCAATTCATGTGTCCGTTCGGCTATGGAAAATTTGTACAGCAAATTAACTTAGCTCGCATCATTGGCCGAACGTGCCCGAATGTCTCAACTCTAGGGGTACTCTACATATATGAAAACTATGAAATGTACATTCGTTGAAACTCTCAAGCGTTACCAATTGCAGGCTGCCAAGATCGAAATACTACAGATAAATCCCATCAATATCTGTGAATTCAAATTAGATGTTTTTTGGCCTGTTTTGATTAAATTCAATAGGGTCGTAGAATAGAATAGTCCATTGGCCAGCAGGAGAGTATCAACAACTTCGAGGCGCCGCGGTTGCCTTTCATTCGTTACTTCTTCGAACTTGCTCAACCTTCCCGACTTCCCCCGGGAATTCACATATACATACATACATACCATACATACATTTGATGGGTGGGGGCGTGGAATTTCTTGGTAGACAGTTGTTGTTGTTGTCTTTTATTGAAGGAGAAATTAACTGAAATTTACTTCGCTGCTGGTCACCAAAGCCACGAACGGCAATGCCGCAAACAGTTGGCCCAGTTAATTAAAAGCAGAGACCCCAAAGTTCTCTTGTATCGCCATGGCTCCATTACCTCTTACCCCATAGAACCGCCCTTACCAAGGAACCAAATAAACGGAGCTGATGTCAGGCGTCAGGTTTTCTGGGAAGGAGAAGGTGTGGGGGGAAGTTGCAAAATATCGGTGTTGAGGGGGGACACTGTTAATGGGAAGAACGTTCATTAATTAGAGGAAGTCGTATATCCTCGATAAGCTATTGATGGGCTATCGATTTGTGTTGGTATGCTCGATACACTATTTGTACGTATCAGTAAAAATCGATTGCATAGCAATCGATCATAATAATCGATAAAAAGTACGATAGTTGATAAACATCAGATTAATATCTCTCGTCGGTATCAAATGGAAAACGGCCTCTCTTCATCCTTCTTTCAATTGAAATTGAAATTGAAATTGAAACTGAAACAGAAACATTGTAGCCATGCAGCCATTTACATCCATGTTTTTTTTAGTGTGCTTGTGGCCAACTCTTGACTAACTTTCCCTTCACTTTCTCTCTTTTTCTGTGCAGAACTGACGGCCGAAGTCCGGAACTGGCTCGTGAGAATCTCTTCCAGCCAAATATGGACGATGCTAAGCCGAACAACAACAACAACAACAACAACATCAACAGCAACATCAACAGCAACATCAGCAACGCCAAATCCCAATACGGAGACTGCTCTTCCACGGGTCGCACCATGTGCTCCATTGAAAACCAGCCGATGCGCCAGCAGCCGACCACTCCCGCATCAGCCGCTGCGCAATCCGCCACGGCGGTCGTCCGGAAGCGAAACCTGTCCAGCAGCAATCTGGTGAACGACCTGGAGATACTAGACCGCGAGCTGAGCGCAATCAATGCGCCCATGCTGCTCATCGACCCGGAGATCACCCAGGGGGCGGAGCAACTGGAGAAGGCCTCCCTCTCTGCATCCCGCAAGCGAATGAGGAGCAACAGCATCAGCGAGGACGAGAGCGACCGGTTGGTGCGTGAAGCCCTATCCCAGTTCTACATACCGCCGCAGCGCCTCATCTCGGCTATCGAGGAATGCCCCCTGGACGTGGTCGGACTGGGCATGGGGATGGGCGTAGGCATGGGCATGGGCATGGGCATGGGCATGGGCATGGGTATGGGCATGGGTATGGGCATGGGCATGGGCATGGGTATGGGCATGGGAATGGGCATTGGATCGAGCGCTGGCGCCTCCATGGACAGTCCAAACAGCAAGCGCAACAAGCTGTCCGTCGACCACCACCACCATCACCATCTCGAGCTGGACGATTTCGACATGAACCAGAACCAGAAGGACTTTGAAGTGATAATGGATGCCCTGCGCCTGGGCACACCCACGTCTCCCAGCGTCGCCAATGACTCGTGCGGCCAGGCAGCCATGTTGAGCGAGTCAGCGAGTGTGTTTCACAATCTTGTGGTCACCTCGCTGGAGACATGAAAGTATCAGTAAATCCCTCTGAAAGATGAGGACCAGTACGCTGAGGATCGGAGAGCGTAGAGCGTAGAGCGGAGGAGCAGACAAAGAGTTAGGTTATGTAAGGTTATGTACAAGTACACATACTCACACACACACACACACACACACACACACACACACAAACATCTCTAGGTTATAACTAGCATCTAGTGAGAGCGAGCGAGATGCCAGTATTACTCATTGCGAGCATATGGGGCGCCCTATGATGGCCACAGAGAGAGAACCAGCCGCGAGCAGCGGTATCTTGCGGATTGTACAAAGAAACATCAAATATTTTAGAAGATAAATCAAAGAAAGAGCGGAAAAGAAATAGAAAGTAGGAAGAAGCAGGAAAATAACTACATTTAGAGAGAACATAGAACAAATGGAGACAACAAATGAAAAAAGAGTATAACAAAAATCAAAGAATTTGTAGTCAAAATGCAAAGAAAGAGAAAGAAATACAAAAAACAAAACACACATAAATTATTTTTTTAAAGAGAGTAACAGAATTGTAAGCTTCATTGTATATCTCCCTATAAATACATACATACTTAAATATATCTCCATTTAGATAAGACAATAGTTGGTTTCCGTTTTGGTTACGCAGAGAACTCCATTCAGCATGAACTTCCAATCCAAAACATTAAGCAATCGAATCAATCAAAGGCCAAGCACATTCCAGGGTATGCCCAGTAGATGTTCCGCTTCCCTTTCTTTGCACCCATTTTCCACACGCTGAGATGTCCTTGGAGTCTCTCTCCTAGTTCCTGAACTAAACTGAACGTTGTTCTGAACACTATTGTTTATTTTGTTCCGTATTTTTAAAAAATATTTTATACAACAACCAATTTTGTATATATCTCAAGGATATACATATACATATACATATAAATAAATACATATGTATGTATGTGGACATATATGGATAAAAGACGTTATCCTAGTCACTGAATTCAAGCGAAAGAAAACAGTTTTCGTGAAAAATAGCCCACAAAAAACCACACAAAATTATAACAAAAATGGTTTCAATTGTGTAAATTGTTAAAAAAAAAAAACAAAACAAAATAAGAAAGAATTATTTTTTCGAATTGGTTTAGTTTTACTATAGTTTTCCCCCCAATTTTTCAACAAAAAATCATCACGAGATTGATTATAAAGGAAAATGTTCATGTTCGAAGACACCTGCAACAATGTTGATTCAAAATGGCAATTTAAAAATTAAAATGAGATAAAACCAACAAAAAAAAAAAAAAAAAAAAAATACAAAAAAGTGCAATTAGAATTTTTTAAATGTGGAAGCAAGCCTCAAACAAACAAACAAACAAACAAAAACAAACAAAATTAGAAAGAAAACCAACTAAAGTGCATTCAAAACAAGATTTAAACGAAAATCAAGCAAATTAATAAAATCTTAAGATATATTAATTCTTACAGAAAAATGAAGCAACAATATTTATAAGGTAGAGAAACAAACATTTTTTCTTCGAACAAAAGTGAGATGGCTGTGATAGAATAATTAAGTTTTTTTGACTAATGAAAAAGAAAAACAACCACAAATTGTTATTAAAAGAAAAGAAGATTACAAACCAAGAAAAAAATTTAAAAAAAAAAGAACAACAAAATGTAAATGCAGAAAATCATGAATATTATGATCTATGTATAAAATTAACATTTAGTATTAGCGAACAAACAAAATATTTATAAAGAGCAAGAGGAAGAAACGAGAGAGTTGCACTTTCTTTCCGAGCGAAGAGACAGAGAGGATTACTCTCTTGTGCAACTTTCGCTCGCCTGGCTTTCATTGATTTTATATACATACATACATATGTACATATTTGTATACAGATGTATAAATAGTGTTTTTTTTTTGCGAATTTTCTATTAGTCGCCTCGCCTAAGCTTTCGATTTCGTTTCTCTCTTCCGCGGTTTTCTCGCGTTTGTTTTCATTTCACGTCTTTGGCCTAAACAAAATCGGCTCTGTTCCCTCAGAAATGTTAAGGGTATAACGAGAAAGAAGTGCAGAATGGGGGAGCCCTACGTTCCTAAAGATCGATTTGGCATCGATAAAATACAGCAACAACCCCATTCGAATGCGCGAGGAGCAGTTAAAGTTATATGAAGCGGTTGGTCTGCCAAGAGTATAGTATCAGGGACATGAATAGGAGGGAGCTATACAGTTTGCCCCCTCCACTAGAGATCACTGATCCCATAGAGCTATCCAATCCCCATACCCAGAGCATACCCAACACCCTTAGACTCTGTTTCAAATTTATCTCGGTTACCTAATGAATTATTTTGTTTAATTCTTAAGTTTTTTTTATAATTTTACAATTATGCTTTAGTATTAAATACGATTACGACTATTAATATTATTTTGTGTTATCAACTAGCAGAATTACTGAACCTATGTACGTATATCTAGAGTGAACCTATGCATATGTATTTCCATTTTTAGTTAATATTCCTATACATATACATACATACAAGCATACATATAGTACCCTGACCGATCCCCTATATTGGTCGTGTTGCGGATCCACTAGCATTCAAAAAGCTGCGCTGCAACGGCAAAATAAATTATACAAAAACAAAAAATTACCAAAAATAATGTTTATTTCTTTAATTTGTCAGTCGGATGTTGAATATACAGATGCACAGTACATGCATGCATATACGAATTAGTGCTTTACAAGTATTTACTCGATTGCTGGTTGACTTGTGTTTTTCTAGGTATTACATCAATTCTACATCAATTGACAATGTCTTACCAAAAGGCTGTGTCCTACGATAAAGCTTACCTAGCTTTGGCACGTACATAGGTATACTTTTCTTGGTTTTTGTTTTTCCTGATTTTTCATCACTTTTCTTCGACGAATTTTCTTCGATTTTCATATCCGTCTGTTCCTCGTTTTATTTTCTGCCTCATGAAATCATTGCGTTATCGTTTCCCTGGCGCTCCGTGAGATCATCCGAACTTTGTGGCTGTCTGTGGCTGCTGACCTAGCTCAGGGCCAGGCTGGTTACTTTTGTATTGTTTATGCATTTTTGGGGGTCAACATTTATTGAAGAGCAAAGTGAGCGACAAAACAGAGCACACACTCACACAGAAATGTTCCGTTGACTGCATTCCGTTTTAGAACACATGTACTATGATTTCTACACCCTATTCAAGGGCATTATTATTATCACCTGAAGCCTGCTACACAACCCTTAGTCGTAACCTCAGATCTTTCCGCATTTGCCAGCCGAATCGAATAAGCTTCGATACAATGCGATACCATAGCTTCGGCCTCCAAAGTTAGCCTTTCCTTATTTTTGTTGTTGCTCTATTCCGCTTTGAATGCCAAATTTTTGGATTGCTGAGCCAGCGACGCACTCCGGTTTATAGATGGGTCTTTTGCCTCGCTTTTTGGCCAATGCCGCACTCGTTCATCGCACTCTTCATCGCTCGAGCTTGAACCCAATCGGGAGGAGAGCTGCGTTGTTTTCTTCGCTCGTTTGGCATTGAGATTGAGCTTCATCAGTCTGAGTCTGAGGAAAATATCTATATTCTATATCTATATTCTGGCGGATCTGGGGGAAAAACGAGGTATAAACGATACAACAGAGCGTTAAGTTCGATGAGGGAATTCAAATAATATACAAACGTATAAAATCAATGCGATAATGCGGTATATAAAACTGCCAATAATGTGATTAACTCCAGAACTGGCTCAATTGAATTATTGATCGGTTTCTACCAAAATTGGTCAAAAAATCTCAATAGATACATATGTAACATCAATAATCCGCTAGTGGCCTTATTCGATCAATTTTCGTTAGCATTCATTCGATATCCGACTTCATTCTATTCTATCAATTTAATCTCATGATAAATGCGCTTAATCTATTAAAGGTTCCACAAATGGCCTTATGTATGTATTAAATAATTGTTACTGTTAGTTGGATAGCTGCGCTTTGTGCGATTAATTACTTTAATCTGGACCGGTGACTGGTGCTTTCCGATATTAGATGCTTTCGAGAAATGGCTGCATTCGATTATCCACCCACCTCACGCCATATAATTAGTAATTGTAAGCTTATTTGCTATATTATCCCAGAAATTCCGCATAGAAACGCATTTTACCAAAAAACTATAGAATCAAATCGATCAGAGGACAAACATTTTCCAGATGGTGGATCATTGAGGGAACAAAGAGCCTTGACTTCTGCTTAAGACTTATAATTTGCCAACTGAATAATACCTCTTAATCTATGGACCAGTCGCTAGAATATACATACATATGTACATGCAAGTGCATGGGTATGAGCATGTGTATGTACATATATGCAATATCGATCAATAATTAATTTTTGTATTGATAGGTAATAGTATCGAAAATCGGAAAACGCGCAAGCTTGGGCTTGAACAAATTATCGTTTCATTTCCGTTTTGAGAAAACATGCGATATATATAGTATTTATTTATATATACATATATATATATATATATATGTATATATATATATGTATGTACATCCATATATGTATATGTAAATCTGTAGAGCTAGTTATTGCTGACCTAAGGCTACATAAGTGCTTTTTAAAGAAATATATAGACCGCAAGAAACGAAGAAATCAAGAAGTGGCGGCGAAGGGGGACAAGAAACTTGTATGTACGAAACACAATATACAGAACATTCACACTACCACATAAAAACATACATGAATAGAGGATAGATCATATATATTCATACATATACATACATATACATAAACATATACATATTCAGACATATATACATAACTGTACTAATTTATTTTCCGTTGCGTTTAGTGTGATAATTGATTAGCGAAGGACGTAGGAGAAGGATTTGCAAATAAACTATAAGAAAACCATAAACCAATTCCATGTATACAACTTTACTTTTGAGCTGGGATCACAAATCGATTCATTTGTTCATTACATGCATTAAATAAAGGATCCGGTATCGAATGGGATCATCAAATAAGTATATGTATATCGATTGGGGCGATTGATAAAAAATTCGAGCTGTGGGATTTCCAGTTATGTGCACATATTTATATCCGATTCGTTTCCGATCTTATATAGTACAAATATTCTTGATAAGCATGAGGCCAGATGACACTCTTGTTTGTGGCCTCCTATGATATCACACTGAACTGTAAGGACGAGTCCAAAAGAAAGCAATGTTTCATCAGATACGATGGGGTCAAATTTGGGTCAGATCGGGTCATTATTACAGTCAGAATGAAGAACAAAATTTCCCGTGACAGACTTGACTCAATCCTACGTGCTCGATCTCTATCGATCACTGAGATGGCGGAGTGAGCGGGATATGCATAACGGCTAGATGGTACTTCGTTGGTGGGAAGATAGAGAAATTCAAAGGAAAAGTATTTTGGTACTTAGATTATTTTCATTTCATTTAGTATAGAGTATAGACGGAGTGCAAGAATATATCGTACATATGTATATGTATACTGCAGGAGGCACGTGCCACTCGCGTTCTAACTCGGTATAAATTATTTCCGTACGGTTGTACTCGTATTCCACTGTCTAACATTCCACTGTCTTTCTGGAAAAAACAGGAAGGTTGGCGAGACCAGATAGATAGATACTCGTAGACCAGATTGGCGAGACCAGGAAGTGTGAGCGAGATACTTTTCTTGTCTTTACAACTGGGAATTGCTGTTGTTGCACCAAGAAGCACAAAGCACCAACACCAACAAAAGTATTCCTTGTGTTTTTCAGTAGTCAAACAATAACCCCAATGGATATAGGTTTTGCATTCTCGGGTTCGAGCAGGGTCCATTCACGCCGTGTACTTTGTTATCGTGTTCTCGGGCCCGAGCACCGGTCGCGAGGCTAGCGCCGGTTGCGAACAATAACAACAGTTTTTTAGACTGTTTCAGTAGCGTTGTGTAACCGGGAAAGCATTACTTTTTGAAAATTGATCAATATTTTTTCTCTTCAACTTTATTGCTATTATTTCTCTATAATGCCATCGCGAAATTCTCTTAGTATTGCAAGCCTTGACTGCAAGGAGCCTTCTGGAACACACCCTGGCAGCTGAAAACGTAGTTTTTAGGACAGGGCTGAGCGGGAATGGAGGTCGGGGATGGGGGTCCGCCGTAGCCGGACGATGCGGATCCGTAAGCAGTCCTTGCTGATCCCAGCATATCCCCCATGCGAGCGTAGCCAGAGTATTTCGGCGCGGAATACGTGGGAGCGTTGGGAGCTGAATAGCTTGATGACGCAGGCGCTGAGTAGGAAGGATAAGAAGACTTGGGTGCTGAATAACTTGGAGCGGCAGGTGCTGAATAGCCTGTTGTTGTAGGCGCTGAGAAGGATTGAGCTGCTGAGGATGAATAAGAAGACTTGGGTGCTGAATTGCTGGGAGCAGAGTACGAAGCGGTTGCGGGTGCGGAATAAGATGAAGTCGCAGGTGCCGAATAACTTGGACTAGCAGGTGCTGAATAGCTTGGAATGGCAGGCGCTGAATAACTTTGGCCGGCCGGTGCCGAATAGCTTGGAGCCGCAGGCGCTAAATAGCTTGGAGCAGAATAGCTTGGAGCCGCAGGCGCTGAATTGCTTGGAGCAGCAGGTGTTGAATAAGTTTGAGCGGCAGGCGCTGAATAACTTTGCGGGGCCGGTGCTGAATAAGTTGGAGCTGCAGGTGCTTTATAGCTTGGAGCCGCAGGAGCTGAGTAACTTGGAGCGGCAGGTGCTGAATAGCTTGAAGCGGGCGCCGAGTATGATGACGGTGCTGTTGATGAATAAGAAGACTTGGGTGCTGAATAACTTTGAGCCGTAGGTGTTGAATAACTTTGAGCCGTAGGTGTTGAATAACTTTGAGCCGCAGGTGCTGAATAATTTGGTGACGCAGGTGCTGAATAGCTGGGAGCGGCAGGTGCTGAATAATTTGGTGACGCAGGTGCTGAATAACTTTGAGCCGCAGGTGCTGAATAGCTCGGAGCCGCAGGTGCTGAATAAGTTGGAACGGGAGGTGGTGCATAGTTGGGAGCGGCTGGTCTTGAATAGCTGGGAGCAGCAGGAGCAGAATAATTCGGAGCGGCAGGTGCTGAATAACTTTGAGCCGCAGGCGTAGAATAACTTGGAGCGGCAGGTGCTTTATAGCTTGGAGCCGCAGGAGCTGAGTAACTTGGAGCGGCAGGTGCTGAATAGCTTGAAGCGGGCGCCGAGTATGATGACGGTGCTGTTGATGAATAAGAAGACTTGGGTTCTGAATAACTTTGAGCCGCAGGTGCTGAATAATTTGGTGACGCAGGTGCTGAATAGCTGGGAGCGGCAGGTGCTGAATAATTTGGTGACGCAGGTGCTGAATAACTTTGAGCCGCAGGGGCTGAATAGCTCGGAGCCGCAGGTGCTGAATAGCTCGGAGCCGCAGGTGCTGAATAAGTTGGAACGGGAGGTGGTGCATAGTTGGGAGCGGCTGGTCTTGAATAGCTGGGAGCGGCAGGAGCAGAATAATTCGGAGCGGCAGGTGCTGAATAACTTTGAGCCGCAGGCGTAGAATAACTTGGAGCGGCTGGTGCTGAATGGCTCGGAGTGGCAGGTGCGGAATAGCTCGGAACAGCAGGCACCGAGTATGTTGGAGCTGCTGATGATGAATAAGAAGGCTTTGGTGCTGAATAGCTCGGAACTGCAGGTGCTGAATAGGATGGAGCCGCAGGCGCTGAGTAGCTGGATTGGGAATTGTAAATGACGGGCGCGGCATATGCTTGGGCGGGAATGCCCGACGACGATCTTGCGTGACGGTCATCGAGCTCGGTTTCAGGGATGAGCAAGTCCTCGAAATCCTGCTTATAATATTCGGACAGAGACTCCGCTGAGACCAGGGCCAACAGGCATCCGATTGCCAGGAGTGATGGGAGGCGCGGTCCGCACATGTTCGATGATGGTCGATCTAAGAATGTAAACTGAAATCAGGTGGCAGGGAAGTTCTTATATAAACAAAAAGAGATATAAAATCAGCAAAAATTTCGAAATCACGAAAAATTGCGCAAGTCGAAATCTGGCATGACTATTTTTTAATTCACTAGAATCGATCAGTTTTCAAAGCCATTTCACCTGACCCACTAATTGTTGACTCGGCGTTTCGGGATAAAAATCCAAAGTAGACCAGTTTCATACCCTGTTAGTAATTAATATGAAAACGTTTTGCACATTTACATTTGAAATATGAGTAAAAAATATATTACCTTAGATAGATACATATATAGAGCTAATTTCATAAAAATAGTACTGCAGCACCTCACCTTAGAAAACTGTTTTCAGACACGTAGGGTAAATCCCATTACATTTTCATTTTTTTTTCCTTTTTGTTGTATGAATTTAGAGATTAGACAAATACACAAGAAATACGCCGTCCCTGAAAATTGTAGTGCAGACATAGCCTAAGAAATGTTATATTTAATATGATCATGATGGCATTAAATTATTTCTGATCATACAAAATTATGCACTTTCCTCGGTGCATTGTAAATTTTAGAAGGAAACTCAGTGGTCTCCCACATTCAGAATTAAAAGTAATGCTTTCGCGATGCCTAATTTTGAAATAGAGGAGTTAGGGTGTATTTTTTTCCTGCTCGATGGGTTTTTTCTTGTCAGTATGATAAATGAGTAGTTGCATGACCATTCCAACAATTGTTAAAATATAAATTGCAGGCAATGTTTTGTTTTTACTCTGTCAGCAAAACATATAAACAAATATGTGTGTACGTAAAAGTATTAAAATTCGGTCAACGTTGGAATGCTGAAGCATCAATTTGTGGCTTAAATTTGTATATTCAACAAAATGTTTCCATTTTCAAAAAGAGTTGTAAGCGAAAAAAACGAATTTTTAAATTAAATTGCAGCACTGTTTTCATATCGATATGTCATCGATAGCAGCTGGTAGCGACCTCTGGCGGCGACGACAGCCCCCAAATCAACACGTCAACGATTTCTTCTTCTTGCATCGCTCAACACCTGAACGTCGGCGCGACTTTTCGCTAAGTGTTAAATTATTGATGTGTCTTGTGGATCTTCAATTGACATAAAACATTTGTTTCTGACTTTTCCAATCGACGTGCACAGCCCACAGACCCCACTGTCTGACAACACAGGCCAACTAAAACCGACACGTAAGTAAAAACTACTTTAAAAAAAAAATTGAGCTGGTACAGGGGGAGAGGGAGCGGTGCTTCGACAGCTGCTTGCGTTGCAAAAAGAGGGAGAAAAAACCAAAAGAATAGCGGAAGAAGTAGGAGGAAATAAATAAAAAGGTTATTGCTCTTCCCATCATGCGACTCAATCTGCATTAATTTATAATTTGTATAATTCCGTGCAGAAAAATGGAGCTGCTAGCGAGTGCGGGCCGCTCGTGGCGCACACAAATTCTTATGCTGGGTGTCGTTACCGTTCTCGTGGGAATGCTGCATCTTCCCACTGCCCAGTCGGCTGCTGTTATGTCCGTGGACTTGGGTACCGAGTGGATGAAGGTGGGCGTCGTCTCGCCGGGCGTGCCCATGGAGATTGCTCTGAACCGTGAGTCCAAGCGTAAGACGCCGGCCATTATCGCATTCCGCGATGGCGTTCGCACCGTTGGCGAGGATGCCCAGACCATTGGCATTCGTGAACCGTCTTCGGCCTACGGCTATTTGCTGGATCTTCTCGGCAAGACCATCGATAACCCCATTGTGGATCTTTACCGGTAAGTTGATGCCTCTATTTTTGTTTTTTTATGTGTGTGTGCGTGTGAGTCGGTGTGGTTTTCGGCCACGTCAGTGCTTAATGGCCAAGATTAGCTTGAATGACTCGGACACTCTGTGAATGACTGCCTGCTTTAGAGGACCCTTTTTAATTAGAACATTTTTTCGACAACCACAGAAAACGCTTCCCCTACTACAACATTGTCGGCGACCCGGAACGCAATACGGTGGTGTTCAAGAAAAGCGACACCGAGGAATTTTCAGTAGAAGAACTCATCGCGCAAATGTTGGTCAAGGCCAAGGAGTACGCCCAAATATCCACACAGCAGTCCATAGCCGAATGTGTCCTCACTGTACCCGGTTACTTTGGCCAGGCCGAGCGGGAGGCTTTGCTGGCCGCTGCCCAACTGGCCAACCTGAAGGTGCTGCAGCTTATCAACGACTACGCGGCAGTGGCCCTCAACTACGGGGTCTTCCATCGCGGCGAGATCAACGAGACGGCTCAGTACTATCTGTTCTACGACATGGGTGCCTATAAGACGTCAGCGGCAGTCGTGAGCTACCAACTGGTAAAGGACAAGCAAACTAAGGAGACGAATCCGGTGGTGCAGGTGCTGGGCGTGGGATTCGATCGCACGCTGGGTGGTTTGGAGATACAGTTGCGTTTGCGCGACTATCTGGCCACCGAGTTTAATGCGCTAAAGAAGACCAAGACGGATGTGACCACCAGTCCCCGGGCCCTAGCCAAGCTTTTCAAGGAAGCCGGTCGGCTGAAGAACGTTTTGTCGGCGAATAACGAACATTATGCCCAGATCGAGAACCTCCTGGAGGACATCGACTTCAAGCTGCCGGTCTCTCGCGAGAAGCTGGAGGAGATCTGTGCGGATCTGTGGCCACGCACCACCAATCCACTAAAGCAGGCCCTTGCCTCATCTAATCTGAGCCTCGACCTGATCAATCAAGTGATTTTGTTCGGTGGCGGCACGCGCGTGCCCCGTGTCCAGGAGACCATCAAGGCTCTTATCAAGCAGGAGCTGGGCAAGAATCTTAATGCCGACGAGTCGGCCACCATGGGCGCTGTTTACAAGGCGGCCGATCTTTCCGCTGGCTTCAAGGTGAAGAAATTTGTGGTTAAGGACGCCGTCCTATATCCCCTCCAAGTGGTCTTCGACAGCGTTGCCGCAGATGGCGTTTCTGCGAAGAAGGTAAAGCGCGTCCTGTTCGGATTGATGAATCCCTATCCCCAGAAGAAGGTGATCACCTTTAACAAGCACTCGGACGACTTTGAGTTCTTTGTGAACTACGGCGACCTGGATCGTTACAGCCAAGAGACAGTCGCATCCATGGGCAGCTTGAACATTACGCGTGTGGAAATCAGGCAGGTCAAAGAACTGCTGGAGAGTTTGAAGAAGGACCTGGTCGAGAACAAGGGAATCAAGGCATATTTCGAGCTCAACGAATCGGGCATCGTCCGGTGCACTGGTGTTGAATATATCTACGACAAGCAGAAGCCAGACGATGCGGACGAGGACAGCACTCTGGCCAAGCTGGGCAGTACCATCAGCAAGCTTTTCACCAAGAAATCCGACACGGCGGACGATTCAACTGATGACATAAAGGACGACGCTGGGCCCGAGGAGTCAACGGGAGGAGCAGGTGAAACACCCAAGACGGAAGATAGCCAGACTGAGAAGCCTGCTGAGGCTGAGCAGAAGGAGAAGAAGACTACGGACTCTGACCCAGAGGGCGAGGCCAAGGAGAAACCCGACGCTATTAAGCTGGTCACCGTTAAGGCTCCCGTGGCCCACAACACCCATGTGCTGTTTACGGCCAACCTGTCCGGGTCCGCCTACGACAGCTCGCTGGCCAAGCTGACGGCCATCAACAAGATCGAGGAGGAGCGTGTGCGCCTTGAGTCCGCCTTCAACTCTCTCGAGTCGCACATCATCGAGGTGCAGCAGAAGCTGACTGAGGATGCCTATGAGAGCTGTGCCACTGCAAAGGAAAAGGAGAAGCTCCTGGCCGAGTGCAGCACTCTGTCCGAATGGCTGTACGAGGATCTCGAAGATCCTAAGCCGGAGATCTACGAGGACAAGTTGCACGAGCTCAAGAAGCTCTCGGGTGTCTTCCTCGCCCGTCATTGGGAGCACGAAGAACGGCCCGAGGCCACCAAGGCCCTTAAGGGCATGCTCGACGGCGCCGAGAAGTTCCTGGTCACCGCCCGTAACCTCACCAAGGACACCAATCCTGAAAAAGATGTCTACACCCAAGTGGAGATCGACACCCTCGCCAAGGCCATCGATGAGAGCAGGTCCTGGCTCAAGACTGAGACCGCCGCCCAGAAGAAGCTCCCACGCAATGCCGATATTAGGTTGTCGGTCAAAGAAATCACCGCCAAGATGAGCCTGCTGGACCGCGAAGTCAAGTATCTGGTGAACAAGATCAAGATCTGGAAGCCCAAGGTCGCCGACAAGGACAAGAAACCCAAAGAGACTGACAAAGAGGAGCAAAAGGAGGGAGAAGCTGCTGGCAGCGGCGACGAAGAGCAGATAAAGGAGAACCCTGAGCAGCAGCAGCAGCCAGACGACGAGCCGGAGCTCACACCCACGCCCACAGTTGAATCCAAGACACCACACAGCGAACTCTAAACCAAGTCCGACACTGGGGTAGATAAAGGCAAGGCGCGAAATGCTGGGAGAGACCTGACGATTAATGGATGTTCGTAATGCACATAGGGCGGGGGCCGCGGGGCGCCGCTGACCAGATGCGTCAACGGCGACTGCCAAACAGGATGCGGAAACGAACTTCAGGGGGAGGCGAAAATCTGATCATTTCTAATCTTTGGGGGGTAGGGGATCCGATCGGTACAGGTCTCCGGACCACAACATTTCGCGCCAGGCAAGATATATTTCTACGTTTTTTTTGTATTCAAATTAGCTAAAGTCGGGGTTTAATTATGCTAATCTATCTCTAATCTAATAAAACAAAAACAAACAAAATGTAAAATGTAACAAACGAAATCCAATTCCAATCCATTCCGTTGTGCTTTAAACTATTCCTTCTTCGATCTGCATAAAAACAAAATTTAAAGTACCCAAGACCCATGACTATCTATCTATATGATCTACCCCGTACATATGATATAAATGTATGTACATATGCACATGTGTGGATGTTTGTACATACATATATGTATGTTATACTCGTATATGTATGGATTTAAATAATCCCATGGAGCAGACATGGCTGAAGCAGAAGGAATGTAGGGGAGAAACAAATAGGCGACACAACTAGGAAAGCTCAAAACTAATAAATCTGAAACCGGAGTAGTATTCTGTATTCGTTCTTTAATTTCCTTCGATATCTTTAAATCTTTACTTTCAGTATAATTTTCAAGTGCAATTGCCAGTACTATTTATTACAGGAAGGGTATGATTTGTTTGAATGTTTCGACACAGACTTACTTTGCGCCAGCCATTCACTACGAGACTCTACCAGGGTATTGCTTGATCGATATATATCCCAGTGCTGTGCAGCCCTATTCACACATCTGAACAAACAGATATATTTTCGAGAAATTGCAAGCTATCGTTATCGCAGATATACAGCTGCGAACTATCGATAGTGACAGTGCAGCCCTAGTTATTACACATCTCAATAAGCAATCGTCCGCGGAGCAAATTACAATTCCGAGAAATTGCAGAAGTGCCGTGCCAAAATACATAATAGGGTAGAGCATATCGTTATACAAAGTGAAATATCAAGCACTTAATCAGCGCATAATTGACAAAAACTCGAACCAAAAACCCTTTATGCCAAGTAAACAATAACAATAAGAAATCCGTATCTCCCGAAGGCAGAAGCAGTCCACAGATGCTTACCGCAACCTCCACGTAAAATTACCACATAACTTATGAACATATTTGTGCAATTTAGCTGTATTTGAATGCATATATCCTACAGAAGTGTTTCCCGATCAAGCACAGGTAAATGTATTCCAATTAGCTGGGTTGAGGTTGCTGGGTTGCATTCGCAAAACAACCGATAATGCTATCGATGGTAAACGATGGGGAAATGGCTGAACTTGGGGGCCGATAGCAACTGCAGAGGACTGACTGACATCTCTATGATCAGGTCGTCTTGTTGTCGGTGGTGCAAAGGTAAAGCGGGTGGACGTGCGTGGAACTTCGTATCATTCATTTTGTTGGTGTGTGCGTGTATTATTTTGTTTTTTTTTTCTCTTTTTTTGTAAAATTTTTCTTGGCCTGCGATTTTGGGCTTTACTTACATATTTTTGTCCCGTTGTAATACTCTGGAAGTTTTGGAAAATTACACGAACTGGTTGTGCTACACTATCGGGGTGCGTCAAAGGAGTTACTGTTTCTTTTTGTGTGTCTGCTGGTCCGCCGTGTTCTTGCGGATGCAAGAGAATGCCAATAAAACGCAAACAAAGGAGTTCTTTGCTTTTCCATCTTTCTCGCTGTCTGTGGAGCGCCTGGGAGTGGGGGAATTTGGGAAAAGTTAGTTTTTGAGTGCATTAGAGACATAATATTGATAAATAATTAAAGCTATTTACAAATTGAGTGTACCCATGCGTGTGTGTGTGTGTGTGTGTGTATGCAATGCTGAAAACGAATGGAAAAAAGGTTATGCATGATACGGCACGACAGCAGCTGGCTTCTCAGCTGCCGCAAGCGCACAGTGGAGCCTCGAAGAGATTTTGACAGTTGCGAGATATGTATGTGTGTGTATGACCAAAGTGGAGGGGCTGAGACCGAACTGGCTGCCAGACTTTCAATTCCTCTTTGGGACGGATTTTCTTTCGCCATCATTTTTCTATCCCATCAGACTGCCATGGCTCTGAGATTTTGTCGGGCATTTTAAAAGTTTATTTTTGTTATAACAATGATTTCCCCTGAAACGAAGTTTGGATTAAATACAGAGTCAAAAATTATCTCTATAGTTATGTTCATATGTATGTAGCTAAAATATCCAAAGCAAAAGGGAGAAAAAGAAAGACTCCAACGCGAGCAAGATTTTCCTGGCACAATTTGTTTGATTTTTTTAAAGTTCAGTTTTGGTTAAAACGGCGGAAGAGAAAGAGGTAACACCGTAGTAATGTGAGTGTTTATGTGCGGGAGACCAGTGCGATGGCAAGTGTACGTGTGTGTGTCTGTTTGGGTGTATGTAACTGTTGTTTTTGTTTTTGGCTTCGGATTGCCACAGAAAGTACAACTGAAGCGATCGAAACTATTAGCTAGAGTGAAACACGTGCTTATCCATCTCACTCTCACTCTCTGTATCTATATTTCTGTTTTATTCTACCAATACCTACTAAAACGCACAGAGTGTGAATTGAAGCCGGGACCAGGACATTGGTCAAAGTCAAAGCTGTGTAACGAAAGGCAAGCCGCAAGGAAGCAGCAAAATCAAAGTGCAAAAAACTGAACGCCAAAAGAAGAGAGACGCACACACACACAAGAGCGCATGCTGTGCGCCGCAGGAGAGGAAGAAGAAGCAGCCGCAGCATCAGTGTGAGTGCCGAAGCGTACACGTACAGTGGCGCAGAGGCCGGAAAAGAGTAAACAAAAGTGGAGCAGGACAGTGACTATTAAGGACGCGTAGACAAAAATCCACAAACAACTGTTATAATCTGCCTCCGAACAATACAAATACTACATTGCAGCGGATTTACAACAGTATTGGTTTAAAAAACCAAGAAAACAACAAAAAATAGAGCTGTCATCATTTTTGTAATTTAGTAGGAAACCAGCGCTAGCGCCGAAACGCCATCTATCGCCGACCATCCGCAACCTCATCGAGAGGAGAGCGACACAGCCGACGAAAAACGGCGAGAGAAGAGGCCGTTGTGCATGATAGAAGTAGGAGGAGGAGAGGTGAACCAGCAGAAGGCTGAGCTCGTACGGTGTGGTGTGGTGCGGTGTGGTGCGGTGCGGTGAGTGAGGTAAGGTGAGGAGCAAGGGAGTCGAGTCGGGTAACCAGGCCGCAAAACAATAATTTCTGCTGCGACAGCAAGTAAGAAAAATACAACTACAACGTTTGCGCCAACGACTGCGACTTTTGGCTTTCTTTCGTTGTTTTCTTCCATTGTAGTGTGCGTTGTGTGGTGCTTTCATTGATTCCGCGTTGATTCCGCGCCCATACCCTTACCTGGGGGTCAGTAGCGCAGCAGCAGCTCCATTGTGGGAGCAAGCTGAAACGACAGACAACCCACAGCAGCATCATCGGACCAAATCAGACTAGACCAATTGCCTTGCCCGCCAATATGGCGTGCCTTAACACCTTAAAGCAAGAAATCAAAACTCTGGAGAAGATCTTCCCGAAGAATCACGAACGCTTTCAGATACTCAACTCCAGCGTCGACGAGCTCTTGTGCAGGTTCATTGATAAGAACGGCAAGCGTTACGACATCCATGCGAATATAACGGTAAGTCAAACTCTTTTAAAACACCTTATCATCCCACCCCACTTCCTTTCGCACTCCTCCCTGACGGGGTCTACCCACTTATCTGTATCATAGATTGGTAGCCGTCCGTATCTTCCACACTAGTCCTACGGAACGACTGGCGTGGCCCCTGGCTAGACTATGGTGCGATTCCCTTATTGTCCGGTTCTGTACTTGCATTCTATTGCCCAATGATGCGTTTATTCAGGCTTGGATCTTTTGTGTACTCTTCCATGTACACTCCATATTCATACAATGTATGTGTATGTCACATTCTATAGTCCGCTCTTCCAGTCTACAGGGGAGAACTCCACACAGTGGAGAAATCTACACACATAACTCTACATATAAAGGGGAGGCTACTTCACCATTGCCCTGTGAACCGAATACCAAGGAAATCTCAACTACATTTACCAGTCAGCAATTCCAGCAGTATCTGGAATATCATCTTTGTTAGGCGACTGGGATCGTCATTGGTCAGGTCAGATGATTGCAACTTTTTAAGGGAATATTGGTAGGCGGATGGAATGAAGCTCTTCTTGTTTTGAGGCTGGGAAAATGTCCTAATGTATAGAATCCGTGAGAATTAATGGGCGCCTTCACCAGGACAACGTATCATGTCTCAGGTATCATGTTTTTGAGTTCATTCTATGTTCTGCCTATGATAAATTCTTTAGTACCTGACGTGTTAATTAAAATCGGCTCTGAACATATCGATATTGGTTATAGCGGCTTCAAAGCTTCGCTACTCGCACCAAAGAACCGCAAAAAAAACAATGTCTGTATGGGTGTGTGCTTTTTCTTTATTCCCACGCTGACCAGTAAACGAGCGAGAGGGATGGAAGATTGTCTTTGCCCTTTGGCCATCCGCTCGCTATCCCCATCTCGCGCTGTCGCCTGGCTCTTCTTCTTCAGCCTGGTCCTGTCCTTTACCGGAGAGGATTTGGGAGGAGACAAAAAGTACAGTAATGTATGATTCATTTCACCCGATCGGTTGTCTGCAAGCGTTCCCCAGCGTCCCAACGGACCCTCGCCTCCCTGAGTTTCGCCTGTTTTGTCTGTGCAGTGCTTTCGACTTGGTTCAACGATCTAATTAAAGGTTATAATTTTGTTCTGCCTGCTACATCTCTTTCTTGCTTGTTCTCGTTATTTCTTTCTCTCTCTCAACGTTTGGCATGACGTATGTTTGTTCACGATTCAACCTGGGAGAGGGAGCGAGGTGAACAATCCATACAGTGAGAAGGCCTTGACCCACCCCAAACAGAAACATCGGTGTTCCCCTCAAATTCCCCATGAATACACTTAAACGTGACATAGATTAACAACCTCAGCGATATTCCATCCACAGGAAACGTATCCTTCATCGCCGCCAGTGTGGTTTGCGGAGAGCGAGGAGACGAGCGTCACCAATGCTGTTCAAATACTTAGCAATACAAATGGTCGTGATAATCACGTGATCAATCAGGTAAAGCTATCCCGCCAGGAATAGGAGCATACATAGATTTACCAATTCACCAATTCCGCAAATCGAAATGTTGCAGGTTGGCATATTGCTGCGCGAGCTGTGCCGATTACACAACGTTCCACTGCCACCCGATGTAGACAATTTAACGTTGCCATTGCAAACGCCACCGCCATCGGCTTCCCCGCTGCGCTGTGAACAGAGGAAAATGGGGTCGCATGGGGGCAACGAGGAGACCGATTCCGATCAGGACGAGATCGAGGACCCCATTGGCGAGAGCGAACAGGAGAGCGAGGGCGACGAGGATTTGCCATTGGAAATGGATGATGTACGGAGTACAAATAAGGTGCGTGGCAAAGCTCAGTTAATCGCAAAGCCGATTGCAATCAGATTTTGAATCATTGCAGAAAGATGACATGGAAGTGGAGCACTTAGCGACCCTAGAAAGACTGCGTCAAAGTCAAAGACAAGACTATTTAAAAGTGGGTTGTCCTTGGGCATGTGCGCTACTTGGCTGTGGCACTAACTAACTCACTCTTCTCCTTTGATTTGATTTAGGGTTCCGTTTCAGGTTCCGTGCAGGCAACCGATCGCCTAATGAAGGAACTACGTGATATTTATCGATCGGACGCCTTCAAGAAGAATATGTATTTGATTGAGCTCGTCAACGACTCGATCTACGAGTGGAACATCCGCCTCAAGTCAGTGGACCCCGACAGTCCGCTGCACAGTGATCTACTAATGCTCAAGGAGAAGGAAGGCAAGGACAGCATACTCCTTAACATCCTCTTCAAGGAGACCTATCCCTTTGAGCCGCCCTTTGTCCGCGTCGTGCACCCAATCATCTCAGGTTCAATCAATCACCCATTAAAGAGACCAAAGACAAATTTTAATTTGATCTGTATTAATATATAGGTGGATATGTGCTCATCGGCGGCGCCATTTGCATGGAGCTGCTGACCAAACAGGGCTGGAGCTCAGCCTACACTGTCGAGGCGGTAATCATGCAGATAGCCGCCACCCTTGTCAAGGGCAAGGCGCGGATACAGTTTGGGGCAACCAAGGTAGGCATTGTGTTGTCTTCCGCTAGGAGATAATGAAATAATTCTTCTAGTCTCATCATGAACAGGCACTGACCCAAGGCCAGTACAGCCTGGCACGAGCCCAGCAAAGCTTCAAGTCCCTTGTGCAGATCCATGAGAAGAATGGTAAGTAAAAATGGTGGCTTGGCTGCTTAGGAAGATTCACAACTGAAACTATCCCATTCCAACCACGTGCAGGTTGGTTCACACCGCCCAAGGAGGATGGCTAAGGCAGTTTAGTCCAGTCCGGATTCGCCTCTACACACCATTACCATTACCACCACCACCAGCACCACAACCCAACCACAAAAAACAGCATCAGCACAGACATGTTTTTCCCCGCCCCCCGTTTTCTGGCCCACACAGTTTTTGATCAGTTGTTTATTAGACGATCCCTAAGATGAACAGACGGACAAGTCCCCAAACAATAATTTGTATTTTCTTTATGTATAGCAAATATTATATTTGTATCCAGCTTCCTATATTATTTGATCCGTTTCTGTAGACAAGTTATGTTTCAAGCATGGATAGTATATATGTTATGTGTGAACACGGACATAAATAATCTGTTAGCGGTTAAGTGAGCCAAAAATCGAAAGCAACAAAGCAGCAGCAGTAGGGGCAACGCAAGGTGTAGACGGAGTCCTTTAGTCCCAGCCCTGATCCCGAACCCATGCCATTCTCATGATGGTGTGTTTTGTATAGAGTTTTGGAACAGCAGGCGGAACGCAGGAGGAACAGAGTGCAACATGTAAAGGCAATATCTGTTATGTATATGAATGTAATTTGTAATTTAATTGTAAATGCAGTGGCTCCTCGGCTTTCACTTCCGCTTACACTTAAACTTACTTCCTCCACCCACACATACCCACACGTACACACGTGGAGCCACAAAGTACCCACAAACACTCGCCCACATAAATGTAACTAGTTAAGTCGTAAGTCCTGATTGTATTCTTATTTAGTTTAACAAATTGTGTAATCTTATAAGATTCTCTCTAGTGGCTTGCAGGCGATGCAAGCAGCATTGAGATATAAGGCACAGATATAGCGAGATAGATATAAATATATACCTAGAAACACACATACATAATTATACATATACATATACAAATATCTATTTACTAAATGTAAGCTAAAAAGTAAAACAACAGAACAGAACAGAACGATGCGTCGCAACTTCGATGAGAGCAACTTCAAGTGTAAATTCGTCTTTCCAAATAATCGTACCATAAAATAAATTAAAATAAAATAAAGTAAACCTACAATTAATCTAAATCTACATTTAAATACGAGTAAAGCTAACATATGCTCATACGTACATATGCAGACTAGACTCGAAGGGAGAAGGAGCAACCAGAAGTGAAAGTAAATGAAAAATCGTATAGCAGTCGCAGCATATAATAAACACAAAGTTAAATCGAGGGCAGCAGTTTGGTGGTTGCTTCCTCCATTATAGCTCCGATTTTGTATTACTCCAACGAAGGCAGACAAAATTGAATTGTACATTACGAAACGGCAATTGGCAAACGACATGAATTGTTCATTTTAAGTATGTATTTAATAAAAAAAAACCCAATATATGCATACAAGTCGGGGCAATATTTATTCCAAAACTAAAGAGCGGTCAACTCAAAACTTAATTATTATTCATTATAATCTTAAATGGATATGCGTGGACTCCACACGATCATCACCCGTCGTCAAACCAATGGTCCCCTATGAGCCTCTTCTTTTAATAGGCCGTTCCAATGCGTCTCCGTCTACTTAAGGTCAAATTTGTTCCCTTCATTCCCTAACTTCTCGCTGTCAATCAACATAGATCACGTACTTTTCCGCGCGCGCTGACGGTTGCATTCGGACTTCCTTTGGTGTACTTGTGCGCGTCTTCGGCCTGTAGTTGTCGTTCAGGGAGACGCCAATAATCGTATCCATGGCTCCCTTCAGCTGGAGCATCTCGACGGTGACTGCGATTTCCGCCTGGATAGCGGTAGACAGTCGTTGTAGTGCTTCCATCACTTTTAAACTATACGACACACAACTGCCTTCGAAGATGTCGAGGACGGTATTGGCGGCATTCATTAGCGGTCGCATAAAACGGATTTCGCCCATGTGTGTGCAGAGAAAATCGATAAACTGGATGAGAACTACGTCGGGTCGTTCGGTGAGGGCCTTGTCCAGGGCCCGGCGTTGCAGCAGCTCAGTGATGACAGCCACAGTGTTTTCTGGATGTTTTTCCACCTGAAGAGGGAGGAGAACCTCATCCAAAGCCTTCTTGAAGTTGAACTTGCGGAGATGAACGTCGTAGGTCTGGAGTTTGGTACTCTTGAACCTGTTTTTGATGGTGTGGTCCACCGCTTGCGAGGTATCTGGTCGCATCAGTTTCTTGACGAGCTTCCTCTTTTCTTTAACCGCATGACTCACACGGATCTTGTTCAGGTGACTCGGTTTGTTTTCGACGATCATACGCTTGATTGAGATGAGACCATCCACCATGCCGGCGACCACGGCCTGATCGCCGCTGGCCACGCCCAGACTCACAACGGCATTGGGATAGGTAAGCGTGTGGACGGTTTTGTAAGTGGTGGTGTCGTAGATCTTAACATGCCGATCCAGGCCGGCGGAGAACAGGCGTCGTCCGTCAGTTCCCAGGCGCAGGCAGGTCACTGTTTTGTGGTGCTGCGACATCATCGTGAGCAGGCGGCAGCCGCTTATGAGGTCCCAGACACGCACCTGGTTGCCGCCAGCGCTGATGAATATGGAACCGTTGGGCATGAATAGAAGTGACTCCACCGGACTGCCATGGTCCAGGGTACGCTGAATCGCGTTCTCTGCACGCGTATCATAAAGATTAATTTTACCATCGTAGCCGCCGGAGACGAACATGTTGCCCGCCAGCGGATGCATGGCCCCAGCGCGAATGTAGTCCGTGTGGGCATCGTTATAAGTGTTTACTACCTTTTCGTTGGACACGTCCCACAGGCGCACCGACTTGTCGTCGCAGAAGCTGGTCAGCTGCAGTTTGTCGTTGGTGAAGAAAGTCCTATGCACGGGCGCCTTATGGCCCTTAAAGATTCGCAAGATGTTCCGGCTGGTGGTGTCGAATAGCTTGACATGGCCCTCTTCGTCACCGGCCGCCAGTAGCCGGCCATCTTGCCGAAATGTCGCCCCATAGGCGGTCTTTTGGAACCTTGATAGGTTCTTTACCACCAGCTTGGTAACCAAATTGTATATTTGGACGCGAACCGAGCAAGTCACGACAAAGTTATCTGGGTCGCTGGGGCTGAAGTCCAAATAGTCGATGGTGTTGCACTCTTTGAGGAACTCGGGTTTCTACAATGCAATAAAAACAACAGTTGATTCTTTGGATTCGGAAATTTGGTCTCCAGTTAGCCATAGTCTCGGTTACCTCTAGCCTTTCCCAATAGATTGTGTCGGGCGTCTCTATCTGCGCCCGCTGCTGATACCTTCGTATATTCAGAGCATAAAACCGGCTGTCCATTCTGAGATATTTTGAATTTCTCGTGCAGCGAGAAACACGTGCAGTGTGTTTCGGAATCCCTCAATTAGTGATGGAACAAAAAAGAACTATTCACAGCAGTGAACGAACTGAATAAGTTCATGATACTCAATGGTATTCCTTGAGTTTGATATTCTGTTTAGTATTACTAGCTGGCTAGGACCCCCAGCACTGAAGATATAATTTAATGTAGTTTTATGCAAAATCATAGTATAATTTGTGTATAAAATATCGTTACTTTTTACGAAAGTTTAGGAATGGTGTGGGTGTGTGACCTAGAGAGGGAACAAAATCAAACGAGCTATGTATATATGTATTTTTGATAATAATCAATAACTTTAATGTTTAAATTGGATAGATAAATAGCTGGAAATAGTTTTTTGGAATGGCGTTTCTTCTCTGGTCACACTGTGAGAGTCGTTGCATTAGCCTACCGATAGGCGGTACATCGATAGCTGGCCAAACATATGTGAACAACTCTCACACCCACTGCGACGACAACAACAGTGGACAGTGGTCGGTATCCACATATGGTCGCTCCCCTAAACATTCCTAATTGGCATTTGGATCTGCTTAAATTTGTGGCTGGTCAGGGAGCAATTGTGCGCCAAGTGTGTTGGAAATACTACAGACGAGAGCTGCACGAACTAAAGTTTGGGGATCGCAAATTCTTCCCGGTCCCGGTCCTATGACCGACCTCGTTCTCATTCCGCAGCCGCCTGCCTATTAGAATAGGAATAATAAATTCGTTTTTAATTGAAATTTATTTGTTGTGATGGCTCTGCTACTGGGGCCTCCGTAACAACCTCTCATCCAAGGCTGGATTCTTTAATTAACTGGAGACCCTCTAGACCAGGCCTCAGGGAATTGAGCAGCCGAATGTTAATTGAAAGCAATCAATGTGCCTATACATTCGAATCAAACGAAAGCTATCAACAAGACCAAACGGAAGCAGGCAGGAAGCTGGACCAGCCAAAGTCAGGAAAATCGCCAACACAGAGATAGTGCAATGGAGGAAGACATGGAAGTCGACCTTAACAATGAGAAGAGAGTGCTCTGCGAGAAAATCATACGCGATATTAACGCAGTCTTCGTCAAGGACGCTGATCTGTAAGTTCAAAAAGTACACTTCGCTGCATCCGAGCGGCCCCTTATCACGTTTTAATTGCTTAGTGCGTCGTTCGAGATAATACCGAAGGAGACGAACTGCAACAAGTCGCCGGTAGTGCACGTGGAGCACAATCTAGGCCTGGAGTCGTGGTGCGCCCAGCATGTCTACGACCACGCCCACCGTACCCTCATCTTGCACCGTCGACAGACGCTACAGCAGCAGCTGCGCACGCTCCAGCAGCAGCAGCAAAGCGATGCCTTGGCTAAGTATCTGAATGTTGCATTGCTCATTAATCCGGACGTGACCACATTCTGGCATATCCGCCGCCAGCTGGTGCAGAAGAACCGGCTTAGCATAAACAAGGAGTTGCAGTTCTCGGCCCTCGTCCTTTCCATCAAACCAAAGTCGAACGAGGCGTTCGCCTACCGCCGGTGGCTGTACTCGTTTCAAAGTAAGTCCAGTGAACCTTTCAGAGTGTCTGCTTAAACTTTTTCTTAATCGTTTTGCAGGCGCCGATGCCATTGACTGGCCCAATGAAATCAGTATCTGTGAGCGGTCCGCCGATCGCTGTGCCAGCAACTATCACGCCTGGTCACATCGCCAGTGGGTGCTGCGGAGCGGCCCATGCCTGCTCCAGTCGGAGTTGTTGCGAACGGAGAAATTCCTGCGCAAGCATATCAGCGACTACAGCTGCTATCACTATCGCCAGGTGCTGCTCGCGCGGGCCTACGAGCTCTGCTTCTTTATGCCCAACGGAGAGTCACAGCCGCAGCTGGCCAGTCTCCTTGATCTCCTAGCAGAGTACGGTCTTTCCTGCGAGCCGAATACCGAGGCCCTGATCCAACTGCTGTTGCCCAACATGAACCGCAGCGCTGTCAGCGGCCAGCGGTTGCGCTCCTTTCTATACTGCTGCAACGTGGCTGCCTACGACATGCGCCTGTGCTTGGAGCAGCGGGCTCTGTACGGACCGCGCGACTGTTTTGAGCTGCACCGCCGTGCAGCGCTTAAGTTCATCGTGGACCAGTGCGTTCGTTTACAAACGGGGCTGGCTGACGAACATTACCAACTCCCGGCGCATACGGCGGCAGCGGCCAACGAGTTGCAGTCACAGCTGAACAAGTTTGACTACGGACGGCATCCCTTCCTCGAGGCGGTGCGACAGGCCGAGTCGGCGCTGGGCTGCAAGCATCAGCGCTGGTGCAACCTTCACCTCCAGTTTGCCTACCCGGTTCCCGAGGCTCCCCAGCGAAACTAGAAACCCCTCCCTGCCGCAAATAGCCGTTTTTAAGCTCAAAATTTGGGATCATCGCTGGCAATACGTGAATCTATCTCGTGTGTGTGTGTGTGAACGTGTCTGAGAGAGAGATATTGCAATTTTTTGACTGCACCCAGATATACATACATACGTGCATATTACTACGATTATCCACTGTGTATCCCAAAGAAAAAAGTCTGACTATAGTCCCGACAACAGACAACAGACATCAGACATCATGCCAACTGCATTTCGATAACTGTTATACCGCATCTCGTGTTGCCGGCTCCCCCCGTTACATATGCATACAAACATATTATAATCTGTGCTGGCAATGCCACCACACTCGATCGATCTAATGTTCAAATTATCACATTAAGCACGTTTTTGTTAGCCAATTTGCAGATAGTTTAAATAAAATTAAATCAACAGACAGACAAGCGCTAAGGGTGCTTCCCATTCCCCGCTCCCCCCACCCTCCACCTGTATGCAGTGGGTGGTTTTGACACATGGGCTGGGGCTTCGTACATGTAAGGGTGAGGGTGGTGCCCAGCATCAATCAGTTGTGCGCATGTCAGCGCGAAGGAAGGCGATGCCATCGAAGGCACGAGATGACAGCCGTTAACAGGAGCAGAAGCGGCAGCAGTAATCTCCTGTGCTCAGTGTACTCTGCGAGTAGTTTGCGTGAGGCTGAGAGCGCGGCAGCACCAAGGAGACCAAGGAGTTCTGTCCTGTCCTGTCCTGCCCTCTTATGTGCTGTGCTGTGCTGTGCTGTGCTGTGATGTTCGGTTCTGTTCTGTTTATGCTTGTGTCTGTGTTGAACGGAACTGAAACTGACATTGAATCTGAGTGGAATGACCCTCGGTTTTTTGGCTATTGAGGTTCTTTCTTTTTTTGTTGCTTGTGCGGTGCAGTGGGGGGCTTAAAAACAATTTGCTGACACATAAAGTGAGACCAGACCCCAGTGAAGTGCGGCAACAGGGCCCAGCCAGAACCCGAACCCGAATCCAGGAAATATAATTCAAGTAGAGATGTGCCAGAGAGGCCCTAAGAAGTGAACTGCAACCAATATCGAGAAGGTCTCTACATGTATATACCCCTAGATATACCCCTATATGTCCCCTAGATTAGCATGCATTTGATCTGCTCGGAGGAAGGTCTATCCAATATTCAATATTCAATATTCTTTATTCGTTTCTCATTTTACGCTTTACATTTGTGTTTCCTTTTATGGCCTTCTTTCTCTCCTGTCTCTGGGGCGAGTCCCCTAGGCCGCCCCCAAAGGGCGTGTGGCACAGAATCGCAACTGCGCCACAATTGAGGGCACTGGGTGGGCCATGGGCCGAGGGCCTGGGGAAGGGGCGTGGATAACGGGTGCTAACTCAGGATGATAAAAACGAAGTAAGACTGTTTATGAGATGATTATGACCTCAAAATGTGGTCGCAATAGACGCCAAAAGTGGGTCTGGCCCAGGTGGTCCAATCCTTGAGGTCAAGAATAACTCATTTTGTACATATGTACATATGTAATCACATGGTACATGTGCATGCATGAATGATGTGTGTGTGTATGTACATTTATGCATGCATGTGTGGGCGGTGTGCACATGTGTAGATAACTCAAAATGGACACACCTGATGATATGATGTGTGTTTGTACATAACTGTATGTTCACAGATACATACATGCAGATAAGTGGGGAAGTGGGGTCATACATATGTATGTATGTGTACATGACTTTAATATATCATCCCCAGGGACAAATATCGTATGATTATACTGCATTTTCAGATCGAGCGTCACCAGATATAGTCAGGAGAAATCTTCTGGCGGCCCCACAACGGTGGGCAATGAACCCGCGTCAATACAGCGCAAAAAGTAATTAAATCAGCGCATCGTACACAAACGCAAACGCATACGCAAACGCAGAAGATTAGGATGCTTGTGCTGTGGGGGCAGTGGCAGTGGCAGCGGCAGCCATGACCACGCATACTACTACGGGGACGAAAACGAATAAAACGACACCGATAGGGAGGAGCCTACAGCCAGCGAGACAGTTTCGCATTGCATGGGGACATGCCAGCGCCTCAAGAGCCGTTTCCGGCACCTTCGGACGCCAGTGATTCATTCTGAGCAGCATCGGAAGTTACAGTCGCTCCCGCTCTCGGTCTCGCTTTCTCCGATTCTGATTTGGAAACCATTGAAGCGAAGCCACAGACCGATAACATTAACGGAAGGCGTTGAAATCACAGCGATCGGCCGCGATGGGCAGTCTGCCGAATCTGCACGAGCTGGAGGCGGCCGAGCGCAAGCGTGAGAAGCGTAGGGAGTACGAGCTGCTGCTGGAGCAGCGGGCCAGAGACACTAGTAGGGAGCGCGAGCGGCTCTCCTTATTTGCCCAGCAGCGCAAGGTGAGTCCAGATCGTTAAACTCTGACACTCGATAGATGACTCGATGCAGAAACTCCTCCTCCAGTCACTCCTTATCGATCCTTACTCATTTTTGGAATCATTACCTAACTATTTCCGGTTTCTTGCAGCAATCTTCGTACAATGCCTACGTCATGGCCGGCCTGGGAGTTGGCGGCGGCTCGCTGAGCCTTTCGACTGCCGGAGCTGGAAACGCAGATCTCCCCATCGCCAATGGAGGTGGTCCCGCGCAATCAGAGGCCATGGGCTGCACTACGACGACAACAACGACGGCAACCACAACGACCAGCACGTTCAGCGGTTTTACCATGCTGGGGCTGACAACGAAGAGAATTACATCGCACTCCCACCACCAGAACGTCCCTCCGCAGCAGAATCAACACCAGCATCTGCATCAGCACCAGCATCATCATCGCCATTCGTTAACCACCAGGCATCGCGTGTTGCGTACCCGCAGCTCGGGTGGAGCCCACAACGTTTGGGATGACCAGATGATGGAGGTGAGTGGGTGGTGTCGTGTGGTGTGGTGTGGTGTGTCCGCTTGCCTGGTGGCACTCTTCATTTATTTATAGAATCAGTGCAAATCGGATAATGGGAATTGTGTGAGCCCCCGCATCGGACGCGTCACAGTCAGAGACGGAATCAGATTGAGCTTCTGCTTCAATTGTCTTCAATGTCAACAAAAAATACGGACTGAGACTCACAGCCGGAGGAGGCATATGCAGAGGCTGAGGGTGGACAGGGATATCCCGCAAATGTCAGAACATGAAAACGGATTATTTTCCCTAGTTGCACAGCAAATAATTAAGTCGTCCAGTCCCCCATGTTGACTTCTCTCAACTTTAATTAAAGTGCCGGGGTGCGTGGGTGGACATACAGTCACATCGACGCAGGGATTGTGGATGGGTGGAAATTCCAAGCCCAGGGCTGTGTGTGCTGCACTGGGTGCCGGAAGCAGCTTGTGAGGATTAGCGCGCGTTGTGAATCGCAAAGCTCCGCTGAGCCGCGTAATTCTTAGCACATTTAACGTTTGATTTATTTATTTTTCAGGCGCACTTTGCTGCGTACTCGCCCTCGCCGGTATCCACGCGCTCGCACCGCATCAATCCGGTGTCCTCGTACCAGGTTCAGGCGGCCCTGGCGGCGTCACGGCGCCGTGAGTCGATCAATAGCTCGATCGGGGCCACCTCCATACGCCGGCTGATCACGTTGAACAACCGGAACTGCCGACACCGAGTGCCGGCCCATGTGCGCCAGAAGGTGTGGCGCCAGTTCAGCTACCTGGCCATCGCCCACGGCCTGATGAACGCCGTGCTGCTGCCAATGATGGCCCTGCAGGGCTCCAATGCGGTGTGGCACCACCGGGAGCAGTGGCTGCCCATCGGCCCGGATATCGGGTCGCTGCTGCTCAGCACCTTGTTCTTGCTGGCTGCCGGTATGTGCCTGCCCAGCGCATGGCTGATGCGCCGCTACGGATACACGCCGCTTCTGGCGGCCAACTACCTAGCGGTGATGCTCTTCGTACTGTCGCACATATACGCCTCCATATACACGCTGCTGCCGGCCTACCTGCTGCTGGGCCTTACCATCAGCGGCGCCAATGGCTGCAAGGCGGCGCTCATTGTCCATTTCGGTGGGAGGCTTAGTTGCTCCCAGGCCGCCTGCGAGCAGCAAGCGCAGGCCGCCGTGGACGTGCTGAACGAGGAGCACAAGATGTTCTGCAACCGAGAGCAAAAGGTGCGACGCTTGGCCCGTTGGTTCCGCGCCTCCCAAGACCTAGGTCTCATCGTGGGTGCCTTGTTGGCCTCGGTGCTGCTCGTATGCAACGGCAGCGACTGGAGTTGCTCCGGAGCGGGGGACACTCGCAATGGGTCTGCGACTGCGCCTCAGCTGCGGGACTTCTTTAACCGGAACGAGCACGGCGAGCGTATTTGCGGGGCAGACATGTGCCCGCTCAGGGTGCAGACACCGCTGGTGGCCGATTGGGCCAACGGATCCGGATCTAGCTTCACGCAGCGCTCTATCTACGTCGGGTTCATCGAGAGCGGCGCCCGGGCTGGTGGCCAGTCGCTGCTATGGCTGTACGTGCTGTTCTCCTTGGTATCGCTGATCCTTTCCCTGGTCGCGGTAGTTGGCAGGGCGCACGGGGCCGCCTTCATGGGCTCCTCGCGACAGGAGAGGAGCTTGGGCTTGAGGGACGTCAGCATCACGGATACGCTGCTCTTTGCCGGACCGCTGGCCTATTTCGTGGGTACGGAGCAGGCATACATGCTTGGCGACTTCCTGCGGGCCTTCGTCTCCTGCTCCCTGGGCATCGGCATGATAGCTGGAGCCATGGTTGGCATGGGACTGATGCAGCTGATCGTCTCCTGCACGCTGAGCATGCTGCTACGGCACGTCAAGCGAATCGTGGTGATCTGTAGGTATCCATCCAAGATCTATGTGCTACCCCGCTCATGCCTGCTTCTCCATTCATTTAACATTTCAGTGGCCGGATTCTTCTTCCACTCCTGCCTGCTGCTCGCGCTCTCCAGCTGGAAGCCGTCGAACGACGACAGTGCACTGTTCTACGTAATAGCCGCTTCATGGGGCGCCTGCAACGGCATGTGGGAGACTCTGCTCCTCTCGCTGGTCACCCTCAACCATGCCAACCATGTGACCGAGGTATCGGCGCCTCTACAGGCCCTCCGCTTCCTGGGCTTGGGTATCACCTTTGCGGGGCACGGCTTCCTCTGCGAGTCGCTAAAAATCATCGCTCTGGTGGTGCTGTTGGTCATCAGCGTGCCTCCCTACGCCACGCTCGAGATCCGCCTGGAGGCCCAGCGCAAGGCCACGCTCATAAGTTTATGACGGAGCATCTTCAGCTAGTCCCGACGCCAGCGGCGGGGCACCGTGGCCCGCACCCAAACCATGTGAGGGCGGCTTAACCTGGTCCGAAGGATTGCCGCCGACCGGACCACCCCCGACCTGATCGAGTTTCAGTATTGATGGAGAGACTAGAGTCAGGGTACAATTCAGTATTTCCTTGGCGCTCTGAGATGCAGCCCCAGAGATGGGCCCTAGATCCACACAGGCAGGACGACTAGGGGCACTCTCTCCCCAACATCCAGGACTTTCGGCCATCGAGTCCTGAGTCATTCAGTTAAGAGTTCGTATGACTAGACACTAAGATTGATCTATGTATGTATGTATGTATATACATTGCATGTATAAATGTTGGAATGGGGGGAATCCGTGTGCCCGCCCCATTCTGTCGATGTGTGCATTCTTAACTCTAGCATTTGCCAGTGCCAAAAATGTTGTTCCATGTTCCATGTCCGTAAATTTCTCTATCAAATAGAGAGCTTTTTGTGGTCTCTTCCGTGGTGTCAACTCAAGCTGCAATACGTCTATAGCCAATAGTTTAAGATATAATACGATCTGATACGATATGACATAATATTTGATGTCTATGTAATCTGCCACAGGGCTTTGGTTAACTATGGCAGCTATATACTCTTGTGCCACAAACAGTGTATTCCTCTGACGTAGTTTCTAAGTTTACGATTAGGTTTACCGAGCCGCTGACCTGATGTTCTTCATGTGGTATCCCAATACCGTACCGTACCGTACGTACATACATATATCGATCTATCGTTCCATTTGTACATATATACATACATATGTGCATATGGATGTACCTATGTACATATGAGCGTTATGGAGGAACAGTTGTCATCTTTTGGCCCTACTATCCTCACCATATCCATATCCATTTCCAGATCTAGATAGGTGTAGCAACAGCTGTTATTGATAACAAGGTGAAATCCTAAGGTCTAAGAACAATGTTAACATTTTAAAATTTGTAACCATTTTGTGACCGTTGATAGATTGGAATGCGATTTCATACTTCGGCAAGGGTATATGTGTAGGTACAATACATGCATGCATACAGACATGTGCTGTTTGCCGTATACTATATATTATATACATACTACACTAAATACTATATACCATATTGTACACACACCCACACACACACACACACACACACACACACACACACAAACGTGTAAAGGTATAAACATAAATAATACTTTTTTTGTCTTAGCAGAGGTGTCATCTGCTGTATGCATATTGAATATTGAATATTGTGAAAAACTAACACAAGTCTCAAACAAGTTAAACTAGAAACGGCAGTGATAGCCCGATCCCGATGAGAACCAGAAGAAGACACAGCCGCCACGCCACTGTAGCCGCGCTCTACAATATGCATACATACATATTTATATGTAAATCCATATGTATGTATGTATGTATGTATGTATATGTATATGTTTGTATGTGTATTATATTATACTATGCATATAGATGTCTGATCCAGTATTCAATAAAGAATCTATAAATGTTATTAGGGATAAGTGTATTCCGACTTCGCCCAATCCCAATACCACACACCATTCCGTCGGATTCAGATCCAAAAAAAAGAAATGAAAGCTTGCTCGGCAGCTTTACTCAATTACATTAGCCTGAGAGTAAGTAAGTAGACGCGATAAGGAGGGTCATATCTGAGGGCTTTCGCGAAAAAGCTCTCTTGCCGATCGCCGATCGTAGCGTGAAAATCCAGTGGAGATCGCTTGCAATGAGCGCTGTTAGTGGATGGAGTAATAGTGTGTGTGTGTTGCTTGTGTGTGGGCTCGTTAGCATTATCAATTGAGTGGGAACTAGAATGAAAATGGGGTACGGTACTTAGTTTGCAATTGTTGCCGCCGGGGCAAGACGTATTCGACATGGCCGCGGCAAGAAGTTCCCGCCCGATTCCCACCGATTCCGCCTGGAGCGACAAGCTACAGGAGCTGCTCGCCTGGTTCGAGAGCAATCCGAATCTTCCCGAAAAAATTGGTAAGCTTCCCCAAGCAGTAGGTTCGATTAGCCACTTCGAATAGTGACCAAAACCGATAGAGACTGTGCGGCTCCGACTGATAACCAGTCGAGTGTCTAGACGGTGCAAGCACAGAAATTAATGGCGTATTAATGGCATTACGCCCGATACGCCCCACACTTAGACCTTTAACCTTGTAACGCCATTACACACTAGAGGGAAGTTAATGCTCGTGCCAAAGCTCATACATACTCTTGCACAACCTTGATCACCTCAGATGATGTTTGCTAATAAGTATCACATTCCATTTTAATTTGGTCTAGAGCCGATTGTGATGCTGCGATTCCTCAAATGCGTGCAGTACGACGTCGAGAAGACCAAGCCTCTGGTGGAGCTCAACTACAGCATGCGAAACAAGCATGCGCACCTGTTCATCGATCGCAACATGGAGGACGAGATGACGGCCAAGGGTTTACGAGTCTCGTAAGTGCCGAAGCGGAAAGGAAACCATCGACCCCCTGTGTGTGTCTGTTAGAGTGTCAGAGTGAGGGAGGGAAGGGGACGGTAGCCAATGAGAGAGACACGAGTTTAACCAATCTTATTTGATTTCTTCGTAGTGACTTGCTGATACTCCCGGGGTTGACGCCAGAGGGAAACAAGCTCCTCTTCTTCCGCATGGCTGACCTCGATCCACATACGGTACGGCGAATACTCTACCTACTGTCTTATACTCGTATAAGATTTATTTGCAATGCGGCTATTATTTGAAAACTGTTGATGATACTTCCCTTGGTTTTGGTATCTATTGGCAGCGCAATTCGGTGGAAGAAACCAAAATCTTCTTCATGATGAGCGACGCTCGCTTCACGATGCCGGACGTGGAGCTAAAGGTGGGGGAGATGCGCGACTTAGACGACTCGGACATTGCGGACGGAGACGTCCAGATCGTCGACATCGGGGGATACACGCTCAGGCATCTGGCCTACATATCAATCTTCGTTCTGCGTATCTACATGAAGTTCCTGCAGGAGGCCTATCCCTCGCGCCTGCGGGCCATGCACGTCATCAACTGCCCCTCGTATCTCGATCGGCTCATCTCAATGATGGCCCCCTTCTTGAGGGAGGAAGTGAGGAATCTGGTACGACCGATGGTTTCCCCCGTCTATCAACTCATTATACCCGGTACTCAAAATGAGTATTGGGGTATATTAGATTTGTGGTAAAAGTGGATGTGTGTAACGTCCAGAAGGAATCGTTTCCGACCCCATAAAGTATATATATTCTTGATCAGCCTCAATAGCCGAGTCGATTGAGCCATGTCTGTCTATCCGTCTGTCCGTCCGATCTGGATCAGATCGGATCATTTTTATAGCCGAACAAATCAATTTGCAGTGGCTACGCAGCCGCCGACGTCACGCTCAGACTGATTTTCTGTCTCTCTCGCACGCACTCTTTGTCGTGTCGTTTAATATTAGCAGCGTCTGCCGGAGGAGAGCCATACTGACTAAGTATCGGGTATAAATGTAGAGTTGCGGTCTCCGCAGCAACTCACAACGTTCCCCCTCGTTTTTTTTAGCTATTAACTGTGATTCTCTGATTGATGCAGGTCCAATACCACACAGAGGGCATGGATAGCCTGTACAAGCAAGTACCTAAGGATATGTTGCCCGAGGAGTACGGTGGGAAGGCCGGCACCATTGCCGAGCTCAAAGCCAGGGGGATACAGTCCATCAAGGAGAAGAGGTAAGTTCGCCTTACCTCCTCTAAGCCCCTCGAAGCTAAAGAGGCCTCAACTTCTCATCATTCCCCTCTCTGTCAGCGGCTACCTGTGTGATGAGCGGTATTGGAAGGTAACGGGGTTGAGCAAAAGTCGCTGGTCCTGGTTTTGAGCAAGAAGCCGAGGAGGACCCAGATGGGTGCGGCCGATGTCGTGATATTCAAATGTGATCAATGAGCAGACCCCACTCGGAGCTATGGTTATGTGTAGCAGCATGCTATGATTAGTTTATATCGTATTCGTACAAATAATCCTTTGTTTTGTGTCCAAGTGAGCGCTGAAAATACCGTATTCTTTATTTTTTTTTGATAAAATTGAATCAGTTTCATATTTAATGTTTTAATGGAATAGTTTTAATCTCGCGAATTATTAATCTATTAATCATACAATTTTTCGGAAAAAATTATTTCTGTTACCCATAACATGGACTTCTTCAGAGCCCACATTTCGCTCTACTCCGCCACATTATCGCCCTTTAAGGACAGTCTAAGAAACACGGTCGTATTTATGAACATACTGGACTTGTTTCTCCGCATGAAGGATTTCGTGCTGGACGGTGTGCACTCATCGGTGGTGTGTAATCCGGAGATGCTGCTCGGATCGCTCATACTTACAATGTTGAAGCTGCGGCTAGCAATCCTCAGCGGGGACAATGTGATGTTGGGAGTCTACCTCGTTAACACCATCTTCCACATGGCTCATATTGCTTTTGTCTTCAAATTTGTGCCCTTAAGACTGAAAAACGCTCTTAGAGGAAAGTGCTTTGTTACTGGAGCAGCAATCGGGGGGCTTATGTGGTACTCGTTTCAGGAGGATTCGAGGATGCTTGAAGCTCATATGGGCTACATTCTGCTGGCAACCATCATTATAAACCATGCGATGCGGACTCTTCAAAAGTGGAACACACAGCCACAGGCTACCCCCATCTGGACGCTCTCGCTGCTGATGCCTATTACCTGGATAGCCTATGGTATCGCAGAAACCAACATACTTATTGTAAGCCAAAATGCACTGATCCTCGCCATTAAACTGATGGATCGATACCGGTATCGTCCCCACTTGTCATTGCGATACGCCTTAACCTTTCGCGATTGGCGGGCTGCTCATGTTTCTCGAGTATATCCTTCTCCCAGTGGCTCTGGTACAGCCCATTCCCTCCGCCGATCCTCTAGCTCTCATAACCAATCCTACGATGATTAACTCACTAAATGAGCCGTCAAATTGCTACATCAGTTTGGGCTAAATGGCCTTCATTTAGTGTAAGATCGGGCCCAATGATGACCATACAGATCAGGTAACTACAATGACGAAGCCGCATTATTCCAAAAATCGATATGAAGACGATCCATTTGGTTTCGGTTTAACATTTAGATTCAGAACACGACCATGCGATTCGGTAGATTTCGGCACAGATTGAGTTCCAATAGAAGCTGTACTTGGCCCAGCCTGGGCAGGGCTTGGCTGGAGGAACGACGCAAGTCATATTTAGGCACTATTAAGCGGCAGCCATTGCCAAATGCCGGCGAAAAGCAATTAAAAAATTACGTGTTTAATCACCCACGCAGCAGAAATCATTATTTCCGTTCCAATATATATTATGATAGGTATAGGAAATCAAACCCCAGACATCGCCCAGTTGCCCGACAGGCTCCAAGCACTACGGTCGGTCATCGGAAGAGGAACCCGCCCTGAGCAGCGATAGGACGGACAGGAAAGCCATCGATACAAGAACCGATACCCCAATCGATAGCAAGGCGAATCGATTTGGCCGAGGCAATGAGTGGCGAAAGCGAGAATGGAACACAGCTGAGACGCGATCTGAACGAACTGTTTGAGTGGTTCCAAGGAAATGATAAGCTACCGCAAGAGATTGGTAAGAAAATCTGCTGGGGAAAGTCGCGGTAAGGTGTAAAAAAGGCAGAGCTGCCAATACAACATCAATATGGGACAGGTGATCCAAGCGCCAAGCCGCACGGCGTTATGGGACCATCCCTCCTCCTACCAAACACAACACACACATTACCTAGTAAACCCAGCACGTCCATAAGTCTTAATGAGGTTGTTAGTAGGCTGAGCAGCAACTGAACAGACCATCAACATTGCTATGCCCATCCCGAGTTACGTCATTCACGGATAAACCTACTAATGCTGGAATACTGTTTACAGAGCCCCTGCTGCTGCGGCGCTTCTACCAGTGCATGTACGGAGACCTTGAGGAGACCAAGAAGCTCATCGAGGTGAATTACTCCCTGCGCAACCGTCATCCCCATCTGTTCATCAAGCGGGATCCACTGGACGATGACAGCCAGCGAACCTTCGATTATGCGTAAGCATTGCTGAGGCTGAGACGGAAGACCGAGAGTGGCTGGTGATCGCTAGATGTATACATAAATATTTCAGAGACATACTGCCGCTCCCAGGCCTCACGCCGGATAACTACAAGGTGTCGCTGTACTGCTTTCGGGAGTTTGAGGCCACAAAGGTGAGTAATCATCTGCGCTATAATGACAACAACTGAGAGATTCTGCTCTACAGATGCATCACACGGAAGACACGCGCGCCTTCTTCATGGTTGCCGACTGTCGCTTCATCACTCCGGACGATCCAGCCCGGCCGGGCACCCTATCCGAAGGCGAGGTACAGATCTTTGACATGAAGGGGACCACAATGCGCCACATATCGCGCCTAACCATCAGCACGCTACGTGCATACATCAAGTTCCTTCAGCTGGCATTTCCCGTGCGTCTCCGGGCTATTCACATGGTCAACTGTCCATCGTATCTCGACAGAATCGTGAGCGTAGTGAAGCCTTTCATCAGCGACGAGGTTTTCAAGCTGGTGCGTTTCTCAAAGGATTCTCATTGGTCTGGCAAAATATAAGAAGTCCCTTCAAATACCGTTCCAGATACGTTTTCATACAGTCAGCATGGAATCGCTCTACGCCTTTGTACCACGCGAAATGCTTCCGGAGGAGTACGGTGGCTCGGCCGGATCGCTGGACACGCTGCGAGCGCACACAAAGAAGACCTTGGTCGAGCATCGGTGGGTTTTATGATCAGCCATAGAAACCAGGCACTAATTTCTTCTTATTTCAGCGATTATCTAATGAACCCTAACCACTGGCTGGTGGAGAAGTCTGAGAAGCGTAACGGCGGTCATTCATGGAGAATTTTTAGATGAGTTCAAAATTTGAGTCTCAATTTTTTTTTCTCTTTCAAACATTTTTGTGTCTATATCAACGTTTATTTCCGTATTTTGTTTCCTCCAAACGGCTTTAGTTCAGCCACCAGTTTAGGGGAACCAGTGAAATGGTTCGCGGAAGCATACGGTGGGACTTTTTTCAATGTCCGGTCGCGACCACATCCAAAATAAATAGTTGTTCAAGAACGTTTTTTAAGAACGGAAATTTGAGTTCTTTTAATTAAATTGTTTTGCTTAATCTACTTTAATGAATAATGCTATATTTTTTTTTTAATTTATGCCAAATTGAAAAGAGATTGGATGATAATTCAAATTCACCGTTTTCTTTGTCTTGTGTCAGAAATATTAGTGCCTGAAGTGTGCATTTTTAGTGTGTACTATTCAAGTGTTCGGGGAGGGTATATGCTCTCATATATTTCTCGCACTCACTGAATGTTTTAATATCTGATCTGATATTTAGTTCAACTGAAGTCCGGTTCAATACGACCATTAATTAAATTAATCACAAAACTCAACATTTGGCAATATTAAATTTCGAACAAGAACATCGATACTGATATTTTCGGCCGAAAATATGTATCGTTAAAAGTACGTATATCGATGTATCGATTAAGCAATATACATTCACGATCACATCTCTACGTTGTCTTTGCATTTATTTGGCACATAATTGCTATTGTTAAATTAAGTTAAAAACAAATATTAAGAGGCGGAAATGGACCGGCCACAGAAGATGCCCAAGGTGGCCAAGGTTAGTATCAACGGTACGCCCACATGTGCAGTGGATTTGACCATTTTGTTGTTGTTTGTAGGTGAAGAACAAGGCGCCGGCCGAGGTGCAGATCACGGCGGAGCAGCTGTTGCGCGAAGCCAAGGAGCGTGACCTAGAGATTCTGCCGCCACCGCCAAAACAGAAGATCTCTGATCCAGCCGAATTGGCCGACTACCAGCAGAGAAAGCGGAAGACTTTCGAGGACAATTTGCGCAAGAACCGCATGGTAGTCAGCCACTGGATCAAGTACGCCCAATGGGAGGAGCAGCAGCAGGAGATCCAGCGGGCCCGTTCCATCTGGGAGCGCGCTCTGGACAATGAGCACCGCAACGTCACCATCTGGCTTAAGTACGCTGAGATGGAAATGAAAAACAAACAGGTGAACCATGCCCGCAACCTGTGGGACCGGGCCGTGACTATCATGCCGCGGGTGAATCAGTTCTGGTATAAGTATACCTACATGGAGGAGATGCTGGAGAATGTGGCCGGAGCCCGGCAAGTCTTTGAACGCTGGATGGAGTGGCAACCAGAGGAGCAGGCCTGGCAGACATACGTGAACTTCGAGCTGCGCTATAAGGAGATTGACCGGGCGCGCGAGGTTTACGAACGGTTCGTCTATGTTCATCCGGACGTCAAGAACTGGATCAAGTTTGCCCGGTTCGAGGAGGCGCATGGCTTCATCCATGGGTCGCGGCGCGTGTTCGAAAGGGCCGTAGAGTTCTTTGGCGACGAGTACATCGAGGAGCGCCTCTTCATCGGCTTCGCGCGCTTCGAGGAAGGCCAGAAGGAGCACGACCGCGCCCGCATCATCTACAAGTACGCTCTTGACCATCTGCCCAAGGAGCGTACCAAGGAATTGTTCAAGGCCTACACGATACACGAGAAGAAGTACGGTGACCGCGACGGTATCGAGGACGTCATCGTCTCCAAGCGGAAGTACCAGTACGAGCAGGAGGTGGCCGCCAATCCCACCAATTACGATGCCTGGTTCGATTACCTACGTTTGATCGAGGCCGATGGCGAGAAAGACCTCATTAGGGACACCTACGAGCGGGCCATCGCCAACGTTCCGCCAGCTAATGAAAAGAACTATTGGCGTCGCTATATCTACCTCTGGATAAACTACGCCCTCTACGAGGAGCTGGAAGCGGAGGACACTGAGCGGACGCGCCAAATCTACAAGACCTGTCTCGACTTGATGCCACACAAGCAGTTTACCTTCAGCAAGGTCTGGCTGCTCTACGCCCAATTTGAGATCCGCTGCAAGGAGCTGCAAAGGGCCCGCAAGACGCTCGGTTTCGCCATCGGTATGTGCCCCCGGGACAAGCTTTTCCGGGGTTACATCGATCTAGAGATCCAGCTGCGAGAATTCGAGCGCTGTCGTCTGCTCTACGAGAAGTTCCTTGAATTCGGACCCGAAAACTGCGTAACCTGGATGAAATTCGCCGAGCTGGAGAACCTCTTGGGCGACACGGAACGGGCAAGGGCCATATTTGAGCTGGCCGTTCATCAGCCTCGTCTCGACATGCCGGAGCTGCTTTGGAAGGCTTTCATCGACTTCGAGGTGGCCCTTGGCGAAACGGAGCTGGCTCGCCAGCTGTATGAGCGTCTCCTGGAGCGCACTCAGCACGTCAAAGTTTGGATGTCATTTGCCAAATTCGAGATGGGCCTCAATCACGGCGACAGCGGGCCCGATGCCGCACTCAATGTCCGACTGGCCCGTCGCGTCTATGAGCGGGCCAACGATATGCTCCGCCAGCTGGGCGACAAGGAGTCGCGCGTCCTTCTGCTGGAGGCCTGGCGTGACTTCGAGCGGGATGCCAATGATGGCCAGTGCCTGCAAAAGGTGCTCGAAAGGATGCCGCGTCGCATCAAGAAACGACAGAAGATCGTCTCTGACGATGGCGTAGAGGAGGGATGGGAGGAAGTATTTGACTACATCTTCCCCGAAGATGAGATGGCGCGACCCAACCTCAAGCTGCTCGCCGCTGCCAAGATGTGGAAAAAACAAAAGGACGTACCCGACGAAGATCCAGTACCTGCCCCTGCCGAGGTTCAGCACGAGGATGGCTGATATTTGTTTTTTTCCTTTCCTTAATTCCACTTTGCATTAAACTTCCAACATAACCCAATATGGCAGCTGATTCTTTCTAATTTTGCGTTGGTAGATTGAAGGATATAAATTCTTTCATATATAGGAGTCTATAAATTCCTTTGACAACCGCATGGAGCTGGACATTTTCCTTGGTAGATGCCTTGGTGTTCATAAAACTTTAGTTCAACCAGCGTAAATCTGTCAAGGGAACTGCAACATTTGTTGGCCTTAAAACAGCTGTGGGCACGTATTCGCTCCCCGAGAAAGCGAAAACCGCCTACATATCGTGTGCTTTGGCAGATATGGGTTGAAATCTTCTGTTGTTAATATCAGATTTCACTTTATCCTTGAAGAAGGATGATTCATGATAAAAGTTCTTCTTTATTACATACATATGTATGTATGTACGTATTGGAACTAAATATCTGAACAAAACTCCAGATTTTGAGCCAATATTGACTAACGTTATAGATTTGATCTTTAATTGCTCCAATAAATGTTTTTCCTGTGCGAATGTGCTTATCATTAAATTAAAAATAAATAAAAACAACGTAAATCATTTTTGGTAATATGTATGTAATTCCAAACCAAACATTAAGAGACATTAATGCGCACAGCTTTCCAGGTCAGATTGAATATTGCGTCAGGTTTCGTTCAAATCGGGATTTGAATCGTTGACCGCAAAAACCACTCTCTTCTCTTTTGTTGCTGGGCCGTTTGAATTCTGTGGTGTTTTGCAATTATTTATCTTTAAAACGAAAAATTGCCCAACCTGAACCCCTGCCTTTGCCAGATTTGTAGGTCTAATTAACAGTTAAAATTAATTAATTAAACCTAATGTCAACATAAAAATCCGTTCCATTTTGAACGATTTTTTCACTCCAAATGTGCACGCATGTCCCGTGTGACATTGTCGAATTGCCCACATGGTCGAAGTGCAATAAGGAATAGCGCATGCAACTAAAATCTGTATTTTCAATCGGTGTCTGCCCAATTTTGTTCCACTAAGCTCTTTCACTTGCCGGAAAAAAGATTGGAAACCTTTGTTTATATTGATCATTGGAGATAAGAATGATGAGGATAGGAGTGGCTGCGTGTAATATGGTCAAGAACTGCCCAGGTTATGCGCTCTCAACTCTTTTACTTGTTGGCAAGGCATTGGCTGGAACATCCTCACTTGGCCCTCAGCAGGAGTGTGAAAGCAGAGTAGGCGAAATGCATAACCTGGAAGTAATGTAAAGTAAAGAATGTGCCACGGACAGCATTAGAGGTCACTAAGGGGCACGTACCTCCTTAAAGGTCTCCAGAGTGAGGGGAATATAGCTGCCGGCGAGTATAAGCGATGGTCGCTGGGCCCGCGCTAGGGTAAAGAGAAGATCGCGCCGAAAGCGGGGCAGCTGCTCGACCCAGTTGCACGCGTAGAAGGCGTTGCAAAGGGCCTCGCTCTGCGTGCGCATCTTTTCGCCGAAGTAGCAGATGACGAACACCTCCAGGGTGACGGCCACAAAGAAAATGACCGAGAGGATCATGGCCAGCCGGTCGTCGGCGTCGGCAACGTACAGAAAGTGCATGGCGACCGTGCACTGGACGGCGACGGAGCACGCGAACTGGGCCATGCAAGGCACGGACAGGATTTGCTGGATGATGGTGTGCATCCGGTGGATGAGCGTCAGGTCTTGGATGCATGACAGGAGCTGATCGTAGCTCTGCTGACCACTGGCGCATTCGCAGCCGATCCGGGCCACCCGTACCTCCAAGGCCCTCATGTGGCCCGTCAGCAGGCAGAGGTAGGCCGGCGGATACGAGTCGCTGGCGCAGTTCTGCACCGCCTGAACGATCAGGCCGAACAGCTGGTACACGTAGATTCCCACAAAGGCCTCGTTCGAGTTCTTCCAGTCTACCCCGAACCAGGCCGGGTAGAGCAACTGGCGGCTCCTGGCAAGGGCCACACGGACGCAGCTTAGCGAGGTGCCGCACACGAAGATCCATGCAAAGGTGCGGAATGTGTTCCGGGCCGTCGTCACAGCCTGGACGAGAGCGCACAGCTCATCGCGATCGCAAATCGCCAGGGCCCGGCAGTCCAGTTGCTGGATCAGCGAGCGGATCTCGCCGAGGTGGCGCCGCACTAGGTACACGTTTCCGAACTTCAAGTTGGCCGTTATGTCTGTGATGGTGATGGTTAGGTTCTCGCACAGCTCCTTCATGCTGCGCGTCAGGATGAGCCGGGCCAGCAGGCTCAGCGGAAAGAGCAGAGTGACCATCAGGTTTAGGCCGATCGCGTATGTCCGGTAGAGGCTTTTCGAGATGCCTGCCGGACGAATCAGGCCGGTCAGCTGCCAGACCCGCCAGTGATAGTCCACGGCGGAGTGGGTGTTCAGTTCGGGCTGGTTTTCACTTCCGGGCTGCATCGTTGTCCTGCTCCTGGCTCTGCTCGGCTTTTGGTCTGGTCAACTGGATGTATGGCCGGGGCCTATATTCGCCGTAGATGTAGGCAATTTGGTTAAATGTACATGTCATTATGGCTGTTTACGCAATTGCCGGTTACGGTTACGAATATTGGCCAAAAGTTCTGTTCGCTAAGTGGCTGGGAAAATGGACAAAAGGAAGCCACCGTCACCACCTCACCCTCCCAATAAAAAGCCTTCAATGGTATTTTTTTCAGTTTCATTTGAAATCTCTGTTTCTTGGAATTCCTTTCCTTCTCGTGGGGACGGGGACGGGTACGGGGACAGGCGGGGGACAATTACAGTGTCGACCGTTTCTTATGGCTTCCGCCCACGCCAGTGCGTGTAAAGAGATGGATGGGCGATGAGTGTTTGAGTGCTCAGGTGCATGGACGGGTGTATGAATACTCAATGTTCTCTCAATGTGGAATTATTAACCAACATTTAGGTTCTACATATAGTACGTAATCGGAGTGCGTTTGCTTGTGTCTGTCTATTTACAAGAGGTTGCATTTAAGTCTAATATCGCTAGGTAGGCAGGTAGTAGGTATTGGAAGATATGAGGGCGGGCTAGGCTAGGCTGGGACGGGGACAGAGGGAGACAAAGCAAAAAAAAAGTACCAATCCGTGAATGCAATCAGTCGGAAAGCATATTTACATAGTGTTCTTAATTTGTGATTTCTAAGAGTGAACCTAAAAATACAATCAAGGAGTTCAGTTCAGTTGCTGGGGTACATGCAGTAGGGACTCCATTCCCTCGCGTATGGGTCTTCTTTTTTCGCTATTTCGTTTCTTTCGCTCCTCGCGATCAGCAGCAAGCTCTCGGGAGGGGAATAAGAATCATAAATATGGCTGGCTATACTCGTAGATGCCATGCATTAATGTATGTATGTATATATCTGTTTGTGTATAGTGCGACTACATTGACGCAATCAAAAACTTATTGTGACGAGACCCGACAGTCAACAGCATTGGACAGGACAGGCCAGGGCAGGGTAGGGTATCATCATTTCGGTGCATGCAGCTGTCGTAAGATCAGTTTTTGTTTCTCTGTTCTCTGGTGCGGCTCTGGCACTTGATCACTGTTTTCGTGTTTATTTTCGGGCTCGTTTTTAATTCATTTTTCAGACTTCTTGTACTTCTCATTGTTGTCGCTGTTGCTGTATGTTTGATTGGATCTTCGGTCGTTTCGTTGCGCATTAATTGGTCTGCCTACGGACTTGGAGTCGCTGCATCTTGGGCGGCATTCTGAGTTGTGTTTTTTTCTTTGTCTTTGTCTGGTTTAGCATCCTGCAACAGAAGTAATTAAATCCTAAATTTAGTCGGAATGTGAGGTAATCAAGCTTACCTTGGCCATAACAGAGGCTGCCTCCTGCTTCAGATAGTTTTCGCGCGCCCCCTCGTACAGTTCCACGAACTTATCTCGCTGCACCTTAAACTGGGCAAATAGCTCATCGTCCTTGTTGCCCTTCAGACGGTTTTCGATGTCCACCTTCTTGTCGTGCTCCCCGCGAATCTGCTCCGTCACCCAAGGCTTGTCCAGCGGGTACTGATTCACCATATTCTTAAGCGTTTTGATGGTGCTCTTTCCCTTGACCACCTGCTTGATCAGCACCGGATTCGGTTTCTTGATCCTGCCCCCGTTTGGGCCGCCATTCATGTTCATTCCCCCGCCAAAGGGTCCCCCAGGCGGCATTCCACGCAGCGGCATGCGAGGACCCATCAAGTGCATGGGTGGACCCCCCATCATGTGGATTGGTGCACCGCGACCGTTGTGGCGCATGAAGTGAGGCGGTGGCGGTGGACCACCCATCGGTGGCATGGGGCAACGCATGGCCATGGGCGGCACCATCTGTGGTGGATAAGGCATCGGTGGAAAGGGCGCCATTGGCATTGGCCTTCCGCAGCGTGGTCGTGGGCCCGGTCCCATTAGTCCCATGACGGGCATCATGTGATGTGGACAACCATGGCTCGGTGGAGGCCTGTTAAAGCCACCACCGTTAAAGCGATTTTGGGGATGAAAGCGCTGCTTGGGAGGCCACTTGTGGACGCCCTCGCTATTTCCATTTGCGTGTACATTCCCGCTCAAATGTCCTGAGAACTCTTGCTGCAGCGGCAGCTGGTGCTTGCCCTTGGGCTGCTGTTTACTCTTGAGCGGCTTCTTCCTGGCCATCTCCCAGGCGGTAGACTGCGCAGGATTGGCATTGGTCTTGAGCGGGCCTGTCGAACAGGCAGTGCCTTGGGGCTTGGCCGCCGGACTGGCAGTACCCTGGTGCCTGGCAGCCGGAACGGTAAGGACGTGGGCCTGGCCCTGGGTTGCCGACCCGGCTGCAGACTTGGTCGGTGGTACGGTCGTGGGTCTGTTGAAGTCTATGTATAGTGGGTCGCTGGGCATCTGGCACGATGAGTACATCATTTGATTGGCTTTGCTCCCGGCCACTGGTGCCCCACGAAAAGGTTTTCTGTACGGAGCAGCTGCAGCACGAGCATTGTGACAGTGCTGCTGGCTCTGATTGTGCTGCATTGCCCGGTTCTGCTGATTGTTATATTTGAACACCATTTAACGAGCAAAACGAATTTGACGCGGCTGGGCCACACAGAGACGATCCGCAGTAAGGATCACACTAAATATTTGGTACTATACGTACTGCTAACGATTAAATAAAACATTCATTCAGTTCTATTTTGACGGGTTACGAATTTAAGAACAATTTAGTGATGACAAAACTTTTCCGGAACTGATAGGTTCCACTAGCAGCTGCGATGTGTATCGATGTAAGATCGATACATTGAGCGTGGATATGACATCAGACTTTTGCCAATTAAGCTTTTGCAGCAGCGATCTAACATTTTCAACTGTGTGCTGACTTACAGGTAAAACTTGCTGTGGAAAATAAAATGCTTTAATGTACATGGACTTCGATTTGATATTTGAGTTTTGTATCGATAGTAAATGTTTGTATCGCCAGAAATTTGTATTTATACATCGGATCATTAAGTGTCATAACTATTACCCTACACGTGCAACAGATTTTGCTTCAATGTTTTAAAACATTGCGTCCATTAAATCTATTCTATTCAACAAATATATGTAAATGTTTACTGCATCATAAAAATGGGCAAAAAAGTTCACAATGCCAAAGCTCGAAAAAATCTACAAACGATTGTAGACAATTCCGGAGTTAAAAAGGTCAAATACTCCCATCAAAATCACGTCACTCGTATTACTGACTGACCAACCCAACATTTGCAGATTCAAATAGATGTAGACTCTGTGGCCGGGGGCACGGGCAGGGGTAGCGGAATCGGTGCTGGCTACGATGAGGCCAATGCCTTGGTGCTGCCCTCACAGAAGCGCGCAACCAAGACTGTAGTTGAGAAGACGCAGAATGTGAAAATCCTGACTAAGAAGCAGCGCAAGCACCTGCAGGCGATTGTAGACAAGAAGAAGAAAAAGGAAGGCGTGAGTAAAGTACAAGTCCCAAAATATACCCCATCACATATCCTCTCATGCAATTACAGCGAGCCCAGCTGCTAGAAGACTTGGCATCTGTACAAATACCTGACGCTGAGCTCCAGCAGTATACATCCATCACCCAGGTGCAAACGGTGGGTCTGAAGCGCCTGCAAACTCTGGACGACTACTTGGCCAAGAAGAAGGAACGGCAGGCTCAAGCGCAGGCCGAGAAAACACCCAGGAGTCGTGTGAACGCCATCAAGGGGGCAGCCAAGCGTAAACTGCTTACCGAGGAGCAGGAGGAGCTGGATGCCAAGCGAAAGAATCCTAATATAATTAGCTTAAAAGAAGACGACGAAGATGAGAGTGCCTCTTCGTGTGACGATGATGAATCTGCAGCAGAACATTCACCAGCACCTGCGGATGGTCTCACTCTATCAGAAATAGACCCCACGACCGTACCAGTGAAAGAAGACCGCATACCCAAGAACAAAGACCCGAAACCTATTGCTGCCATACCCAAATGCAGCCATCAAACAGTTTACGTCCCCGTGAATCGCATGGATAAGGTGCAGGAGGCACGTTTGCGCTTGCCTATCCTCGCAGAGGAGCAGCAGGTGATGGAGACGATCAACGAGAATCCCATTGTGATTATAGCCGGTGCGACGGGCTCGGGAAAAACGACCCAGCTGCCGCAGTTCCTTTACGAGGCAGGATACGCCCAGCACAAGATTATCGGGGTAACCGAGCCGCGGCGAGTGGCTGCCATAGCCATGTCAAAGCGTGTGGCTCACGAGATGAATCTGTCGGAGCGCGAGGTATCCTACCTCATACGTTTCGAGGGCAACGTGAGTCCGGCCACTCGCATAAAGTTCATGACGGACGGCGTCCTGATGAAGGAAATCGAGAGCGACTTTCTGCTAAACAAATATTCTGTGATTATTCTGGACGAGGCGCACGAGCGCAGTATCTACACGGATATCCTCGTGGGACTGCTGTCCCGCATAGTTCCCCTGCGACACAAGCGCGGAAGTCCCCTCAAGCTCATAATCATGTCTGCCACGCTCCGCGTCACCGACTTCACAGAGAATACGCGGCTGTTCAAGCAGCCCCCGCCGCTGATCAATGTAGAGTGCCGCCAGTTTCCCGTCACCATCCACTTCCAGAAGCGCACCCCCGACGACTACGTGGCCGAGGCATACCGCAAGGCACTGAAGATACACAACCAGCTGCCTGAGGGCGGGATCCTCATCTTCGTGACTGGCCAGCAAGAGGTCAATCAGCTCGTGCGCAAGCTACGTCGAACTTTTCCCTGTCGTCCCACAGACCAAAACGGCGATCGCGATCACGACTCTGATACCGTGAAGCACAATGAAGCAAAGGAGAATATGCAAAAAGAATCTGCAGAGGACCTTAAGGAGCTGGAACTTGAATTTGATATGAAGCGTGTGATCCGCAATATCCGCAAGTCCAAGAAGAAGTTCCTCGCTCAGATGTCCCTACCAAAGATCAACCTGGACGACTACAAGCTGCCCGGCGACGACACCGAAGCGGACATGCACGATCAGGGGGACTCGGATCCCAATTGGGATGACGAAGAGGGTGCATTTTCCGCAGATGACCAGAATGATGATGACGTACTGGGAGGCGCAGAGGTGTCCAGCATGCCCTCTGGCCCGAAGCAGCCACTCTGGGTGCTGCCCCTTTACTCGCTGCTCTCCTCCGAGAAGCAGAACCGAATCTTCCAGCCCGTCCCCGAGGGCTGTCGCCTGTGCGTGGTCAGCACCAATGTGGCTGAGACCTCGTTGACCATTCCCCACATCAAATACGTCGTAGACTGCGGCCGCCAAAAGACGCGACTCTACGACAAGCTCACCGGCGTCAGCGCCTTCGTGGTCACCTACACGTCCAAGGCCTCGGCGGAACAGCGGGCTGGTAGGGCGGGCCGCATCAGCGCTGGCCACTGCTACCGCCTGTACTCCAGCTCTGTGTACGAGCACCAGTTCATGGAGTTCGGCATGCCGGATATCCAGCAGAAGCCCGTCGATGACCTGATGCTGCAGATGCGCACCATGGGCATCGACCGCGTCGTCCACTTCCCCTTCCCCACGCCGCCGGAGCAAATCCAGCTGCAAGCCGCCGAGCAGCGTCTCACGATCCTGGGCGCCCTGCAGGCCACGCCCAACGACGCCAAGGATTTCCCTCCGGCCGTGACTCCGCTGGGGAAGGTTATCTCCCGCTTCCCGGTGGCACCTCGCTTCGGCAAGATGTTGGCCCTGTCTCATCAGCAGGACCTGCTGCCCTACACCGTGTGCCTGGTGGCCGCGCTTTCTGTGCAGGAGCTGCTGCAGGAGACAGGTGTGCAGCGGACCGAGGACGTGGCCCCCAAAGCCAACAAGTTCCACGAAAAGCGCCTGCGTTGGGCGGCGGGCGGCAATTTCCAGCTGCTCGGTGATCCCATGGTCCTCCTCCGAGCTGTGGGGGCGGCAGAGTATGCCGGCTCTAGGGCCCAGCTGCCTGAGTTCTGTGTTAACAATGGACTGCGCCAAAAGGCGATCAGCGAGGTGCGCAAGCTACGCGTCCAGCTGACCAACGAGATAAATCTGAACGTCAGCGGGGTGGAGCTGAGCGTGGATCCCCAGTTAAAGCCGCCCAGCGATTCACAGGCCCGATTATTGCGCCAGATATTGCTGGCTGGTATGGGCGATCGAGTGGCGCGCAAGGTGCCGTTGGCTGAGATCGCCGACAAAGAGGAACGGCGACGACTAAAGTACGCCTATAACTGCGCCGACATGGTCGATCCCGCCTTCCTGCACGCCTCCTCGGTGCTCAAGCAGAAGACGCCCGAGTGGATCATCTATCAGGAGGCGTACGAGCTGCGGAATGATGACTCTGAGAAGATGTTCTTGCGCGGCATTACCGCCATTGAGCCGGAGTGGCTGCTCCTCTATGTCCCTCTTCTGTGCAATATGCGTGATGTGCGCGACGATCCGCCGCCGCGCTTCGAAGCCTCGTCGGGCAAGCTCCTCTGCTTTGTGGAAGCCACGTTCGGCAAGGCTGGCTGGCCACTTCCTCTATGCGAGATAGCAATGCCACTCAGCGAGAAGGCCTGCTGGTAAGTGATGCTATCTATTTAGAACTTATAGATATTAACTATTTACACACCTTTTTTCACAGCTACTTTGGCATGTTCCTGCTGGCTGGAGACATCTGTCCCCGGCTGGCGGCGTTCAAGCGGAAGCTGAGGGTCACACCCGCCACACTCATCAAGAGCTGGTCGAACCTCAACGACAAGGTGCTGCGCTTCAAGCGCGCCCTCATCAGCAAGGAGATCCACACCCGCCAGGCCCTGCACGAGCAGTGGGCCAGCGAGCCGAACTGTGAGTATAATCTGCTAGATTGCCAGAAAACACATTTCGCTAATGCCCTTCTATATTGTAGTCCTGCTGGAGGAGTACCACGGCTTGCTGTACGACGTGGCCCTGAGCGAGCTGACATCCCTGTGGCCACCCCTGCCCCAGCTCCAGCCCCAGCCCCTGCCAATGTCCTAAAAACACACGAAATGGGACTTTTGTATAACAAGTTTCATTATATTTATTTAATTGATATACCATATATATATGTATGTATATACTCTTGTGTATATTATACATTAATATGAAATTAGGTTTAAATGTAACTAAAAACTGTATTGTGGTCACAAGGGGGGAAGCCGGGGTAGGAATTGGAATATTGTGGGAAAATGTTAAGGTTTTGTTAGCGACTAAGTTTAATGCAATTCGCACATATTTACACACACATTTATATATATATGTATGTATATATATTCCTGTCTGTTTGTTTTTTTGTGTGTGCGCAAGAGATTTGGCTATTTGATTATGGTTGGTTATTCACATCTATGTATCTTTCATATCCATCCATATGATACGGATCGGATATCAAATACTGAATATCCATCGATCAATTCAGAATTTGGCTTACAAACGTTAACTTTGTTCGCTTTGCTACAGTCCTTACTATTATTTACAGGTGGCGTCTCTTCACATATCTTTATTTGGGATTGGGATTAGGATTTGTTTGGGATCTTGCTTGGTGCTTGGTATTGCTGTGCACAAAGCTCTGCCCTAGTTAATGATACATATGTACACATATAATATAGGTAGATATACACAGAAGTGCTCATTCTTCCATTGGCTAGTATAATTTAATTCGTAATTGTAATCAATCGCGTTACCCATCCTCCAATCAGTAATCATCAGTAGGTATCATGCTCAAGTTTTGCTTCGAATAGGCTTATGTTTGCTATAGATTTAACGTATATATACTTTGTCATTGCATTGCATTATTATATACAGATGTTGAACAATGCTGCGTTTATAGTAAGTATGAGCATACACCGCCATCCGCCGTTCTATTCTCCAGAAGGAGTCTCCGGCTAGATGAGGGTTGATATGAGTTGAGCCCAGATCGTGATGCGGATGTGGATGGGATCTGGGCCCAGTGAAACTCTCGAGGGTTCTGGTCACACATGTATGCACGCACACACAAGCACACACACATATGCGCGTATATAGTAATACGTTGCTTAGATATACACATACTATATTATATATACATCTACATATGTGTGTGTAGAAAAAATCAGTCTAATATATTAAGGCAACGTGAGAGCTTATCGTGTCGTCATTCATTCCACTTTCTCCTGTACTCCTATGCTACTACCTTCTCCTGTTTCTCCTGTCCCATCAACGCTTACTTACACCTAGGAGTTGTGTGTGTGTATCATACGCATACGTTTGTATGCGGTTTTGTAACTCGAATCCCTTCCTTCCTGTTCTGCTCTGCTCCATCTGTGTGCTCAGTGGTTTCCTTAGTTTGCATCTTCTCGCTAAGTTGATGTTCAATTTATTTTATATATGGTTTTCCATATTATAGATCTTCTGCCTATTTTGGTATGTTTTGTGTGCGGATGTATGTTGGTGGAGTGGATTGTGGGGTGGTGGAGGGGTGGATGGGTGAATTTGGGTTCTTTAACTTTAAGCTTTAAATTATAGGTACGCATATTATACATACACACATTTACGTATGCATGCATATACATATGTATGGATTACATATATATATATATATATAAATTCTTTGTTTAGGTTTGCTTAATATCTGCACGAATATTGGCTAGCAGGGGGAGAAGAACAACAAAAAATACATGTGAGAAGCATTTGGTTTTGGGTTATAACAATTATTAGTTAGATATTTCTTAGAAACTTAGAAACAGGTATAGAGCTTCGTCCTCTGCCTTTGCTTCTGCCTCTGCCCCTTCCATCCTCACCCGGATTTGCGCCCTTTAATTGTGGTTGCTATTTGTATGTATGTATGCATGCATGTATATTCAATATAGTATATGTATATGTTTAGTCTGATCTATAACGTGTACTGTAATACTAAAAATGTAATTGTTTGTTGGTATTTCTTTAGAATTATCGTAGTTCCTCTTCCTCCTCCACCCTTCTCTTCTCCTATAAAATCTTAATAATTTCTATTATATTCATATTGTAAATTTGTTTCTTTATATACATATACATATATAGTGTATTATATATGGTATATGGGATCAGCATATCTAGGGTTAATAGAGATGGTGAAAAAGCTAATCAAACCTTTGTATATACACACAGGATACAGATACAGACACATGCCCAGAACCTTCGTGCAAGGAAAGCGCTGAGCTGATATAACAAATCTCTCTCTGTCCCTAATCTAATCCTATCTACATATATATGTATCTATACTATATCTATCTATATAGTGGGTATTTATACTCATACGAATTTAGTATCTATATCCATGTATATATATATATGTCTATATAGTCTGGTATATATCAAATATGAATATATACAATCTGATCTCGATCGCGATTTCGATTTCGATTTCGATGACCGGTAACCAAAATTACACTAAACGCAGTCGTTTTATAAACTTTACTTTGATTTCTTGGAAGTGCTTCTCAATTGTTGTTGTTGTTATCGCATCGATTGCTGGGACTCATGCTCCTGGCTCCAATTTCCACACTATCGGCCACACACATCTCTCTCCCTCCCTCTCTCTCTCCCTCTCTCTCTCCCTCTCTCTCTCTCTCTCTCTCTCTCTCTCTTTCTCTGATATGTATTACATGTGTGTGTTTCTAAGGGAGCTTCTGTGTGCCGTGCGTCTGCTTGGCAAACAAATGCAAATCTTTATAGATATATAGTCATATGTGTCCACGATCCTTTGTTCCTTAGACTGTTGTCCCGTTCCCCTTCTCGTTCTCCATCTCGGTCTCATCGCTCATCGCCTCCTCCGGCTGTGCCGCATCCTTCCCCTTTTCCTTCTCAGCTTTGTCCTCCGACTCCACTTGTATGGTGGAATTCTTGGATTCTTCTTCGCTTTCTTCTTCTCCCACTTCTGGGTCAGTGGCCGGGGCAGGTACAGGTCGAGGTACATGGCTAGAAACAGGTGGGGAGGGTGGGGTTGTGCCACTGGGTGGCATCTCCTCCTCTGGATTTTCTACAAAGACCTCCTCCTGTCGCAGTTCCAGTTGCACCTCATCCGGCTCATCGAGTTCCAAATCAGGGTTGTCCGGATGTTCATCCATCTCCTGCTCTGTCTCCTCTTCATCCACATGCGCGGTTCCAGCTACCACTTGCTCCTCCGCCTGGGGCTGGGCTTGGTCGGGTCCTTCCTGCTTCTCCTGTTCCTGGGCCGCAGCAGCCTCGTCCAGCTTCTGGAGCAGTTCCGGGGACAGCTCTCCAACATAATCGAATCCCTCGAACTCATCCGGGACTGTGGACCCAGAGCCAGAGCCGGCAGCTGCCGCCTGCTTCCTTTTGTCCGCCATGAGCTTCCACATGCTCAGGAGGGTGTTGAAGTTCATCAAGTCGATGGCGGAGTGGGGTCCGGGCGCTGACCTAGCACCTAGGCCAGGCAGTCCACGGGCGGATGCGGAGGGCGTGCTCTCGTCCTCAGAACTGCTGCTGCTCACGGCCCGTATCTTGGCCTTGTGCGATTTGCTGGCTGACTCGCCTGCGCCTGCTCCTGCCCCTGCCACTGCACCTGCATTGCCTGACGACGACCGACCTCCAATAATGGGGGTGAGCCCGGAAAGCTTCAGCTGCATGTTGTACTCGTGGAACTCGCGCTGGATGGAGCTGCGCCGCGAGTTGGCCATCTCATCGGAGCTGCTCATTATCTGGTTGTACTCCCGCAGGCCCAGCTCCTCAACGGGCACGTAGTGGTCCCCGATCTCGACGAGGTACACGCAGCGGTTCACATGTGAGCGGAAGCGCACATCCTTGTGGTTGGGCGCCCAGCAATGGACCACATGGCCCACCATCCCTGCACTGGGCTCCCAGTCCTTCCACGAGAGGCGGCCTCCGTTGTTGCGCATCAGTTCGCTAGGCCAGACGACGGCACCAATGACGTCCAGGCAGTCGTAGATCTGCAAACGGATCAATCAGAGCAAATCAGTACAGTACGCAGTTCTCCAGCTGTGCTCTCTCTTACTCTTACTTACCCCCGTTTCATCCACTATGATGACCTTCTTGAAGATCTCTATGCGCGGCTTCCTAGTGGGCCCAGATCCGGACAATGGCCCAGTTCCTGTTCCCGTTCCCGTTCCAGCTGCTGGTCCTACTCCCACTCCAGATCCAGGTCCAGGTCCAGGTCCCGTTCCCGGCTCGCCACTCAGCGGAGCGGAGGTGAGGCAGATGGGGCCTTTCGTCTTCCGCGGATAGTCTCCCGGCGTGGTTATGATATTGCCTATAGCCAGGCCCACGCCAAGTCCAAGGCTGCCCGAGGAAGAGGACAGTTTGCCGCTGCGAGGGCTCGGGTCGTGGTCTAACTGCGTGTAGGGCATGGCCAGCTCCTTGCCCGAATCTGATCCTCCTCCTGGTCCTTCACCACTGGCTATAGGCAGGGTGGCCCTTCGCTCGTGATCCCTGCCTCTGCTGCTGCTGGTTCCCATTCCCGCCTGCTGGAGCTGGCTCCTGCCGCGCACTCCGCTACTGCTGCTGCTGGCCCTGAGGCTGGTGGTGATGGTGGAGCCCGAGCCCGTGTTGGAAGTGGCTGCCGCCGCCGTTTCTTGGTCGCGCTCCCGGTTGAGCAGGCCCGCAATGAGGGTTGTCGAGGTGGGCTTGACCGGCATCACGGCCAGGCCGCCGCGCACCACCGCCAGGCTGTCGCTCACGTAGCTGCCGTTGTGGGTGGCGAGGGAGCCGGGCACGTTGCTGGAACGGACGCCGTAGTAGCTGTTCACGGTGAGGGTGTTGTAGAGCGGGGCCGAGATGAAGACGGGCGCCAGCTCACCGGATTCGCCACCCGTGCTGCTGGCGGTGCCAGGAGCAGCCACACCCAGACCCAGACCCACACCCACACTCACACCTACTCCGGATCCAGTGGATGCTCCTACGGCAGTGGCCGTGGAGGTGGCACCCACAACGCTGCCGCCACTCCCAAAGTTGCAGGTGGCCCCCATCTGGAGGGGATTCTGCGGCTGCTGCTGAGCAGAGTTCTGTTCCAGGGCCGAGCCCGAGCTGCAGCCCTGGCGGCACCGCTCGCGGATGCGGTGCCACCAGCCGAGGACCGTCTGCCGGATGGTTTCCAGCGTGATGGCCCCGCCAATGATCTGGCAGAGCTGGGCGTTTGTGTCCGCGTAGGAGGTGGTCAGCGGCGACACGTAGATGGGATAGCCGATGGGCTGGTCGCAGCTTGAGTTGATGATGTTGCGCAGGGCCTGCTTGGCGTTCTGTATGCTGCCCCGCTCCGGGTTGCGGTTGCGCAGGTAGATAAGCTCCTGCTGCTGGCCCGCCCACAGACCGCGGACACACTCGCGGTTCAGCTTGATCACGCGGAAGCTGAGGAAGCGCTTCGTCAGGCGGATAATGCGGTACTCGTCCGAGCCGTCCTCCATCACGTGTCGCAGGGCTAGCAGATTGGGGGCTCCCCGCAACACGGCACTTCGCCACACGGGATCAGCCTCGTGGGAAATCACCAGCTCTTTGGAGCAGTTGTCGATGGCCTCGTAGAGGGCGTGCGGGTCGAGAAACTCGTCCGGGTTCGTGATGTGGTCCTGCTGCAGCTTCAGCGCCATCTTCACTGCCGGCGCTACCACCGAGTGGAGCAGCTCCATGTCCGCGAAGACCCACTCGTCGCGCGGCGACGTGATCCGAAAGTCGCCCTTGAACAGTGCGTGCAGACCGTGCAGAAAGAACTCCACCCCCGACATGGAGCTGTGCGAGGCGGTGGCCAAGGAGCGGCGGGCCAGCAGACCCAAGGCCAGGCACAGGGACACCAGCGGCGCGTCCTTGCCCACGCTGGCCAGCTTCAGCTTGAGTGGGACAGGCCTCTCCCTCTCTGCCGTCGTCACTGAATCCTCCTTGCGCAGCGTCTTGCCGCTGGGTGTCGTCATGATGGACGTGGCCCCTCCTGGTCCCTGGAATCCTGTTCCTGGCGTCACTGTATTCGTGGTCGTTGCCTTGGCCAGCTTGACGAACACATTCTGGTCCCTGTAGGTGACGTAGCCTCCGAGGCCGGGCGCACTTTCGGAAGTCTGGCGTGAGATGTTGGCAAAGCTGTGCGACCCACTCAGCTGATCCCCGCCAGCAGCCACTCCCGCTCCTGTTCCGGCTCCCGCACCACCTCCTGCGGCACTTAGTCCTCCGCCTGCGGCTCCAGCTCCACCTCCGTCTTGGTTTGCACACTTTTGGGTCCTTCCTCCGCTGCGCAGCTGCTGCTGGGACTGCGACTTGGACTGGCCGGAGCCCGTTCCGGTAGAGCCCCCATGGGAGGAGAGGTTCGGCGTGCTCTTCGAGTCATTGTGGGCAGGCGTTGAATTCGGTTGGGGCTGAGGGACTGCATGCGCGGCAGCTGGTGTGCTTGGCGGGGGGGCTGGTGGCGCCATGGAGGAGGAGGCAGCCGCATCTCGCCGCATGTCCACGCAGTAGTTGATCCACTTGAGGTACACGTAGCAGAAGCTAGAGCGCGTGATGCCGACGGCGCGGAAGTCAAAGTCCTCGTCCAGATTGAAGTTGAAAACAGGATCGAGGTCCACGAACTGGCGCCCCAGCGTGTGCTGCAGCGCATCCTGGATGGGGCCCGAGGCGAGCCACTGCTCCAGCTTGGGATTCCTAACCACATAGTAGATGATGCTCTTGATGTAGTAGGTGATGAGCACCTTCCGGTACTCGAACACTTGGAGGGTGGCGCTGGCCAGGTTGTCCGATATGGAGTAGCCCTCGATGACGTACTGGGCGGCGACCACCTGCCAGGCCAGCCAGCGGGTCGAGAACATGGCGTTGGCGCTAAGTAGGCGCGGCAGGTGGCCAGGATCGCAGCAGCAGCAGCCATCGTTGTCCTCCACATCCTCGGTGATGGCCTCCACCTCGCGCTGCTGGCAGTAGGTGCCCCGGAACTCCAGTCCGCGCATCTGGAAAGTGCACAGGCCGTTGCCCAGTTCGATGATGTGCACCAAGCAGTTGAGATCATCCGAAGCGAGCACTGCAAGTTAAGTGGTTTCGAAAGATTCGATATATAGAGAGATTCGACGACGAGTTGAGATCGCACGGCCAATGGCACTCACCGAAGCAGTCCCCTTGGTTAACATTTCCCCAGCGACCCATGAGCAGGTCCCCGCAGAGCGAGTGCTGCAGGGAGCGGGTGAGATGCTCATAGAAGATGCTGTTCAGGTTGTTGTCGTCCGCCCCCAGGTCGCGCTCCAGCTGGGAGCTGAGCCGCGTGTTGGAGTGATCGATGCGGCGCGTGTTGTAGTCCCGCTCCCAGAACTTAATCGGGCGCACGTACGAGGTGAGGAAGATGGCGCTGCCCAGGAACGGATTGAGCGGCGTCGAGAGCAGCGCAGAGATGCCAGCCTGCAGGAAGAGCATGGCCGAGTGGGGCACGCTGAACGGTTGGGCGAAGGCGTGGAAGGCCGAGCCCCACGTGATTTGCCAGGGGGCGATGTAAGTGACTATGAACTGGAGCTGCAAGGGAATGGATTGCGAATAGGAATACATTCGGGGGTCGGAGCAAGGGGCTGCAAATGCACTCACCTTTAGCAGAAAGTCGCAGCACTTGCGAAAGGCCAGCGACACGAAGAAGTAGTCGATGATGAAGGTCTCTGTGGCCATAGCGAAGTCGATGCGGAACAATAGTACCGTGAAGATGATGATTAGGTACTGGTTTGTCGGATCCGAGTACGCGTTCCTCACAACTACGAAAGAGAGACCAAGACAGAGAGAGAGAGAGAGAGAGAGAGAGAGCGAGAGAGACAGGGATGGATTAGAAAGAGATACAATTATAAATCTACATATTCGAATCTCCATATTTGTATGGACTGATGGACAGAGACAGAGGGGATGGGATGCGATGCGACTACTCACACTTGAGGGCGCAGATGGAGACGATAAGGGTGCCCCAGGGCAGGCCGAACTTCTCGACAATCAGCTGCGAGTCGGCGGTGATTGATGAGATGGCCAGGAGGGGGAAGAGCACGTTCCGCTCGAGCACACTCAGGTAGACGTAGAGCTTCTCGAACCACATGATCTTCGGGGCATTGGTCACCTCGAACTGGCCGAACTCCCGCTGCCGGAGCAGGGGGCGGGCGAAGCAGAGCCAGGGCATGTGCTTGCGCATCTGGGGGACGGCATAGTGTAGCAGGAAGCCCAGCACTCCGATGAACACGTACAGCACCACGTTGAGGTCTGGCTGGAGCACGGTGAACACGGTGCTGCAGTGCAGCCCCAGGACACTGACCCCCAGCAGCGTCATCACGACCAGGTCGTTCTTCAGTCGCGTCGTCACCGTCGCCTGCAGTTTCCGGGGCAGCGGATCGGGCAAGTCGTTCCCGCTGCCACTCCCACTGCTGTTGCTTCGGCTGCTGCTGCTCCTGTCGCTGGCCTCCGTGGTGCAGTTGGTGGGTTGCTGCTGCTCCTGTTGCTGATGCTGCTGGTTAGACAACCCCTCCTCGCCATGGGTCGTCTGGTGGTTTCCATCATTATCCTCTACATCATCTTCCCTGCCGGTGCCCGCCCCAGCGGTCAGGGTGGACATGTCTACGGGATTGGTGGTCGATGATGAGGACATTTTGTCCTCGGCCTCCTCTGTGGTGGCCAGCTTTGTTTCGTGGGAGTCCCCCATTTCATTCTCATGCTCATGCTGGGGCGTGGTCAGCATGTCCAGTGCCTGACCTTCGCCAGGAACCTCAGTCTTAGCATCTGGCTCTGCCTCTGCCTCTGCCTCCGCCTCGTTTCCTGCCTCTCCTTGTGCTATTGAGGCACACGAACTGGAAGCAGTTATGGGCCGCTTGCTGCTGTTTGCAATCTGCTGGCTGCTACCCAGTGATGAGGCCTTCGACTTGCTTTGCATTTCCTGCTCCTGCTCCTGCTCCGGCTCCGGCTCCTCATCCGGCTGCTTTTCAAGCATGCCCAGCTCGATCTGCTCCTGCGGCGGCTCCTCCTTTGCCTTTGCTCTGTCATCCGCTTGCTGCCTCTTCCGCTTGGGAGTGCTACTGGCCAGCTGGATGGCGGTGGCAGCGGTTGCAGCGGTGGCAGTGGGAGCAGCAGTGTGGACATGACTAAGCTCGTCCTCCTCCTCGTCATCGTCGTCGCGGTACGTGCTGACGATGCAGGTCTTGATGAGGCGCCACAGGTGGCTAAAGTCGCTGGCGCAGCGCGACAGATGGTAGCCCAGGGGAATGAGCATGGCGCAGAATATCGAGAACAGGATGTACTGGGTGCCTCGCTGCTCGTCCAAGGCACCGTACAGGGGTCCGTACAGGAGCATCAAGGCCAGGACAGAGCGTACGACGCAAAGAAAGGAACCTTCACAGAATATAATAGTATGATTAGCCAGAGCAGGGGCACTATGGGTTGGTGGATGGACTTACCAAGCAGACTGCTGGCCGCATTCCCGCCAAAGACATGCATGTCGATCTGCTCCAGAAGGTACATGAGGAAGGTGTTGATTTGCGGGCACAGCCCCACCGAGAAGATGATGGGGAAGCACAGCAGCAGGATATACAGCGTCTGCAGCAGCAGTCCGACCAGGTCCGCGGGCGAGTAGTGGACCCCAAAGAAGGTCAAACGATCGGGCGGCCTCGCGGCGTAATCCGTGTCGAAGCGCTTTAGCAGCAGGAGCAGGCCCCCGCAAAGGCAAAAGTAGATGGCGCGGGAGTAGGCTACTGTCTTGTTGAAGCCGTGCACCGGCGAGGCCGCGTCGGGCTGGACGCTTTTCACCAGCGAGTACTGGGCCCCGGCGATCACCGAGCAGAAGAGCAGGGCACAGAGATCCTTGTAGTGGTCGTGCTGGAGAATGGCCGCCCCCAGGCAGGCCACCAGAGTACAGAGCACGCTGGCCAGGAGCACGTGCAGCCAGTGGAGGTCGCGGTCAAAGAGTGCTAGCAACTCCAGTCGGTCCATGGCGATCTTGAATTCCCGCTCCTGGCCGAACCAATTGAAGCGGTACTTGTAGAAGCTCTTCGGGGCCGCCGGCTTCTCCGCCGCGGACAGGAGGCAGGCGGGGCGCCAGTAGTCGCAGTACGGCGCAAAGTGCCCGTCCACGTTCAGAATAGGCTGGCTCATGTGGCCGATGTGGCTGATCTGGTTGCTGGGGTGGTTCGCGAGACCCAAGGCCTGGAGCACACCACCACCTCCGCCGCCTCCTCCTCCTCCGCCCGATACGACTACTCCGGAGGCGGCTTCGTGGAGGCTGGCATTGGCCGCCACGGCGTCGTGCAGCTGTTGAAGTGCATCGCTCCGGATCACGTTGATCAGGCCCTGCACGGAAAAGGCGGTGGTGGAGGCGTGTCGCGATGAGGGACCGCCGCCCATAAGCATGCCTAGGGTCGTTCCAGGCTGTGGCTGCGGCAGTTGCTGCGAGCTGCACGTAGAGGAGGCGTTGGTCACCTGCGAGTGGGAGTGCGAGTGCGTGTTGGAGTTGGAGTTGGCCTCGGCGGCGGCCGCCAGCTGTTCGCACATGAGCTTCGCGTCCAGCCGCAGTTTGTCGCGCGCGAGGGCTCGCTCGATGTGGGTCATGTGCTCTATGGAGCTGGCCGCGGGATAGGTGCCCTGGAGGGCCTGGATGGCGTCCTGGTAGAACTGAAAGTGGGCGCTGGACATGTTCGGCGGTACGAGGCTGCTGCTGGCCGGAATGGGGGTGCCGTCCGAGGCGATGCCCGCAATGGGCCGCCCGCGCTCGTCGACAGCCCCGCCGTGCATCAGCCAGAGCATCTTGTGGATGTCCGCCGTGAGGCTGTCCGTCAGGCTGATGCTGTGCGTCGAGTTCGATGATGAGGAGTTGCGAGAGGCGGCGGCTTGCAGCTTCGACTGCGACTTGACCAGGGCCAGTTCGTTGCCAGCCATCGCTGGGCCCGCTGCGTCCTGTTGCTCCGATCCCAGTCCCACGAGGCGGCGGCGTCGCAGCTCGTCCACCTCTCGGTACTTGACGACCTTGGGTATGGCCCCCAGACTCTTGGCCGCCATCTTTGAGGTGCACGGCTGCTCCTCGTCCAGCTCCAGCACACTCTCCTGATGATGCTCCATGCACATGCCGGCCAGCAGCTGGTCCTTCGAGCTGGCACTCACCTGCTCGCAGTCGCTGGAGGGGCAGCCCGAGTCCGCCTCGCTGCGCATGGGCTGGGCGACTGGATGGGCCGGATGTACCTGAGCCGCCGGTAGATGCACCAACGACATCGCACATCCGGAGGCGGAACTTCCCACTCCCGACTGGGTGAGCTCTTGGCGCAGCATCTTGTCCGCCACGATCTCCCGCAGCGTCGCCTGCTGCCGGTTGCGCTCGCTGAGTAGCGGCGAACGGGAGCCCGTGTTGTTCTCCGTCTCCGTCTCCTCGTCTTCGTCGTCACCTACAGTGGCTTCGGGTCCTCCTCCTGCTCCACATCCCAATCCCTCCGCTGAAGCCAGTTTACGGTGGAAATGGTGGTGATCGTGATGGTGGTGGGAGGAGGCTGCAGAGATGTCGCAGCTCTTGAGATGGTCGTCCAACTGGCTGTGGGTCTGCTGCAACTCAGTGAGTATGTGCTCCAGGTTGTCGTCAAAGTCCTTGAAAACATCATCATCGTCGTCGGCCAGGATCCCACCCACATCCGACTCCGCGCTGCGGTGGGTCTGGCTGCAGCCAAGTGCGCGGGTCCGTCGCCGAATTGGCACGTCGTCCAGCTCGTCGTCATCGCATTCGGCATTCTCACTCCCATTCCCATGTCCATTCTCCTGCTGAGGGGGACCAGGCTGCCCCCCGTGGCCTATCTTCTCGTTCTCCGAATGCTCCACTATGGGGTATACGGGGGGGTCGACAGACAGGAGTGCTGTCGTGGATCCACAAGCGCTTGAGCTGCCAAAGAAGATACTGCTGCAGGTGCTTCCTCCTGGCGCTCCTCCTCCTGGAACTCCTCCTCCCGATGGGTGGCTAGAGTCCGCATAGCCCTGGGAGGTGTAGAGGTTCAGATGCTGGTTCCGGACGAGGCTCTTGCTCGGCGGTGGAAGGGGATTCCGCATCTGCTGCTGGCCCGAGATGGCCTCCACGCTGTTGGGATGCGGACTGAGGTTGGACACTGACGGCTGCGGACAGAGCACTTCGAGGGCGGTGCTTTTGATTCTCCTTACGCCGCCAGTCTGCTGCCCCCCACCACCACCACTGCCTCCTACTCCAGCAGCCGCTCCTGTCGACGAGTGGCCTCCACCCGACAGTAGAGCCGACTTGGAGGCCTGGCCGCTGTACTTGTGATGGTAGCTGGTGGCATTGGAATGTCGTCGTCCCTTCATAACCGCAGCAGATCCAGATAAACCTGCAGCTCCGCCAGAGCCACCTCCGACTCCTCCTCCAGTGGATCCTCGAGTGGGATCAGGCGGAGCCGCACCCGCCAGCTGGAGCGCCGACATGGTGCTGGTGGAATCCTTGCGGATAATGGCCCCTCCGCCCAGGTGGTGGTGCAGGTGGTGATGGTGGTGGTACCGATGGTGCAGGTGGGAGCGGCGGAACGTCGGCAGGTGCGGCTGCTCGATGCCCAGATCCGATTTGGTATAGCTATCGTCTTCCAGGTACACATCCGACGAGGAATCTGAAAGATTGGAGAGGATTAGAGGAGGACGGTCATTGGTTCAGTGGCATGCGCTTACCTAGTATCCAGGATTGGAGGGCCCGGGTGCAGGCGTCGGACACTCCGCCGCTGCCCGAGTTTCGGGCCAGCCCCAGCTCCATGTCCTCCACGTCGTTGGGGCCACTGTTGCCGCCGATCACGGCCAGGGCTCCGATGCTACTGGCCGCGTTCTGATGCTGGTGGTGCAGGATCGGCTGGAAGAGCCCGCCGCGGCTCTGGTGCTTCAGGCGCTCGTCGTGGGTCTCGGAGCTGCGGTGCCGCTGTAGGCGCGACGATCGCCCTGCATTTGAGCCAGAATTCGAGTGTGGGGCAATCACCACCACCGCTGTGGAGGAAGATGCCGTCCCAGAGGCAGTAGCGGTGTCTCCATCTCCACCTTCGGCCGGTGTGCTGGCAATGAAATGTTGGCGGGAACTGGCATTGGCCTGACCTCGGGCTTTGCCCGCCGGCTGCGAGTGCAGAAAGGAGGGGGCAGCTGTGGCTATCGTGTCCGACTGGTTCCGCATCAGCCTTTGGTCATGGGAGATGGTCGCGGCGGCTGCCGCGGCATCCAGGCTGCTCTGGCGCTCCAGACGACGTCGATGGCGTCGGCTGAAGACCTCGGAGCACTTGCGGGAGAGGTGTCCAGTGCGGATGTTTGTGGGCGCGGAGACTCCTCCGCCAGCTGCTGATGCTACAGCTCCGCTTCCGGATCGTGGCACCATACTGCTGCTGTCACCGCCGCTGCTGGCACAACCGTCGGCGCTGCCGGCACTACTTCCGGCCGCCTCCACCACTTCGGGATAGACGGTAAGGTATTTACTAAAGAGATCTGCCTGGGCTGCGGCACTGGTGGCGGCGCTCGCGCTCCGTATCGATTTGGTGACGCTGGCGGAGCCGGCCAGAGATTGCTGGTCCTGCTGGCTACCGCCGGACAGCATGGATGGGGCATAGAACATGAGCTCGATGGACTCGGAGCTGTTCTTGCGATGCACATCAACCTTGAGATCTGCAAGCAGCCGAGGAACGAGTAAGTTGAACAAACCGACAGTGGAGCTGTGCGACTCAAAGACTCACCAATGATACTGTTCACGTTGTCAATGGACATGATGCTGTTCTCCTCGCTGGCTTCATTGATGGCCTGTTCCACGGAGATGCGCGAGCCGCCGGGACGTATTACCTTCATTTCGATACCACCCTCATCGTCATGCCGGGGCTCCGTCTCCTTGGTCACCTTGAAGAACTGGCTCTTCAGGTTCACTTCGGACATGGTCTGAGCCCGATCGTACAGCCGATGCAGGGCCAGGTTGGCCAGCTTCACCATCAGAATGGTGAGGCTGGTGATGACGCAGTACAGGCACCATGTCAGCCAAGTGCTCGGGAAATACTAGGGGGAGTGCAAGAGGGAGTAGAGAGAGTAAACCAAGGGATTATGGTTTATTCCATTCTATAGACTTACCAAGTACGCCACAAAGGGCGAACAGACCAGATACAGCCAGAGATACAGGTGCACGACGTTGCAGAAGACGCCCTGATGCGGATCGTAAAAGTAGCCGCCGGTCAGCGAGGCCCACACGCCTTGGCGCAGTATCTCCAAGGTCTGCGAACCCATGGTGGCCTATACTGCATCTCTATTGTTCCCCGCACAGCTTCGCCAGTGGGCTGTGCCTGAGGATGTGGCTGTGGATGGGGCTGGGGCTGGGGCTGAGGGTGCTGCACGCCTGGGGCGGGGCCGGGGCCTGCCTGGGCCGGTTACAGGGTCGGGTATCCACACTGAGCCGTCCCTGGTCGCTAATTGTTGAAAGCGGATATGACGGTGTCTGCAGCCACTGCTTTTGTATGTATGGGAAGCTCTTTCGACGATTTCACCGAGTTTGAACTCGCGCTGTGCTTAGTCAGAATTCGTCAGAAGTCTGTTTTTTGGTTTTCCTGATAAAGCAGGGGCTCGCACTGGCAGGAAGGCTGGAGGTCAGGCAAGCAGGAAGGCTGGCAAGCAAGGGGCTGGCTGGAACGGCACTCGAATGGGCACGGGGACGAAGGCGTTGCTGTGGTTGCCTTGGGGAGGAAAGCGAATGCAATGCTGATACTGGTGCTATGGCTGAGGGCACCGCAGAACGAGGATGATGACAACGGCTCAAACGCGAATGTGAAATGCAGCAGCGAACGAACAAAATCGAAAATCGCACCCAATCTTGTAATTTTTTCTTTTGTTTTACTTTTCTTTTCTTTTTTCGCAAAGTATTAGAGGTGGCAAACTATCGATGGCAAGTGCTGCTGCTGCTGCTTCTGCTGCCCGTTGTTATTATTGCTGTTGTTGTTGCCTCGAGTGATTTCTCATATCTTGTCTGGTATCTAGAGGTGGGGCATATGCAGGCGACAACTGGTTGCTATCGTATCGATAGAAGACAATTACGATACAAGTAGCCAACTATCGTTTTCGCTATTTATGTGGTCCTCCACCTATCGAACTGTTATTAAAATCAAATTTAAATTATTAATTTATATCTTCCCTTATTTATTGATTGTCGCCATAGCCACACTTAAACTGCGTTCTAAATTATAAAAAAAAAAACAAAAAAAAGACAAATAATGCAGGTTTGACCTAATAAAATCACAAATGAGAAATCCGAGCAGCATCTAGGGCGCTTATTTTATTTTGGGTAGTTTTACGTAAAGATCAGTCTGCGCAGACGCTTTAAGTCCCGGCACTCGGTGCAGGCGTCGCATAGTCAGCGCTCCTCGCTGCTACTCCCATCGCCGCCGATAAAATCGTCCCGGCCCTTGTGCTCGTAGTTGTGATGGTGGTGTATGTGCTCTTCCTCCTCCTCTTCTACCTCAGACACCGGGTGCTGGAGCTGGTGCTCATGGTAGTCGTGGTGGTCGTGATGGTCATGATGGTCGTGCTTCTCGTGGTGGTGTACGAGCTCCTTGGTCTGGTGTATCTGGATGGGACGATGGTCCTCGTGGATGACTTTCTTCTCCTCCTTCAGGACGAGGGGCTTGTGGTGGTGGTGCACATGCTTCACCACCGTATGGATATGTTTCTCAATTTTCTTGTGAATCGGCACGTGTATCACAATCTTCTTTTTCTTCTGTTGACTGCTGGAAGTAGGGAGTAAGAGGTGAGTGCCCCTTCGAACCCGGACCCACAACCCCCATCCGGCTTCGATATATACCCGGCATTCGTTTCCTGAACACACACAAAGAGCAGAACCATCGCTATCACGACAGCAATTCTCAGCAGCTGCAAAGAAAGACCGTTGTTATCCTTTTTCATCCAGATCCCTGCTCCGATCTCGATCTCCGGCTTACCGCGCTCCGATTATCCATGTCGCTTGGTTTTTGTTTCGAATGCGGCGTTGAAGACTCTGACGATGTACCCGCTGCGAAGGCTCCAAATGCTCTGGTGGCTGGCCCCATGCAACTCTTTCATTTATATATTACTCCGCTAGCAGCACCTAGCCGTTGGAGCTAGGCTGGAATGTGGTGCTGGGCTGGTGGAATGCCCGCCAGCAGCTGGATTCGCTTCCGTGCCGCAGCATAGGTAGGCGCATGCGCACGCGCACGCGTCCCGATCCACTAAAAGCCACAATTTCCATTATAGATGTGGCTGCTTCATGGATTGTGGGTGGTTTCTTGCCACTGCGAATTCCTCAAAGCACTTGGCCGCACTCCGTTGGCACCCTACACTCGAGGAGAGCGATCCTCTGTTTCCTTCGGATTGCTTCGATTGGTTGTTCAAGAAGAAGTAACAGGTTAAATCAGCATCGATATGGATTAATATTCATTTTTTCATCGTCAGCGTCACATGGAATGGGTGAATCGGTGGAGATGTTTCCTAACTGCTTTTATTTCTTTATTTTCCGTTATTTCGTTTCTTTCCTTCGACTGTTATGTGTGAACTTCTTCGCTCACGCAGACGGAAGGCACGGAGGCCTGCACCTGCACCCGAGCGAGCCCCAGCTGAAGCTCAGCTCAAACTCAGTCAACGGAAATAAGCTGGAGTGCGGTATGTGTTTAATACCTACTTATTTATGTTGCATGGTGCAGCTCGCGTTAAATACATGACTGGTGTTGTAGAAAACCCAGTACGACGTAACAAACAGATCGCATGCACGTTGGGGCCCAACTATTATGCAATCGTACAGTGGATTTTGAGGGTGTTATTCAATTTAAGGTATTTATCCGTTTGAAATGCGATCATTTTGTAGAATTTGAATACTCATCGATATCACTTATCGATAGGGCATATACCGTGGTATATAGTGAGAAAGAGAGTGAAAGAGAAGAGACGGCATGCTAGAACGTTGGAGACCAGAAAGCAGAAGCAGAAACATCAGCAGAGGTGGAAGAAGCACAAGGAGGAAAAGAATAAGCTGCAAAAAAGCAACACAACGATAAAAGCGTCACCGCTGCTGGCGCAGGCTGGATGAGTGTGTGCCCCCCAATCGGAATCGGAATCGGAATCTTTCTGTCAGTATTCAAAAGTCGGGCAAGCAAGTTGGGGCGCAGCTGCACAAACGACGACGGCCAGAGCGAAGAGCAAACGTACAAAAGTAAATAGCGGCAGAACCTATTTACATACACATGTGCATATGAACTTACATATGTACACACTGTCGAGCATTGTCCGTAAATTAGTTGTTGATTTGACAGTCGCGAACCGAGAAGAGATCCCCAATATTGTGTTTATTTTTTATTTATTCATTGCTTTTCATTTTTCTACGTTTTTGTTTGTTTCTTTTTGTATCTGTGAACGTGAACTGAGCCCATTGTAGCTGCCACTCGCTTGATGTGAGAGTGTGTTAGTGTTGTGATTAATATTTCGTGCGAAGAGATGACAAAGAGCCAGAAAAGAAGCACAATCAGAAGGAGAATATGCAACCATAAAAATTTATGAGACTATTGAAGAAATGTTAATGTAAAAAGCAGCAACGAGCCCCCTCTCCCTCGTTTGTGTTTACACACAACCCAAAGATTTAAAAATCAAGCGCTGCCCTAAATATGCATGCACAAGAAATGTACATACTACATGTGTGGGTGTAGTATAGCGGCAATTATTTGAGCAAGTGTGTGTGCGCTGAAGAGAAGCGCGCACGCGGACGATCGCATGCATTACTGTTGTTGTGCGCTCTGCGGACAACGATCACTTCCCCTCATATTTTGCCACAGCTGCAAACAGGCGACTCCCTACTCCTATCGCATCCCACATGAAGCCGTTTGCTGCACTAATAAACAAAAAGCGGGACCTGCCCCCCTGTCTGAGCGGCACTTATAGAGCTTCCCTTCTCTCTGAGCGGTTTGACTTGCGGCGCATCGGATCGGTTCAGATCGAGTTGGGATCAGTCGCTGGCTACCGTGACCTTCGATCGGATCAACCTGTTCCGCTGTCACCATCGGTTGTGGCCTATCGGTTTCAACAGTTTGTTGGCCATAAATGGTTATAGGCGAACAGCCCCAAGTCAGTAAACCCCAGCCCACATATTGTTTATGGCGGCTGTGGCTGTTGTACATTTATGAATTTCGAGCTGGCCGAATGGCGAAAATAAATTGAACGCAAAATTCCATAAGTGGCAGAGGAGCATCAAAAAGTATTTCTAGAAATTGTTTAAATATCTCTGTACATACATATGTACATATGTCTCAACAATCCGGAAATCCAAACCAAGATGTACTGAAACCGGAGGAACTGCGGAGTACAGGCAGCTAACAGAGAGGAGAGAGAGAGAGAGAGAAAACAGAAAACCTTTCCACTATCTTCTTGCACGCACTATTCCTCGCGGCGCCACCTCAGGAGGAAATCGTATTTTCAATGTCTTCTGGCTGGGATTTCACTTTCCGTTTTCTCATTTCCCACTCTTCATTGTAGTACATCATTGCCAATTATTTGAGTAGTCAGCCATCAGCCGGGCAGGGACTAAAGCACGCAAAGGGTGCGGACCCATTGTTCGCCTAAGTTCGGGCTAATGCGTCACGTCACCAATAATACGGGTATAATCGTATACATATGTATGTGTGTTGTTGCAGTCTTGCCATCGATGTCGCTCTGCCTTAGAATGAGCTCACAAGATGCGTCATCGTTAAAACCAAACAAACAGACAAACGAATTAACGAACAGACACCGAAACAGACTGAACAGAACCACACCACCAGAAAAAGTACACTCACAGCGCAAAACAAACGATATTGAGTGGGGAATTGAGTATTAACGCGAACTGAGCCCCGCATCCACAATCCCCAACTGGATACCGGTATGGGGGTGGAGTATGGAAATCTTGTTGCGAAAGTATTCATGTGATTGGTAGATTGCTCGCCTGGCTCCGGATATGTCCGGAATCCACACAGAGATAACCTGTTGGGATGTCGGTCTTATCTTGTCTTGACGAATTCTTGGCTGATTTCAATGTTTTCTTTCTTTTCAGCATTGAAGCACACAATTGCTGTCCCGTAAAAGAGATACAGAGAGAGAGATTTGATATAAACAAAATCCCAAGAAGAGGAAGAAGACCTAAGCCAAAATGCCCGTCTTCCACACAAAAACTATCGAAAGCATATTAGATCCTGTCGCCCAGCAGGTAAGACATACATATCTGGGAGAAGGGTCCTTCAGGCTGAGGTTTGAAATGTAATCTCAAGTAAATTTCACACAATTAGCTATAACTATTGGCCAAATTGGCGCCCAAGAAGGTAAAGTTCAATACAAGTCAAGTCAAGTCCATACATACATAAATATGTACATACATATATAGAAAAGCATTTCTCTCTTTCTCCTTTTAAGTATGAAATCGAAATACGTATCACTGCCTCCACTCCACTCCACTCCGATCCTTCTATCCATCCTGGTGTGTGTGTGTGTGTGTTTGTGTGTTTATATTTTCACCTGCCGCCGCAGAACATCAACGCACTGCATCTGTGTGGCATATGTTGGATGTTATGCTAAATATACACGAATCAACCTCCCCACCCACCCGATCTTCTTCGCACCATCAACATGCATACATACACATGTATAGATTCATACATATGTATGTGTATGTGTGTCTATTTATGTACATATGTATATTTCCATCATGAGATGAAACAAACTTGAAAGATCAGCACAGCATCTTACTCTGTCTTTGCATCTTTCAATACCCTTGCAGAGGGTATTTTCATTTGACCAGATATTTGTCAAGCAGAAGTACATATTTTATGTACATACATATATTCCATTCGACGTTTACGCGAATGTGTGTCTGTTCTGTTTTCAATCAAAAAATGTTGTTCCCCAAAAATCGTAATACATGCTCCAGTCAGTCGATTTAATACAAAATATTGGATCATCAAAACAGATCCGATCAATATTCATCTGAAACCTAGCCTCTGTATAATCCAGAAGCGTTCGCCGAAGGTGTCCTGGTGGAACAGGGATAAAATAGGAACCTTAATGATTGTGTGACACCAGAATTCAAGTCCCATTTGGTACAAGACAAACCACACGCAGCGGATTTATTCTAGCAAAATTATACAGAGTATTTAGAGTATCGAAATTGGATGACATACATATGTACATATGTATGTATGTATGTACACATGGATATCACATGCAAATCGATCTGACATGAAACCGATCGATCTAGAAGGGTATGAAGAGCTTCGACGCCCAAAGCAGCCCTCCCTTTTTTATTTTTCGTTATTGTTGCTGCCGTTACTTAACGAATCTAAAAATAAATGAGGTAGAAATAATAAATGTTGATCAGAAGCCAGCTAACCTGAGCCTGAGGACAGGCAGAATTTTAATTTAATAACGCCACAAATGAAAATGGAAAATCGAGCAAAGCAAAGCAAAGAAAAGCAAAACAAAGCAAAGCAAAAGCCAAAGTACAGCCAAAGAGGAACACAAACCGGAGGAGCTGATCGGTGGTGGACGACGAAATTTGGCCGAGTTCCAAAAATAGCAGCATAAAATACGTTTAAAGAATCCAACAACAAAGCGCCAAAATAAAAACATTTACGACGAACCAACCATGAAATCATAGCAACATTTGGACACAGACGTGGCAAGAGGGGGTGCACCATAGCTGAGGTGAGAAGAATTGGACAAAGTTATGTGTGTAGGTGTAGGTGTAGGTGTTGGTGTAGGCACATGTACATACGATCGATTTCCGTACAGAAAATGACGAACAAATGTGATAAAATGCAGATTGATTGATTGAAATAGAAGACTTTAATCGAATTTGTAGGCGTCATGTAGAATGATCCTTTCTACAGATCATTCATTTTTCGGCTGTACGATATAAGTGTACAATTTTATAATCCCCGGTTGGATAACATATTCTTCAAGAAAATCGATTGATACTTCCTGATTGGACAATATTTTATGTGATACATTTTAGAAGAGTAATATAAAATCAACTACAGGCAAAATTTCTAAAAATTTCCCATAAATGAGTGTACAGATTTCGAATAAAACGAAAAGAAACCATACGTCATCGTAAGACCAGAATTTTCGGAATGAATAGTAATATACCTCTTGAAAATAAATAAATTTTTTGTTCAGTATTAAGCTTGCTTTTTTCCATATTATATGAGTATTATACACCTTGATTGGAGTTATGTACATATGTATGTACTTTGCAGTTTTGAAAATTCCGGCCTATGCAGCTCAAGCTTGCCATCTGGGATATAAGCAATACTTATAATAATACCTTAATACTAAGATTTCATTAGGAAAATTGATAATACGTTTATTAAACGTCATTTAAGGTGTCGTTTATACATGCCGTTTTCATTAGATTCATTAAGTCATTCAAAATTGCACGAGACCGAAGTCTTTTAGAAAAAGTCTATCGTTTTGATGGTAGCGTTTGTTGGCTGTTGAATGGTGTTACCAATTTTGTTTCCTTCCTGAACGAAAATTTGTCAGTTACGCGTGAACATCGAATGAAAAATCTCAGCAGTTGGGATTGGTACATGAGTAGTACACTCTGAAAAGTAAACAAAGATACTAGAAAGATCACTAAGAAGTCTCTCGGTTTCAGAATTAAAGCCAAATGTGAAAAAAATAAATAGGAATAAGAATACATATGTACATACATATGTACATACTGTGTTGTGCTCTCTATACATTCCCTATAGGATGGATAGTGCGTGGAGAAAGATGGTATTATTTGTCCTACAAGCACTAGTATGTTGGCCTCCGCTGTGTGCATGTCTCTTGTGGGTGTAGGTGTAGGTGTAGGTGTAGGTGTAGGTGTGGGCATATTGGCTTTTACCGCTACGGATGCGGATGAGTGAGAATTGTGGTCTGAAAACTGTGCCAAAAAGCAAACTCATTGCCTTAGTCATCATCCGCTGGGTGGTTTTTGGGTGGAACGTGGTCTGGTGGCGGTGGAAGTGGCAGTGGCAGTGGCAGTGGCAGTGGGGTTGCTTCGTGGCTGGCAAACAAATTAATTAAAAATGATCATTCAGCACATCAATCGACACATTGATACAACAGATTCGACCACATACATATGTACATGTCTCTATCCGAGCATGCATACATACTATGTACATATTTACATTTATATATGTATACATATATACATATGTACATGTACATGTATGGACATATGTATCTACATACGTATAGCGTGCAAAATTACATGGAGAATGGACGAGGGAGGCGTCTCTTGGTGGAGAGGATGACTGCCAGACGGCGCTTAGTTACACAATTAAATAATAATTAGAAGGCATGTCGGTAATTGGTTCCAATTATCTGCCGACGAAAGAGCAGAAGCAGAAGCAGATTCAGAAGAATGGTCTGGCAGCCGTTAAGCAGAGGTAAGGCCGTGTAATCCCCGCTGAAGACTCGCCCGGACACCCAGCGAACCACCTAATCCCCACTGGTACAACAGCTTGGGCTGGTGCGCAGCTCGGTTCCGATTAGTTGAGCTTAATGAAGAGATTAGTTGGCGGCTGTCTAAAAATATAAATGGCCAAAACGTCTAACGAGCCAGTGACCTTATCACGTTGCGTTGTTGGGGTCACCCATGCGTCTTAATCTCTCTGAATCTATATCTAAATGCCTCTTAAATGTATCTGCATCTCATTATCTGAAGTTGTAAATGTATGGAGAGTGTCGAATCGGAGTGGGTTTGCTTCTGTCGACTAGTTTGGGACCGATTAGGTGATTGCGCGGGGTACTAATGGTCAACAGCTCCCGCACCGCACTCCGTGTTTTGCTCCCCTGCTCGTCGTGGAGAGTTTCGTGGGGGTCGTGGCTCAACGCCCAAGCGGGTGGAGCTCAGGTTCGACATGGAGTTGCGTGATACAGCCGGGTGCGCGGACCCATAGATCGGCACAGGATTATATCGGCTTGCTCCAAACTAGGAAGCAGGCACCCAAAGCATGACCAAAGCAGATACCAATGGAGGGATAATTGATTTCCTTTGGAACATATGTATGTACATTGTATGGTTTGGTGTCTGATTGTATGATCGAAACAGATTCGGTCACTTAACCGACTCGTTTTCAATCGAACTCATTGAACAACATTCCCCTTTGTCCGATCCCCCGTACGAGTAGCTGTACCTGTAGTTGGATGTACTGGATAAATCGATACAGAACTTCATCGATGCTGACCGGATGATCTCCTACCCATAGTGACTTCACTCCATTGCCCCTCTCATCTGACAACAGGTGATAAATCAGCATCTGAACAACTTGTCCCAGTGGACAAGTTGATGGCGTCATCAATGTTCTTCAATAGAAACTAGATAACATTCTGTCCATCCAGCGAAGTCAAGTCCGACAATGTAGATCAGTCGAGAGATGTGTATCATGTGTAATCAGAGAACAGCATATCTTCTCCCTTAAGGAGCTTAATTTTGTTCTCCTCTCCATCGTCCCTAGACAGTCGAAAGATGTGTTAAACCGTTAAGTAATGAGTCTAACTTATCCTTTACTCGTTGTCCCTTCTCCCCGCTGCGTGTGTAGGTATCCCGCTTGGTCATCTTGCACGAGGAGGCCGAGGATGGCAACGCGATGCCAGATCTCAGTCGGCCGGTGCAGGTGGTGTCGGCGGCTGTGGCCAACCTAGTGAAGGTTGGGCGGGAGACGATCAACAGCTCGGACGACAAGATCCTCCGACAGGACATGCCCTCGGCATTGCACCGCGTGGAGGGTGCCTCGCAGCTGCTGGAAGAGGCTTCGGATATGTTGCGAGCCGACCCCTACTCGGGGCCGGCGCGCAAGAAGCTTATTGAGGGGAGCCGCGGCATTCTGCAGGGCACCTCCTCGCTGCTGCTATGCTTCGACGAGAGTGAAGTGCGCAAGATCATTCAGGAGTGCAAGCGGGTGCTGGACTACCTGGCCGTGGCCGAGGTGATCAATACCATGGAGCAGCTGGTGCACTTCCTCAAGGACCTTTCGCCCTGCCTCAGCAAGGTGTCGCGCGAGGTGGGCGGCCGCGAGAAGGAGCTCACCCACCAGGTGCATAGCGAGATTCTGGTGCGATGCCTCGAGCAGGTCAAGACCCTGGCCCCCATCCTCATCTGCAGCATGAAGGTCTACATCCATATCATCGAGCAGCAGGGCAAGGGCGCCGAGGAGGCGGCCGAGAACCGCAACTACCTGGCGGCCAGGATGAGCGACGAGCTGCAGGAGATAATCCGCGTGCTGCAGCTGACCACCTACGACGAGGACACCAGCGAGTTGGACAACCTCACAGTGCTCAAGAAGCTCTCCAATGCCATCAGCAACAAAATGGAGCTGGCCAACGAGTGGCTCTCCAATCCATATGCGCTGCGCGGAGGCGTCGGCGAGAAGGCCCTGCGGCAAGTGATCGACAATGCCAATGAAATCTCCGAGCGCTGCCTGCCCCAGGACTCCTATCCCATCCGCAAGCTGGCCGACGAGATAACTGCCATGGCCAACGGCCTCTGCGAGCTGCGCCAGGAGGGCAAGGGCAGCTCATCCCAGGCTGAGTCCCTGGCCCGAGGCATCCGCGAACGCCTCGGTGAGCTGCAGGGCCTCGTCCACCAGGCTGTGCTCGGTGTGGACAAGGCGGGCGTACAGCAGACGGCCCACACCATCCAGGGCCGCCTGGAGCAGGCCGTGAAGTGGTTGCAGCACCCGGAGATCAACGACGGCGGCCTCGGGGAGCGTGCCATCAACCTGATCGTGGAGGAGGGCCGCAAAGTGGCCGAAGGCTGCCCCGGCCATCAGAAAGCCGAAATCATGCAGCTCTGCGATGAAGTAGAGCGCCTCAAGCGACAAGCAGCCGGCTCCGGCCCGGCCGCCAAACAGGCGGCCAAGCAGCTTACCCAGAAGCTCTACGAACTGAAGGCGGCTATCCAGAACGCGCTCGTCAACCGCATCGTGCAGGACTTTATGGATGTCAGCACACCGCTTAAGCAGTTCACGGAGGCGGTCATGCTGCCTGAGGGAACGCCGGGCCGTGAGCAGAACTTTAACCAAAAGTCCAACAACTTGCAAGCCTTCAGCGACCGCGCCTCGAAGACCTCGCGCATGGTGGCCGCGGGTGGAGCGTGCGGGAACAAGAAGATCGCCGAGATCCTGCTCTCTTCCGCCGCCCAGGTGGACTCGCTCACGCCACAGCTGATCAGCGCCGGCCGGATTCGTATGAACTACCCGGCCAGTAAGGCTGCCGACGAGCACCTGCAAAACCTCAAGCAGCAGTATGCGGACACTGTGCTGCGCATGCGCACGCTCTGCGACCAGGCCACGGACCCGGCCGACTTCATCAAGACCTCCGAGGAGCACATGCAGGTGTACGCAAAGCTTTGCGAGGACGCCATTCACGCCCGCCAGCCTCAGAAGATGGTGGACAACACTTCGAACATAGCGCGGCTTATCAACCGCGTTCTGTTGGTGGCGAAGCAGGAGGCGGACAACTCCGAGGATCCAATTTTCACCGAGCGCCTCAACGCCGCCGCCAACAGGCTAGAGCGCTCCCTACCCGCCATGGTCGGCGACGCCAAGCTGGTGGCAACCAACATAGCCGATCCGGCCGCGGCCGCTGCCTGGAAGACTTCCTTCCAGCGCCTGCTTGGGGACGTGCGCGAGGTGCGTGACGCTATCGCGCCGCCCCAGCCGCCACCGCTGCCAACATCCCTGCCGCCGCCCATTCCGGAGCTTAGTGCCCTGCACCTGTCCAATGGTAAGTGGCTAAAATCGCACAGTGGATCATCAGCAAGAGTTTCCCTTTGATGCCACAATCGTTCTAGCTGAGCGAGCGCCGCCTCGTCCACCACTGCCCAGGGAAGGACTCGCACCAGTGCGGCCGCCGCCGCCGGAGACGGATGACGAGGACGAGGGCGTCTTCCGCACCATGCCACATGCCAATCAGCCCATTCTGGTAAGCAAAGTCTTGAAAAAAGATCTTAACAATGATAAATAAGTGATTTTACCGCCCATTTTCAGATTGCCGCCAGGGGACTGCACCAAGAGGTGCGTCAATGGTCGTCCAAGGACAACGAGATCATTGCGGCCGCCAAGCGCATGGCCATACTGATGGCCCGTCTCAGCGAACTGGTGCTCTCGGACTCACGGGGCAGCAAGCGGGAGCTGATTGCGACGGCCAAGAAAATTGCCGAGGCCTCCGAGGACGTAACGCGGCTCGCCAAGGAGCTGGCGCGCCAGTGCACGGACCGACGCATACGTACCAACCTGCTGCAGGTGTGCGAACGTATCCCCACCATCGGCACGCAGCTAAAGATCCTATCTACGGTGAAAGCTACCATGCTGGGAGCCCAGGGCTCAGACGAGGACCGCGAAGCCACCGAAATGCTGGTGGGCAATGCCCAGAATCTGATGCAGAGTGTAAGTCTGTCTCTCTCTCTGTCTCTGACCCTTATACTGACTCTTTTATTTCGTTTTGCAGGTGAAGGAGACGGTACGTGCTGCTGAGGGAGCCAGCATCAAGATCCGCTCAGATCAGACTAGCAATCGGCTGCAATGGGTGCGTCGCCAGCCCTGGTACCAGTACTAGGTGCTTGTCCAGGAGGTCTAGTGCGGTCAAAATACCACGTGCCACGTGCCTTTTGTAACATACAAACTAAAACTAAACTTAAAGAATCCTACTTCTATATAAAATTGTAATCCCCTAATCTGTTCCCCTGCAACACGAATATTTAAGTGCCTTAACTATTTATTATGCGCCCAACTACTGGCTCCTGCTCCCCGCTGCTCGCCCGCTCCTAATCTAATTTCTCTTCGATAATTGTATATTTAATTGTTTAGCGTGCAATAAATCAGACGAGCAAGACGAGATTACGTAGAGGGGAAATAAAAATAATAATAATAATAAAAATTAAACGAAAAAGAGATGATGTATGTATGTACATACGGACCAACTCAAGTGAAATAGAAATATATGTCTTATACATATATACATATATTTATATACTAAAGACACATACATACATATGTACATATGTATGTTCCTATGCATGTATGTATGTATGTATGTACTACAGGGAGTCCTTCCATTCTCGCACATGCTGCTCCGCGAAAACATGCATCTGAGCCCACATGTCTCTTTTTCTTTTTTAATTGTAGCGTACTAACAAAAGCATTTAAATAATCACTCACCCACCTGCCCAAGCCCTGGCCTTGCGAATTGTTTGTGTTCAACAATAACTAACAAAAACCCCGAATGTACTACATATAGAATATGGAACAAAGAGGCATCGATCAGAGATCGAGTTGTTGCTATCCAACTAAATAAGTCCATTACCCCATGTATCATGTTCAATATAAGAAGAAATATATGTACCTTTCATTGAAATAAAACTGAACATGAAAAGGAATATTGTGAAGTATTGAATAAATATGTAAATATTTAAATGTTATCAAACGCCAACCGATCCGCGTCTATCAAATGTTTGGGTAGCCTTGCCCCATTGGATATGGATATGTTTATTTTTAGATGGAATTTGTGGAACTATTTCATTTATCCTTAAAGGCTATTCAGTGAAAAATCTCGTATATCCGTTACCTACCTACGTACCATCATTCTGGCTATAATAAGTATACGATTTTTTTTAGATTCTGTTGTATAGATGATACAGTTCGTCTCTACGATTCTGCGTTTTCTGTTTTCTCGTATCTTTGAAATTGTGGATGCCACAGATTTTCGCTCTTTGTGGGGGCGGAACTTTTGAAATATACTTGTAACAGCGACATATCACAGAAATCTGGATACCAAAATGTCGTACTTTATGGGGTCGGATACGCTTCCTTCTGGATGTTACACACATTCATTTTCACCACAAATCTAATATACCCCTATAGTCATTTTGAGTATCGGGTATAAAAACTATGATTAATCGATAATAACTCCAGGAAAAACACAAATGCCTATACAACAGACGCCAAACGCCTAATGCACCTGCCTGCCCTTGATTGCCCCTGACCCAAAGAGCTTCAAAATAACAGTAAACAACGAAAACATATATATAAACAGGCTCCACATGAGTGAATTTATTTGAACAAAAACTGCATCCTAACCGCAGCTCTGCGACTACACTCTGCAAAACCCTATTCTTACCTCTCCATTCGAACCCTATGCTGGGGTCGATCAGCGCAGGGCTGTCATTTGCACCCGATACGATGCGATATTTTGAAATACTCGTACACTTGTGACAGTGTGATATCACTGGAGTCTGGATACAAAATTTTGTTGCTCTAGTTCTTATGGTCTCTGACATCTAGGCGCTCTAGGGACTCGGCTATTGAAGCGCTTCCAATCCCGAAAAAGCTTTCTTCTGGGTGTTATTTTAGGCAACATACTAGTACCTAGTCGTACTTCCATATACCCATTGGGCAAAGTATGTATATCACATCGGTGTAGACGTCAGGATGGAAATTCGTGACGCACTTTAATGCCGAAGATCATGCTAGGCTTTTCTTTTCTCGAAGCGGTTGGCGGTGCACAGCACCACCTGATGGTGGAAATAGGAACTAGGTAGAAAGGTGTCATCATGCATAGATCTCCTGGCTGGAACAATATAGATATGTACGAAGAGGTTCTCTCCTAACGTGATATCCTTCAACTTTTGCTTACCCAAACCAATGTGGCCTACCCATTAATACGAAACCGAAAAAGTTGAATCTCAGGGGGCTGTCTCAAAAATTCATATCATTCGTTCTAGATCTTCAAAGAACTTTGTGTGTACTTATGAGTCGTTGAATGTTCCCGTAAATCTATTCAGTCCCCATGCATCCTTAAGTAATACGATATAACTGTACACTGGAAAAGAGAATATTAGAGACGGCTGCCAAAAAACCTGAGGGAGAGGTTGCCTGGTAGGAGGCTACTGAGTAATAAGGGACATTGTGGCCTCAGTTCCATTGAAAGCCCTTCCCGGATGAACCGTTTTGCGATGCGTGAAACAAGACGGACCGACGGACTCGGCTATTGATGCTGATCAATACTGGGGCATACTTTGTGGGGTCGGAAACCCTTCTTTCTGGGCGTTACACACAACCATTTTCAAATCCTCAAATGTAATATACCCCTATACTCTTCTTGAGTATCGCGTATATATGTAAAACCACTTTGAAACTAGTGTGGGACTATTAATAATCTGTTGCACCACCTTCTATGCCTAAAGCTGTCCATTAGTCCTTCTTCCCGCACAAAGGGAAGATCTTGAATGTACTATATCTATTGAAATATATATCCATATCTATTGAAATATGTACATGTGCACATGGAAACATTTGTACATATGTACTTACATACATACAAATGTATTCATTATTACCTGCATTCAATGTTGTGATGGCCCTGCGGCTGAGAGTCGTACTGATGTTATTTGCCCTTTTACTCCCCCCCCCCCCCCCCCCACCCCACCGCATTAGAATCCGCGTGTCCAGTCCGCGCATGGGAGATCTGAGGGCCACGCGGACTATAAATAGCGTCCGGCCGGAAGAGAGAGAGAGAGGAAAAGAGCGCACGGACGGCGAACAACTGCCATATGGGAGCAAAATGTGCTGGCAGCGCGGTCAGTTGCGTTTCGATTATCGGCGAGAGAGAGTTTCGATTACCCAACCGACATGTCCGAGCATCCCGAGTATCCCGAGCATCCGGGGCAGCCTGCAGTGCAACTGTTATCCAGGCAGCCACAGCAAATGGCCATCAGCGCCTCCACAAGGGAACTGGCCGAGTTAATCGACCTGCATCTCGGGGAGCTGCGGCCCAAGGAGCCCGCCTGGAGGGTGTCTGACTCGCCCATCTCTGGGCGCGGCATATTCGCCACCCGCGACATTGCCAAGGGCGAGGAGTTGTTCCGAGAGCACACCATCCTGGTGGGGCCGACGGCCCACCGCTCCTCCAACCTACGCACTTGCACGCTCTGCTACCGCCTGGTGCCGGGACAGACGGACGCGGAAGCTCTCTGTCTCGCCGGCTGCGGCCTGCCCGTGTGCGGGGAGTGCGGAAAATCGCCGCGTCACAAGACCGAGTGCGATCTGTTTCTCAAGTGGAAGCCCAAGGTGACGGAACGGATCGATCCGCGCTCACTGCGCATTCTGAGCGTGGTACGCTGCTTCTTCCTGGACGAGCAGCAGCGGCGGCTCCTCTACGCGATGCAGGCCAACGCGGACCGCTACTACATGAAGGAGGTGGAGCGGGCGGCCGCCTGTTTTGAGGACTTCCCCCGAGAACAGGAAATGCTCGACTTCTTTTACCGCACCATCTGCGCCTTCAACACGAATGCGTTTGAAAGCCGCAGCTGCGTCGAGGGTCACGAGGTACTGATCCGCGCCCTATTCCCCCTGGCGGGGCTGTTAAACCACCAGTGCACTCCCAATGCCGGCCACCACTTTCAGGACGGCGAGACCATCATCGTTTGCGCCACGGAGCGAATCGCCTGCGGGGCCGAGATCACAGTGTCTTATGCTAAGATGCTCTGGTCCACCCTGGCCCGAAAGATATTCCTCGGCATGACCAAGGGCTTCATGTGCCAGTGTCCCCGCTGCCAGGATCCAACGGTGAGTTCTCCCTTGGATAAGGATCTTGATCAGCAGCTGCAGCTGCAACTGCAACTGCAACAGCATCCAATTTGGGAGCGAGTGCATTCAGTCGTGTCGCAATCACTGCGTGAAACCAAAATAGCTTTATCGAAGTGGACGCAAATATATATCGGGCAGGGGCGCCACCGCGGAGGATGCGCTAGCCAATGGAAGTGGAGACTTTTCGCTTAGCAAGTGTCAAAGAACTTTGAACATTTCCTCAAGTAACGGGATTGGTCCCTTTGCTCGGGACGCCTCTGCAAATGTGTATATATGTACAGATGTGTGTATGTTATATAAGTGTGTAGCTAAAAGCGCATCTGCTAGGAAAATACTCAGCGAATAATCAGCCCTATTGATGTGGAGGTAGTGTTTTATGAGGAGAATCAATCCAATTAAGGGATTCAAGTGAACCACATTGGATTCCCTCTGCAGTGGATCCAGCCGGAAGTTTTGTAAAACCATATCTCAGTGAGTAGCCGCCAGACGCAAAAAAGGCTCACAGAAGGGCCCCAAGAGGAAGCACTCTTTCTCTCGGTCGAGTGCTGGCTCAATGCATGAATAAAAATGGATTTAGTACGGACTCCACAAACCATTCCCGCCATCCAACGGCAACTTGTTGGCTGTGCGGCGCATCTGTTTCCCAGCCGAATGATTTACATAACTAGCGCCTTAACAGTGGACTGAATCCATCATAACCAAATCCAAATCTGCTTCGCACTGGGCAATCTGCCAACGACCCAAAGGCGGGGGGAGGCCCAACTAGTTCAAGTACTCACACACATTCATTCACCTTCACTCATTCCCCCACTCACTCACTCATTCTTTCATTCACTCACCCGAGCTATAAATCGCATAACATATAAGACCCCACCGCACGCTCCTGTCCCTTCCCCGTTCACCCCAAATTCTCGAAAAGAGAAGACTTAAATTGGTTCCTGCTTTTTTTTTTTGTATTCTTTTAAAAATATAAAATTTGCGCTAAAATTCTTCAGAATGAAAACGAAAAACACAATGAAGAAATATTCAAAATTATTCAAGTACATACATAAGTATATGTATGTATTTTGGTTGCTTGAATGGAATCCGCTCTCTTTTAATAATTTGTATTTCCATTTTCATCTATGTAGATCCATCAAAATTGTTGTATTGATTTTGACTAACATGCCTCAACATCTAATACCAAGATTTAATTGAATTTAGTTTTATTAGTGTCCATATTAAGCAATTTTAATTCGATTTCTGAAAAGCATTTCCCCATGAACTAGCTCGTTATTTAAATTACGGAATCTCTACTTTGGTGGAGCTCGTCTTCAAACCTCTACCCCTACTTCTTGGCTCTTCGCTAAAGGGTATTTCCCCGTCAATGTTTTATGGAAGGAAAATTTTCCAATGCTTTTCGATTTCTTCATTTGGTTTGGAATTTTTCGCTATTTGTTTGCTTCGATTGGGGGCAATTACACGCACGTAAAAAATGAAAATAGATTTCAAATTCACATTCGATGGGTCCCGTATATATGTACATATGTATGTATGTATTGTTCGTGTATTGTATACCTATAGGTACATATGGCTCGTATAGTTGCTTGGTTTCGAGTCGAAGGTAATGGAAACCTACGGGTTTGTAACTGCTGTACATGCGTACATACATGCATACATGCATATGTGCGTGGGCACTGGAGGCATGGCAGTTTGTGGAGAAGAGGATTCCCGTTAACAGTCTAAAGGCCGAGGGGAGGATGATTACCTGGAAGCGGTGGCAGCGGCGGCAGCGGCGCTGACATGTGACAATGCGTGACAGTCGCGGCGACAAGCCAACCGTCCATGCAGCCAACCTAGTCACGTGCCTCGGTTCACCTTTTGGCCCCGGCCTGGCCCGCCGACGACGTCTTAATTTATGTGGCAACGACACGCACCGCAACCAGCTGGAGACTCCCAAGGCGATGGAGAGAGTGGGGAGATTGGGTCAGCGACGCCTCATACTCGTATCTGTGTGGAGGGAAAATCTTTACTTTAGCTGCTCAAGTTTTTTAAGGGGTACGGGGGTGACGGCAGCCTTCCTATGGTTTCGCTTTATGGCATCCATAACCGACCGCACGGGGTGGATGTAGTTTAGTTGGTGGTCGGGATGTACCACGACTAAGGTGTTCAACGCACAAAACTGCTAAATGGCGGAGGGAGAGAGATACATACATACATATGTATATAGATAGAGAGAGGAGCATGTTCTCCAATGCAAGGCATACAAATATAAGGTACGACAGTCACACACACAGGAACAACGGCAATGGATTATGATACTAAGCATATGTACATATGTACATATGTATGTACATATGTATGTTGAGTGCTATCTCAGACTGCCTTACCCTGTCATAAGTGTACCTTCCTCCATTGCATCCACTGCCCTGGCGCGTGTTGGATTTCCTTCCCCTTCATTTCGTCCCCCACATGAATCCAATTGAACACAAATTGAATAAGAGTCAAAAGCAAAATCCGCTTGGCGTCGCCTCTCCCTCTCGCACTCGTGGCGTGTGTGGTGTGTCGTGCCTATGTGCTTCTCTACTAATGTGCGTGTATGTCGCGCCTTGGGAAAAAATCATATTTGACTGTTGTCGCTGTTCCTGCTCCTGCTGTCACCCCCTTCCCCATAAGCTTTTGCGGTTGCTGTTACATTTGTTGTCTCCTTTCTCCTTATCTTGCTGCTGCTGTTATCCCTTTCGTGTCCTTTTGATTACTGTGGCTGTTGTCCGCGTCCCTGTCCCCTGCTTTAACGTCTTTATGTTGTTTTTGTCCAGTGCTTCCTCTTCATTCTGTTGCTACTGTTTCCTTCTTCTTCTCCTTCTCCTTTCTATTACCGCTGTACCCTGCTTCTTCTTCGCACTGCTGCTCTTGTCATCCACTCTCTTCTCTTCTTGTTGCTATCATTGGTTCTTCTTCTGCTCCTCCTTTCACATTCTGCTCTTGTTGTTGCTGTTGCTTTCTCTAATTTGTGTTTTTTATACCCGATACTCAAAATGAGTATTGGGGTATATTAGATTTGTGGTAAAAGTGGATGTGTGTAACGTCCAGAAGGAATCGTTTCCGACCCCATAAAGTATATATATTCTTGATCAGCATCAATAGCCGAGTCGATTGAGCCATGTCTGTCTGTCCGTCTGTCCGTCCGTCCGTCTGTCCGTCTGTCCGTCTGTCCGTCTGTCCGTCCCCTTCAGCGCCTAATGCTCAAAGACTATAAGAGCTAGAGCAACGATGTTTTGGATCCAGACTTCTGTGATATGTCACTGCTCCAAAAATATTTCAAAACTTTGCCCCGCCCACTTCCGCCCCCACAAAGGGCGAAAATCTGTGGCATCCACAATTTTGACGATACGAGAAACCTAAAAACGCAGAATCGTAGAAGATGACTATATCTTCTAGAGTGCAAAATCTGAACCAGATCGTATAATTATTACAGCCAGAATCACGAAAACAATTTCACTCTTTCTCGCTCTGTCTCACTCTAACACACAGGTTTCATGGTCGGTTTTGCCAATTGCAAAATATGAGTTCAAGGATCTCAGAACCTATAAAAGCCAGAGCAACCAAATTTGGTATCCACACTCCTGTGATATCGGACCTTGACCGTTTCCTGTCCAAATTTCGCCACACCCCCTTCCGCCCCCGCAAAGGACGAAAATCTGAGGCAACCACAAATCTCAGAGACTATTAAGGCTAGAGTAACCAAATTTGGTACACACACTCCTTTAAGATGTCACTATAAAACGTATATCTCAGAATTTCGCCCCACCCCCATCCGCCCCCACAAAGGACGAAAATCTGTTGCATCCACAATATTGCAGATTTGACAAAACTAAAAACGCAGAATCATAGATAATAACCATATCTATCAGGTTGCTGAATCTGGATCAGATCAGATCATTTTCATAGCCAAAAGGAGCAAATCAATTTGCACTGGCTACGCAGCGCCCGACGTCACGCTCAGACTGATTTTCTGTCTCTCTCGCACGCACTCTTTGTCGTGTCGTTAAATATTAGCGGCGTCTGCCGGAGGAGAGCCATACTGACTTAGTATCGGGTATAACCGTAGAGTTGCGGTGTCCGCAGCAACTCACAACGTTCCCCCTCGTTTTTAGTTGCGTTTAATGCTCTCCGAGGGCGTCGACGTCATAAGCGTCACTGTCGGCGTCGCCGTCGCTCATGCTGCTGTCACCGCTGTCGCGGTCACTGTCGCTGTCTCCGTCGCTATTCCCATAGCGCGACCCGACCAGACCAGACCAGAGAAGCGACATCACTCGTTGCGTTGCCGCCCGTCGCGTTGGTTGCTATTTCTCCGTCCGTGTATATCTGTTTCTCTCGCTGGTCCGATCCTGGGCAGAGTCTGACATCGTCGGGCATCATCGGGCATCATCGGGCATCATCGGGCATCGCCGAGCAACGTCAAAGAACGACCACGTGGACGAACAGGATGAACACAACGGCTACTATGCTGGCCCACATGGCGCCCTGCCGGGATACAACACCGGAGCAACTGGCGCAGCTCATCGATATGCACCTGGGCGAGCTGCGCGAGAAGAAGCCCAACTGGACGCTGGCCGCCTCGACGGTGGCCGGCCGCGGGGTGTTCGCCACCCGGGACATCGTCGCAGGAGAGCTGATCTTCCGGGAACGCGCGCTGGTGGTGGGGCCTACGGCGCGCAAGGGCCAGCTGAGCACATGCGTTTGCTGCCACCGGTTGCTACCGACGCAGGGTTTTCTCTGCAAGCAGCGTTGCACGCTGCCCGTGTGCGCCGCCTGCTCCGGATCGGTGACGCACCGGGCGGAGTGCGAGCACTTCCGCCGCTGGCAGCCAAAGGACGCGGACGCTGAGGAAGAGCAGGTGAACCCACTGTCGCTGCGCATCCTCACCGCCGTACGGGTCTTCCATCTAGGAAAGGAGCAGCGCCATCTGGTGGACGCCATGCAGGCGAACGCTGAACGGGGTTTCCGTCAGGAGATCATCAAGGCAGCGCAATGCTTCCGAAACTTTCCAACTACAGACAAGCCCTTCATGGATCAGCTTTTCCGGATTGTCGGCGTGCTTAACACGAACGCCTTTGAGGCGCCATGCCGCACCGACGGCCGCGAGACGCTACTACGGGGCCTCTTCCCGCTTACGGCGATCATGAACCACGAGTGTACCCCCAACGCCAGCCACTACTTCGATAACGGGCGCCTGGCCATAGTCCGGGCTGCCAGAGACATACCAAAGGGCGGGGAGATTACTACTACCTACACCAAGATCCTCTGGGGCAACCTTACGCGCGGCATCTTCCTTAAGATGACGAAGCACTTCATGTGTGACTGTACCAGGTGCAATGACAACACTGTGAGTAGGTGAATCGCCAATCGGCTCCGGGGCAAGGTTCTTATTCAACTATCTAAGGGCGCGCGCACACTATATTCGAAAGCGGCGCCCAAAAGTGCTCTAAAAGCTCGCCTAGATAAGCTCATCTTTGCTTGATCGATCAAACATGTTTGTTTTTATCATTTGAAAGTGCGTCTGATATCTACCATCAATATTTCGTTACTATGGCAGCTATGTGATATTAGTGGTCCGATTTTTCCAAATCTTTCTGAAGTAAATACTTATATGTCCATATAGAAACATAAAGTTACAAAACTGCGAACTTTTAATTTGATTATCTAAAAAACAGATATGTTTTTCCCAGGAGAACATGTTTTTGACCGATCGTTCCCACAGCAGCTTTATGATACATACACTCCCCGACACTTGAATACGACACACTAAAATGTACACTTTAGGCACCAATATATTTGTCGTTTTATTGAGATACACGTACATACGTATGTATGTACGTATAATATATGATTGCGGCTATCAGATCATCATTCAACTTAGTCGACAGGTTAGTTAGTCAAAAAGCTTAGATCTGAATTTTGAAAGCTTCCTAAGCTCAGCTGCGCTTTTGGCTCCTCTTTCGACAATAGTGTGCGCGAGGACCATGTACATATAAGCATGGCACTGATACAGTCTTTATTAAAATATATAATATCGATTTAGTCTGCTCACTGTTCGGATTATCGTGAGCTTGGAATATCACCTTCAACAATTTTGCTGCATAAATCCTATCAGTGGATACTTTCACCTCCATAAATACTCCTAGCTTTGCACGGCATAATCACATTTTTGAGCGGATTTTCTACTTTCTAAGAAGCTTTGCTACAAGAGCTTTAGGAACTTACCCTTTTTGCAAAAGGGCTTCATTTTATAATGCTGAAATCTAAATATTATCGATTAGCATTTTCGTCCCATCGACACAAGTCTTGATCTGAGGCATGGCCCTCGAACAACACCACTGGCAAAGGCCCTCACTTACGTATAAAGCAATTATTGAAATTTCGATCAAATATTTTGCACGAATTTCAACAGAATACATATATTCTTGGCCAACGTTAGATGTCAACGTCGCTGTTTTTCTTTCTATCTCCCTATACGAGCACGTGTATGTACATATGTACATATGTTTGAGTGGGCATGTATGTATGTACATACATACATACAAACATGCACCTAAAGAAAAAAATGCTGAAATTTTAATATTTAATATTTACACTTCGATTTAATTATTTATGCGATTATATTTACACTGGAAGTGGAAATATTATGAATTTAATTGTTTCACATTCAATTTCGTTTTCACATTAATATTTAAATAGTTATCTTTGACATTTCATACTTAAATTAAATAATTCAATATTCAAATAATACATTTATACTTATGTATATATAAATGAATCATACAAATTTATAGTATTTTATAGTATTTTCAATTTTGATTAAATATGGTCTCCATTGAAACGACATTTAAATACAATTTTATATGTTGGATTTAAAGTCAATTATATTTAATCTCAGCGTGTTTGTATTTAAAAACCACATGTTTTATTTAAATATCGCTGTGCTTTTTTTTTTTACTGAGTCTACTATTTTTCTCTCGGTGTACATATGCAAAATGTATATATGTATATATCTGTATCTGCTCATTATGATGTGGTATTGCTGCTCTTTATGCGGGATTAGTTGAATAATGGCCTCGGGCGTTGGCAGGCCAGGCCACCTGACACAAATGCGTTCCCTAATTAAATTAGCTCTATGTGTTTTCTTGCACTTGCCAGGAGTGTCGCCAAGGGGGGCGTCAAGCTGGTGACGAGGAAACAACAACAACAGCAGAAGGAAAGCTCAGGGCCTCCTTGATCCCTTACCCTCCTTAACCTTCGATTAGTACACATCACATAGTCTTTTGCCTTTGAAATCTTCATTATACATGCATACTCGTATACTTAAACGATTTATATTTAAATTGTCTGGACTTATGCCTGTCTGTATATTGACAATACTAAACTCCTCCTTGACTCACCTCCAAAAATAAGATTTCCATAAGCATGACACATTGAATTCTAGTTCGAGTTCGCTAATGTTCCGAAAAATTCGGATTTCAGTGGAATGTACTGCGCCGTGAAGTGACAGAGGCGGTCAGCTAACCCGATCCCCCAAATTAACAGAAACCGGAATACAAACCATATTAGCCATTTCTCTGATCCCCAACTAAAACCAACCCGTCTCTCTGTTTCGCCCCTGCAGGAGAACGGAACGTACCTGTCGGCGCTGTTCTGCCGGGAGCAGGGCTGTCGGGGCTTGGTCATTCCCGTTCAGACCCGGACCCTGCAGCCAGACTGGCGATGTCTGAGCTGCGAGAATGTCTTTCCTCACTCGAAGATGGCCAGATATCAGGACTTCGCACTAAACACTATCAACAATCGGATTAACTCGTGCAGCGTTCCCGACATGATACACTTCATCAATGATCTGTGTCCGCGATTCTGTCCGCCCTCGAACTACGTTCTTATCGAGGCTAAGCTCAACGTGATCTGGCGCATGACCCGATTCGACACGGACCAGTACACGACCGAGGAGGTGGCGCATAAGGACCGCTATCGCGAGGACATCCTGGCCATACTTCACAAGCTCGGGGCAGGAGAGTGCACCCTCAAGAAGCTCATCACCGAGGAGATACAGTAAAGGCTGCCCAGGAGATCCCTCCTTCACTGTTTGCGTGTATGATTTTGTATGGATGAAAAAGTGTGTGAGTGCGTTGTTAGTACTGTATTTTGTAATCACTTAAGAAAACCAATAAACACCAGGATATGTTGTACATACAGCTAGGACTCACTCTATTGTTTGGCACTTCTGTGACAGCTGTCAAAGCTGTCAAGCTTTATTGACGATAATTATACCCGATACTCAAAATGAGTATTGGGTATATTAGATTTGTGGTGAAAGTGGATGTGTGTAACGTCCAGAAGGAATTGTTTCCGACCCCATAAAGTATATATATTTTTGATCAGCATCAATAGCCGAGTCGATTGAGCCCTGTCTGTCTGTCTGTCTGCCTGTCTGTCTGTCCGTCTGTCCGTCCCTATCAGCGCCTAGTGCTCAAAGACTATAAAAGCTATATCCGGACTTCTGTGATATTTCACTGCTACAAGTATATTTCAAAACTTTTCCCCGCCCCCTTCCGCCTCCACGATACGAGAAAACAGAAAACGCAGAATCGTAGAGGATGTCCATATCTTCCAGAGTGCAAAATCTGAACCAGATCGTATAATTATTATAGCCAGAATCAAGAAAACAATTTCATTCTTTCTCGCTCTGTCTGTCTCTAACACACAGGTTTCATGGTCGGTTTTGCCAATTGGAAAATATGAGTTCAAGGATCTGAGAACCTATAAGAGCCAGAGCAACCAAATTTGGTATCCACACTCCTGTGATATCGGACCTTGACCGTTTTATGTCAAAATTTCGCCTCACCCCCTTCCGCCCCCGCAAAAGACGAAAATCTGTGGAATCCACAAATCTCAGAGACTATTAAGGCTAGAGTAACCAAGTTTGGCATCCACACTTCTGCTAGATCTCACAATAAAACGTTTATCTCAAAATTTCGCCCCACCCACTAAATCTAAAACTAAAATCTCTTGCATCCACAATATTGCAGATTCGAGAAAACTTAAAACGCACAATCATAGAGAATGCCCATATCTATCAGATTGCTGAATCTGGATCAGATCGGATCATCATAAAGCCAATCGGAACAAATCAAGATTTGTTTCTGATTTTCTGTCTCTCTCGCACGCACTCTTTGTCGTGTCGTTTTATATTAGCGGCGTCTGCTGGAGGAGAGCGATACTAAGACTAAGTATCGGGTATAAATGTAGAGTTGCGGTGTCCGCAGCAACTCACAACGTTCCCCCCCGTTTTTAGTTCTACAGACGGATCCTTAACCCCAGAAAGGTCTGGAGCCCAAGATAAACCACATAAAGTCGTGGTTACAGTCGGTTCGAGGCCCGTCCGCTGAAACGATGATTGTCTCTAGATATCGCGGAGAGATCCACCCAACATCGCAAACTTGCGAGCAGGTCGTATCGGCTTTTTACAGCGGGCGAGAGATTTGTAGCTAGATGATGGGCTGTGCTTGATTTTATTTACAAAGAACTGGCAAGGCCGTACAACAGCGAGGAAAGCGTCCTCAGTACCACAATAGAAAGTGCCTAGGAGGCGCAACAGTCAACCAGTCCTTCCCAACCAAAGAGCCCAGGGAGGAGTTCTGTTTCTGGCGACTCTGCCAGGAGTCACCATGCAATGTGGAATGTGGAACATTTAATGGTGCCTCCTGAGAGAGGCGGCAGGACTGCCATCGGTTGTCTGAGCATTAATCGTCGCGCCTTATGCTATTGGGCGGAGAAACCACTTGCATTAAACATTTTGTTGTTGTCTTAACTTAACTTTATCTTGTACAGTCGCGTTTAATATCGATTAGCGATTAGCAAAAAACTAAGAGAAACCGAGAAAACTGGATTCTTAGCTCCAGATTGCTAAGTTCAGCTAAGTTCAACTGTTATTGATAAAGCACCATTGCCAATTGCACTGCCCTTCGTTGCAGGACGAAATCCGTGAATATCGATGCTGTGAGCGAAGGAATCGAGCACGATCGTCATGTCCCAAAGCGAGAGATTGGTGCATTCTTGGGCATTAGTATGACGTCCATCAATAAGATTTTCCATGATCGTCTAAGAATATAAAAATCGGTCAAAAGGAGGCTAGTATCATGCATACATAAATCTGAGCCAAGTAAAAAAAAAACGCTTATCGACGGTATGGGTGTTTTAGAGCGGGGCAAATGCCACAAAAGTTTTCGCAACGAACCGTTTGTTCGAAAACGAATTTATTAGAGAATTTTGAGAATTTCCAGCTATCAAAATATCCCATTTTTGCAATTATATTAAAGCTGAGGTTTACGACAAAACTATGCGAGCGTTGTAGGTTCTGGAGGTTGTGTCCGAACTTATCATCTTGGCGACGGCTACGAAGCTCTGGTTGGACCCTATCAGTCGTTCTTTCCTAAGGGTCGTCCGTTTGTCAATGTGCCCATATCGCACAAGTCATTTCGGATGGTTATATAGGCCTTAAAGTATATTTAGCGGCACAACACCAAAAAATATTACTGCTCGTATCTGTTCTGAGGGGCATCAAAATCAATCAAAATCATTGGATGAACCCCATCTTTTGTACTAAACATAGAGCTAACAAGATGCTATCGAATGGCCTAAAAAACCACGGTGTAAATATTTGTTTTCAATCATTTTTGTACATCAAAAGCGTACGAAAGCAAACTTGTTCCACCTTAATGCTTCGAAATGCAAAGTTATGACATTTCCTCTTTCTAGCCCCTTGTTGGCTCCCCATACCCTATTTGGTGGTTCTCTTGAGAGAACTACTCTGGTGGATGATCTTGGTGTTATGTTAGACCCCAAGTTTAAGTTTTCTGAACACATTTCTACCATGGTAAATAAGACCATGGGCATGCTTGGGTTTATGAAGAGGTGGTCAAAGGAATTTGTCGACCCCTATATAACAAAGACTCTTTATAACTCGCTTGTTTGTCTGATCTTAGAATACGGCTCCTGTGTATGGTGTACAAAGTACACCTGGACCGTATAGAATCAGTAGAGAAAAACTTTTTACTCTTTGCTCTTGGGGGGCCTTAGTTGGGATAAAGGTGTGAGACTTCCATCTTACTCTATTAGACTGCTATTAGTAAACCTCCCATCCTTAGTTAACCGTAGAAAAATGCTTGGTGTGATTTTTATGCACAACTTGATCAGCGGTGACATAGACAGCCGTGATCTTTTCAACCGTATAAGCTTCACGATTCCTATTAGACTTACTAGAAATTGTATACCGATGTTCCTTCCACTTTGTAGATCGAATTATTCCTTTCATGAACCGTTTAGGGTCTTATGCTCGGATTATAATTACCTTATATTATATGGCTCTCCTACGGCAGACGCCGCTAATATTAAACGACACGACAAAGAGTGCGTGCGAGAGAGACAGAAAATCAGTCTGAGCGTGACGTCGGGCGCTGCGTAGTCACTGCAAATTGATTTGTTCCGTTGGGCTAATGATGATCCGATCTGATCCAGATTCAGCAATCTGATAGATATGGGCATTCTCTATGATTGTGCGTTTTTAGTTTTCTCGAATCTGCAATATTGTGGATGCAACAGATTTTCGTTCTTTGTGAGGGCGGATGTGGGTGGGGCGAAATTTTGAGATAAACGTTTTATTGTGAGAACTAGCAGAAGTGTGGATACCAAACTTGGTTACTCTAGCCTTAATAGTCTCTGAGATTTGTGGATTCCCCAGATTTTCGTCCTCTGCGGGGGCGGAAGGGGGTGTGGCGAAATTTTGAGGCCAAACGGTCAAGGTCCGATATCTCAGGAGTGTGGATACCAAATTTGGTTGCTCTAGCTCTTATAGTCTCTGAGATCTAGGCGCTCACTTTTTACAATTGGCAAAGCCGACCATGAAACATGTGTGTTAGAGAGAGACAGAGCGAGAAAATATACTTGTAGCAGTGACATATCACAGAAATCCGGATATAAAACGTCGTTGCTCTAGCTTTTATAGTCTTTGAGCACTAGGCGCTGACATTGACTCAAGGCATAATTGTCGAGTGAGTCTTGTTATTTCGTATGACTCGCACTCACACTGTTACGAAAAAAGTTGTGAGAGAGAGAGAGTGCATGTGGTGTCTCTCTCGCTCAATGTGTTGTGCATTGTTTTGCTCACTGCAGTGTGGAATGTGTGAGTCAAACGAGAAGGACATTTTCATTTAATCGGTGACGGTTTCTGTCGGTGCTTGTACTGTTTACTAATTACTGAAAATGGGAAATTCGAATGTTGGTTCTTTTGATTATGTAAGTTTAGTAGAAAAATGTATGCGTGTGTTTCTATTCGAATATTATATGTACATTTAAACACAAAGACAACAGTTCAGTTTCCGTGAAGAACGGATCGTACGAAATCTCTTGTTTCCAAATGAGCTTTAATTTATGGTGGTTCTGTTGGCTGTTCTACAATCAGGTTGGAGATTTCAACGAATTCCAAGCTGAGCGGGGTCACTGATAAGCTAAAGGACGACCAGCGCTTATTTCTAAAGAATGCCTTGTTCTTGGGTGCGGTGCCGATGTGAATCAACCTTCGGCAGATCAGCGCGAGGTTCCCAGTGTGGTAGCAGCGATCGCCTCCCATGATCACTGCGGGGCAACTTACAACATGCCAAATCGCTTTCCCTAGATATCGACTCGTCCTACGCCCCTAAGGGGGATTCTTCGCGACTTTTGTCCTTGGAAAGTTGTCCGTATTTTTAGCTCCTCTCGGACACTCGCGTCCGGCCTCGTATACGATTTTCTGAACGAACTCGAAGACTGGGCCTCAAGGGGGAAAATTGGCGGGAACCCAGCGAAGCTGAACGCTAAGGAAGTCACACCCAATGCTTCTGGAATGAAGCATCAACCTCAGTCTCGCCCTGGACTGGCGACTGACTTGGTAGCTCTGATAGCTCCATCAAGCTATCCACAGTCCACCCTCGGCCATTAAGGAGAAGACGGAGGAAAAGAGATGGCCATCAAACAATTGGATACTTGGACGCTCCCCAACTGGGCGCCCAACTCCCCAACTGAGCTATGTAGCTCTGCTAGTTAGCTAGTTCCTAATAAATCTACTAATAGCTGGTGCATCTGTGTATATGTATGTGTGTACTTTCCCAGCAGCAGTGTGTACCTACAATAAGCTACTACTGCTACTTTTAGGACCTCTTTAAGGTCTGAACGTCGATTATTTTGTCATCATTTATATAATTTTAGGCTTAACAATCACCATTTTTGGTGTTGTTTAGGCTATAGCAAAAACTCAAGTTAGGACAAGAATCAATTAAATTATTGTATGAGCAGTATTTTTTTTATGGTGTGAAGTCTTAGTCATGCATATCTAAGTGTATCTTGACTTGGACGTTATGTGGTTAAATTCTCATTGCAAGGGACTATTCTTCTAAAATCGCGAAAAAACTAAATATCCTCGATGGCCCGCGGTCATATTTGGCGGTCCAACATGGTTCTTTTTTTATTTTAATTTAAAAGTTTAACATATGCATTTAAATAAAATGTCAAAGTTTCGTCGAAAGGTGTTTATTTTGTTATTTTGGAAAGTATCAGGGTTTGAATATTAGGTGAAATTCAGTTTTGTGAAGAAATTAACCAATCACACTGATAGGATTCACAAATGTTGAGGATGTAAGGACTTAAAAAAAAATATATTTGTTTTTCTAAGGAGGACAAAGAGGATGGTGAAGAGGAGCTATGTGTATTTCCGACACTTAGCTAGAGCCGCGCCTCTACATTTATGCCAGATGCTCAATCAGTATGGCTCTCCTCCGCCAGAAGGCACATACATTGCACGACGAGAGTGTGTGAAAGAGAGGGAATGAGTAATGAGTAACCATGACACAGATTTTCCACCTTTGTGGGACGGGTAAGCCCCAAAAGTATGCAAAGTTTTGATATTTCATTCAAAAGCATATCTATGTTTATGATTATGTTTACATTTTATACGGGCAATAATGAAACTTTGAAGATGATAAAAAAGTTAAGAACCATTTGCTAGATATTGACAAATACGCACAAATTCCGGCAAGTAGTCGGCAGTTCCGCACAACGATTTTTTCTGAGGCTGTCGCTGTGAAGCACAGGAGAAGTTCGCGGCAGACTTTTTCTGCAGAAATCGCTGGATGCGACGATCCTCAAGAATCGGCATCCCGAACTGAACCATTTGCTGGATGTTCCCGTTCACCGCCAGCTCAGAAGCTCTCTACATTATGCCGAAGTGTCGACGGGCATTGAAGGCCATTCACGCTCAACCGATACATAATCTTAATGTTGTGCGCCTGAAATGTTTGATAGATATAGTGGTGCTCATCTCGCTAAGGTACACGTTTTATGGCGCCCCATAGCACAGGTATTCCTGATAGTGTGAGAGAGCTTCTGCCATCCCAAACCACAATTTTTTTCTTAGCTACTGTTTCTCTGTTATTTTAGAAGTCATTGCACTATTTTGAAAAATCACCCAGCAGTCGAAAATTTCCAGTGTCCAAACCTTGTCAAGCCCCCTTAAAATGTAAGAACATTCAGATTTTCTTGTTTCTCCAGAGTGGATTGTATTAATATTTGTTCATCACAGCTGAGATTAGCCGGGGCGGGGCACTCTGCTACAGCGACTGCTCCCGGACTGGACTTCACCAAAAATGTGTTGTGCACTCGGACAGCGGCACAGCGATGGAGGTGAGGGTATTCGGCTAAGACAACTACGACAATTCTGGATGGTGATATGCTGGTTCGTCCACAAGAATTGCAGTCAAAAGCTCAGCAATCCGTTGCCAAATAAATTTTAAGTTTTGCATGTTGAAGAGTGGAATGTTCTATTTGCCAGGGTCCGCAGCAGATTTTTATACTGGGTATCATAAAGAAGAAGGAAGTGTTTGTGACGATCCCATAAAGTGTACATACTCTTGAGTCGGACGCCGCCTAGGGCACCCGTGGGCCTTATGACACTGGGCGTTATGACATGCACCCTTTATTTGTAGGTTGTAGATTGAAAGGTATTTCAACATATATGTATGTAGCCTTAGAAATGAGTAATAATCTTTTCCTGCTCTTAATGCCGTTTAATCGTCTTTGGTGGACTAAAAGCATATGAAGGCCCCTCCCAGCACCTGCGAGACTCACATATTCTGTTAGCCTCGTTCATGGCGAATTTAAATACATATTTTAAATTTTTTGCTTAGGACTGCTGACCTTGAACTGATGCTATTTTTCAGCTGGCCTTTCAGTTTCAGGGTGAGGTTTATTTGCTGCTTGGAGTGCAGAAAACATAGGCTACCAATATTTATTTGTCCTTAGAGACACATATTTTGACAACCATCGTTATTTCGAGTAAATTTTAAGACCCCCAATGCCAATAAACTCAAACAAAAATAATGCAGGCAAAAAATAAACAACAATTTAAAAAGTCAACTTTTGTAACTTCAATGAGATATTCTGGTCTGAACAGTAACAATTTGTAACCTATATATGTATATATATTTTTTTTGGTATTTCTTGACTGTGGCTTCATATAAAAACTTTAAAAAACATTAGTTTATATTTTTAAAATATTCATTTTCAAACAATTTTATAAGTTTTTCCACATCTAACGAGCTAACAATTTGTTCCTACTAGAATGAAGAATTCACACACTGTGCGGTGGCTCTTTTAAAAAATTAATTGATGATCTTGGACTGTAAGCTGAAATTTTTTGAACATATTTCTACCACGGTAAATAAGGCCTTGGGCGTGCTTGGGTTTATAAGGAGGTGCTCGAACCCTATATAACGAAGACCCGAACACTGTTCTTGTTTATGGTGTCTTCAGTACAAAGTACACCAGGATCGGAATATAGAATCAGTCAAAAACAAAACATGTTTTCTTTGCGCGCCCTCAGCTGGAATGCAGTTGTAAGATTGACATCTGACCCTAAAAGATTGATTGAAATAAACAAATAAAGATTTATATAATCTTAGAAAAAGTCTTTGCCTTATTTTTACGCATAACTTGACGAGGGGTGAGGTTGATAGTCCTGTCTTGTTCACTACAGAATCTTCCGCTTCATGGATCGAATTTTGCCTTGCATGAACCGTTTGAGGTCATTATAATTCCCTTTACAGTATATATACTAATACTACAAGTACACTTACTCTTCTTAAAGTACTAACACTAACACAGTTCTCCAGTAATTAGTATTAATATTTGTAATTTAAATGCATGCTTAGCTCTTTTAGTTGAGTGAAGTTATAGTTTTCCTTGAATGTTGCGAGATGCGAGATCTTTGTTTTCTGCATGTACGCTATTGGATCGTTTATACGCGTCGTGCGTCACGCGGCAACGCTCCTCGGTCAGTAGGGCGGAAGGAGGGCTGCGTTTCTGCCTGGGATCCGTGCGTAATAGGCTTCTGCTTGGTATCGCATGGGGCGCTTGATGGTCACTTTCGAAGGAGATAGAAATCAAAAAACTAAACGAAAACGGTGATTATTGTCTTCGGTATGCCTCTTACTTTGTACGGCTTTTTACTGCTTTGCACTGCTTTACTCACCTAGGTCCTAGAGGAAATGCATCTTCTTCCAAACTATAATATGAAAATGCCACCTTCCAACTGAGATTTTAAATGAATTTCCCATATTATTATTGAATCCAGACACTATTTCTGTTGCTGTGGTACAAAAGCTTCCTTTAATATCGTATACACTGGCATACTACTGCGGGCAAACAAACCAACGTTCTACATACATTCATAGATGCTCGTGGGACAATAATAATTTCTCTACAACAATTTCTACTTATACATTTGTCATATATATATATATATACGTATATCTTTTCAATAAGCGATGAAAAACGACAGTCTGAGCGTTCAGACTAAGCATTGGTTGAAGGGTGGAAAAGTGGAAGGGTGGCGGTACGATTTGCATAAACATAAATAATCAAGTTTAATAGCTATGGCATACTAGTTTTCTTGGCCCTAGATCTACATACATCTAAATCTAACAAAGTTTATAAAAAAAAAAACAAAAAAAAACGCAGCTCAAGTGGGAGCGAGTGGTGGAACTAACTTAGAGATAGGTGCTCGGAATTATTTTTGTGGTCTGCGTTGTCGGCCTTATCTGCCTGATAGCGTTGCAGCGGCGGAATGGCAAACATGACCAGACCACTGATGGCGATCATCAGGCCAGCCATGAGGAAGGCCGGAGAGTACGAGTTCGTCAGGTCGTACATCCCGCCTAGAGAAGAAGAGAAGGAAGAAGATGATCCAGTGAGTGGGCTTCCATGAGCGATCCACGAGGGAAAGACTTACCTCCGATGGGGGGACCAATGAAGCTAGCAATGCCCTGGAAGAGCAGCAGCAGGCCAAAGGCATTGGTCAGCTTCTCCAGCCCCAACAAATCCACTAGGATAACCGAGGTGAGGCCCACATAGGCGCCAATCGTGAACCCAAAAACGACGCAGTACATTGCCAGCGAATTAAAGTCCTTACAGAGCGGCACCATGGCAGTGGCTGAAAGACAGGAGGAGCATGAGTCGGTGAAGAATAGGACAAAGTAGAATGAATTGTCACTCACCGAAACCGCAGGCCGTAAGACAGACGTTGTAGACGAGAAGCCGGTTGACCCACGGCTTATCCGACACGTAGCCGAGGATGATGCGGCCCACGGTGTTGGCCACGCCGATTGTGGCGATCAAATAGCTGCTATTTTGCTTGCTAATGCCGAGCTCCTCCGAGTAGGCGGCTATGTACAGGTAGGGCACGTTAAAGCCAATGCTAGTGCAGAAGTTCGACACGGAGAAGATCACAAAGATCATGTCCTTCAGCAGCGAGAAGTTCATCATTTCGGAAAAGGTGTCGCGGGTCTCCGTGGAGCAGGTGATGCAGCCGCAGCATTTGGCGCTCTCCTGCAATGCATGGACGGAATTATATTAATGGGAAATCAGTTGGATTGTCTTAACAATTTGCAGTAATTTAAGTGTAAGTCAAATCTAGTAAGCATTCCATACTGAACATTCTATATTTTAGTCCGAAATCGAAATTAGGGGTAAGGATAGGCCTAGGAAGAAGTCGATTCCCATGGCGATGGGTGGTGGTGCGTCTTCGGACGACCGACAACCGATCGCGTAGTTCTTTGTGGCCACCAGCCAACAGATCATTATCTGGGGTGGGGGTCACACTCGCCTCGTCCACTGTGACGTCGCAGTCGGAATGTGCCCGACGACGACGACGACGACGACGACGACGACGACGACGCCGCATTAGCATATTAGCTTTAAGTGTAAGTGGCTCGGCTCATGTTAGTCAAATGATGTCGACAGCCAATGAATATTCGAAGGGCGACGTATGTACGTACCCGTCGGATCGGATCGGATCGGAATGATTCAAACTAGAGCAGACCATAGCGTGGCAGTGCGGCACGGGCTGGATCCAAAACCGAACCACGGGACCTGCAAGTGATCAGTGCGCCGTAAGCTTTGGACGCGACGGCACCTGGTACCTGGTCGGGGCGATGTCATTGGCAAACTTTTACGAGGATAGCGAGATATTTGTGACGGGCGGCTCAGGAGTGGTGGGCAAGGCGCTAATTGAGAAGCTGCTCCGCTCCTGCAATGTGCGCCGCATCTACGTCCTGCTGCGTCCCCGCCGCCAGCTGAGTGCCGAGCAGCGACTGGTCAAGCTGCGCCAGGCCACAATTTTCCATGTGCTGCACCAGGAGAAGCCCGACGAGCTGGACAAGCTGGTGGCAGTTCCCGGGGACGTCTTGCTGCCCGGACTAGGTATCGATCCGGCCATGGCTGCCCAAATGTCGAAGGTCTCGCTCGTCTACCACTGTGCGGCCACCGTGCGCTTCGACGAGCCCCTGCGAGTGGCCCTGCAACTCAACGTTGGAGGCACCTTCGAGGCCATCAAGTTTGCCGAGACTCTGGCGCACCTGCGCGTCTTCGTCCACGTGTCCACCTTCTACAGCAATCCATATCTGAAGTTCGTTGAGCCCAAGTACTACTCCTCGCCCATGGACTGGCGGCTGTGCCTGCGCGTGATCGAAGAGGTGCCAGACGATGGAATGCTAAATGCGCTGACCCGCAAGTAAATACAGTCTTCCAAAATGATCATAATGTCCTCGACAGAACCTCAATCAATTCTGTCGACTAGTCGTCATCAAAGTCGCCTGGATCTTAATTGATACTTCATCGATCTTACCAACCGATCCCTGATTGATCCTGTACTCCTCTACAAACCACCTTCCGTCGATCCCTCATCCTTTGCTTAACATACCCACTCTTCTTCTCTTGTTCTTTCGAACTTTTTTCAATTCTTGACTCTCTCCCTAATCTCTTTCGATCCGCAGGCTAATTGTGGGTTTTCCGAACACGTACACGTTCACCAAGAACTTGGCCGAGTCCCTGGTCAATGATTATCGCTGCCGCTTACCGCTGATCATCTACCGTCCATCGATAGGTGAGCATAGTCCACGGTCAGTCAAAAATCGACTGACTTGTGTGCTTACATGACTTATCGTCCTGAATGATCGTCCTTATCGTCCCCATAGTTTTGTTTGCGGTCGATGATCCATCGCCTGGTTTCTCCCCCTCGCTCATGGGTGCCATGGGTCTGTTCGCTCTGGTCGGAGCAGGAATATTGAAAACCGTATATCTGGGCAAGGAAACGCGCCTTGACATAACACCCCAAGACGTGGGCATTAAGTGTATGCTCTCTTACACAAAAAAAGGCCAGGAGAAGTACCAGAAAGGGTAAGATCAATCCCGCCAGAAAGCTGCTTAGATCGTGATTGGATAACATGTTGGTTATCCTTTGCAGGCCGCCCAAGGAGATACCCGTGTACATGTCCTCCTCCTGCACGCACGTTCCGCACACCTTCACCCAAATTGCCGAGCAGATGGACACATTGGGCTTGTGGAAGAAAGCCGCCTTCGAGAAGAGCCTGATGGTGCCTGGCTGTCACTATACGGATAGGCGCTGGGTCTACCAGTTCCTTGTCTTCACTAAGCAGATTCTCCCTGCTCTCCTCATCGATCTACTGCTGCGCCTCTTTGGAAAACGACCCCAGCTCATGGGCGTTGTGCGGAAGGCCTACCAGACCCTGGAGGTGATGCAGCCCTTTATGTTCAACAACTACGACAGTCCCGGGGTCACGGAAAAAGACGAAATATCGAAGGAGAACCATGGGTAAGGGCATTTCTACCTCTCTGCTGTACTCCTGGTGATATTCCTGCTGATCACGATCTTCCCTCTACGATGCAACATCGTCTAGCACCGACTTCCATTTGAACCCCTTCACTGATCCGGATATCAATGGTCTGGTGATCCGCGTAAGTGGCCAAATGCTCTACAGCATCCGGGCACATCTCTTCAAGGAGGATCCGTGCACCCTGCCACGCTCCCAGCGAATACACACGATGTAGGTATTCCCTTTCCTTACCTCTTATTCCCTGTACTCCCCCACTGACACTGTCTAACCACTCCATGCAGCAAGACGATTATCTACCAGGGCCTGCGCCTCATCCTGCTGTACAAACTCGTCCGCTGGATCTGGGCCAGCTATCTGGGGCAGCACTTCTAGATCAGATCTGCAACCACCTATTTCTTTTTTTTCTCTTTTTTTTTTGTACCCCTTAGTTTAGTTCACTTTGATGTCAGTTTGTTACATATGTATGTACATACATACAGGCATAAAACATACATATCTACTACGACCGAGACAGTTCGAGATCATGCAGCGAATACCCTTAAGTCCAGCAATCGATATGCCCCCGCCGGACGCAGTGCAGTCCAAGATCCGCACTTCGTGAAACCTTGCTAGTGGTGTCTGGCACACTATTGTGTTCGGGCTGAGCTGTCTAGTGACCCTATTCGAAGTAGCCTACATAGCCCTGATGCTGGGTCGTCAGCTTACACGATAAAAACATAGCTCTCCCGAAAAGTGAAATTTTAGGGGTCACATCCCCACTAGGGTACCCAAACCATACCATATCCAATGTCCAATAAATTGCCTTGAGAAATACAGAAAATACAAATTTAAATGTAACCTACCTGACTCTGGTCCATCTGATTACTCTGGCGTAAGGAACCATATCGCTTGATCACTCCTGATCCGGACATGGAGCGGTTGAGGTCGTTCCTCGAGCTGGCATACTCCGGCAGATTGTGCAGCGAGCCCTGAGGAGAACCGAACAAGAAGTTGGAGTTGTTCCCTGCGGACGGACCCAAGTAGCGTATAGAAAGAGAATACTCACTTGATAGAGAGCATCCACGCGGTACATGGTTCCACTGGCGCTTCGCTCCCGATGAGCATCCCGCAGCGGAGTCAGCTGGAGCTGGCTGTGGCAATTGCGGGCGATGTCGTCGTTGCTGGTGCTCTTCACGACCACTGTAGTGTGGATCGGGGGCGCTAGGGGGGTCTGGCCATTGATGGCGCCGTTCGAGTTATTGTTCTGTGGGGGAAGAACACACCAAACTGAGCAGGGGGTCTCTAGGTTGCAACAAAGGATACCCACCAGATTGGGCTTCAGATTGTGTCCCATGCTGTTGGATCGACACAAGGTACTTCCGCCAGTGGCCACACCACCTGCTGGGACATCCGTGCGCTGGGGCAGCTGCAGGTACTGATCCGTGGGCACCACCTTGAGCGGCTCCAGCTCGGCGGGCGTCGTGTTCTCGTCAATGATGGCAGACTTCTTCCCCAGCTTCGGGGTACTGGGAGTGTTCGGGGGCGTCTTCGGCGGCGCCTCCAGCTCCAGCGGCCGGAACATCGCCCCAAAGATGATGCAATTCAGCACGATGCCCCCGATGATCAGCATGGCCCCCCGCCAGCCATAGCTACCGATCAGATACTCCGTAAGAGGGGCAAACACGAAGGTGCCGAAGCCGGAACCGCACACGGCGATGCCAGTGGCCAGGGAGCGCTTGGAGTCAAAATACTGCGTAACGCTCACAATGGCCGGCAGATAGATTAGGCCGAAGCCAAGCCCCGTGCCAAACCCAATCGTAATGATCAGCGTGAGGACGTTTTGGGCAAACATGCTCACTATGATGCAACTGGCGGCCAGGATGGCCCCCGCTATGGTCACCGCCCGGCACCCATAGCGATTGACAAATGAAGAACTGATGGGACCTGCCACAATCGACGAACGTTTTAATAATGGACCCAAATATAGAATAGACGATTCGAATCATGCAGAAATAATCATAAAGCGATTCGGACAATTTATGAATGATCTGAAGAACGCTCACAGAGTCCATACAAATCTGTTCCACCCGGAGACGCCACTTACCTGATGAAAATGTCACGCCCACCATGATTGAGGCTATCCAGGCAGTGTAACCCTTGCCCTCTTTGAAGTAGTCGAGAAACTCGTTGTAGAAAATTCCGAAAGAATACGTCATCCCATCGGCTGTGGAAAGAAAAGAAAAGAAAAGAAAAGAGAAGACAAGACAAGACAAGTAGTGAGAAGTGATCATTTCTGGACCAGCCCCAAGGAAGGACACGCTTCTCGAGGCTGCTCAACAATTCAATAATTCGATTACGCCGGTTCGAACTGGTCGCTTTGGACGAGCTCTTTGGCAGCGCCCGGCAGCCCATAAATCAGTTTAACTGGACAATTAATTACGGCCCCACATTTATCAGGCCCCCGACTTTAGGCCCCACATCGATAACTATTCTCGTGTCTGGGCAATTACAAAAACGAGCCGATAAGATTATCTGGTATCTGGGAGGGGCTGGGAGGCAGTCGCCGGGCACTTGGCCGACAATTATCACCCAATAGTTGATAGTTGTATGCCTCAAGTGTCGACTGTACTCTCGCTCACTCACTCACTCACTACCTCCCTCCCCTTCCAAATCAGCCAGGCGACATTCGAGGCGTATCAGGAGTGGACGTGGACGTGGACCTTGTAGGTGTACCGTGGCTTAATCTGCACGGGCTGGCCATCCTAATTTCGAGCGATTAGGGTGCGTAAATGCTTCCCAAGTATTTATGATCCCCGATCCGGCGAATCTCACCGGCAGCTCTACGAAAATGCTTAGTAGCCGATTGTGCATTAGTAGAACCCACTTTACTACTTTTACCGACGCTGTTGCCAGCGGACACTCCAAGGTTTCTGGGGGGGGGTTGATTTATGGCACCTTTGAAGGGGAGCGGAGCGCAATATGGCCCATGAAGTGTGCAGAAACCTTCCGGGTGTAACCGAAAGCCCTAAACCCAGAGTCCGTGTAAGGGAAAGTTCGAAAGGAATGGAGATTCGTTAAATGGACTCGAACTTACTGACAATGTGAATCATGAAGGACGCAAACACCACCACCCAGCCCCAGCCACCATCCGGCGGCGTGGGCATTCGCTCCAGATCCATTTCACATGGTTTCTGGTGGGGCTGATGGTGCTGCTGCTCCTTCTGTTCTCTCTGGTTTTGGCTCTGCCGGTAGTGGGGCTGATCCTTGTGTTGCTGGGGCTGCTGTGATTTTCTCCGGGTGGGTGGTCCATGCACCATTTTCTTGATTTTCAAAGAAATACAGAAAAGGCAGGGGCCTCTTCCTCTTCCTAGTCGTAGTCCTACTCGTATCGGGGGCCGGGTCGAGGCCTCGGGAAATGAGTGTACTGTACAGTGCCACCCACAAATCTGCCTCTCCGGTTGCTGCTGCTGCGGCCGCTGCTGCAGCTTCTGTTGATGCTGCTGTGACCGATGGCGCTGGTCCTGCCGTTGCCGATGCCACTGCCGCTGTCGCTACCGTGTCGTGCTCTCCTCTAGTTTCGCATGGTGTGTCCGCTAAAATGGTATGGAAATTAATGTAAACTATGTTGGAGTTAGAAAGTGTTGTACGATGTTCGTACGAGTATCGGCGAGTATCGGCGAGTATCGGCTTAGCCGCCCCGCCCCACCACCGCCCCAGCAGCCTATGGCAAGGCAGAAAAACACGTGATGATGAGTGTGTTGTTTGTGTCTTTGAGTGCTGATGATGCTTATCAGCGAGCTCCGCCAAAATACATTGACCCTTCGAGACAATAACTTAGTCAATGGCACAAGACAGATTGTTCCTACATACCACTGTACATACAAACCATACATACTATGTTTTCATGTGCTTACACATGTGTACACATGTGTAATCGTAGGTATGTCCGAGAATAGATCATAGAAAGAACAATAATAATTTTGAAATCTTTAAATCGGTTAATTAACGGTAATTCAATGCTAAAATGCTCGGAAAGCTTTGAAAAAATTAACTTTAATATGTATGTATCTTCAAATCTTCCTGTAATATGTACTATTTATTACAAATTACAAAAAGATTTGAAAGTCTAAGATCTTTGAGCCGGGCCGTACAACCCGTAGAAACATCTAATTGTGTATTCATCTCATGCAGAATACACATACTCCATACACTATACACTGTTGTTGTGGATCGTTTTTGGAGATGGAGAAATTTAATATTGTATGAATATTGCTTATAGCCTAAGTTTCCATCTAAAGCGCTTCCCCATTCCCCGTTTCGACTACCGGGTTAGAAACCATTCTGCAACAGATCCAAGCTAATTGCCTAGATCTCAATCGCTCCATTACTAAGCTGCAGAGCCTTAGATGCAATTTGGATCTGTTCTGAATCGGTTGTGTATCAGGCAACAGTATGAATGTGAATCGCTGGGGAAGCGGAGTGCACTGCAACTCAAATCGAACAAATTAAACGAAACCAAATCAAAGCAGTTATCACACAGTCAGAAACCTTCTGAACTGTCATCCCTGCCCCTAGACAGCCCCCATCGCACACGCCCCGCCCCGCACCGCCCACCAAAGTTCCCCCCACGTCGTTGCCATCTCCATTACCCTTATCATCGTTGTCAATGTTGTGGCTGTGTTTTGGCAGATTCCGCTTACATTTCCATTGTCCGCTGATCACTGTTTTCCCTCCCGCAGTCTCTGGCGCAGTCTCTGGCGCAGTCTCTGGCGTGAGACGAGACCGGGGGAATGGATGGTAGGGTATCATTTATAGAACTCAGAATCTCGCTTATCAGCTTCAGTTCGAAAACACCCGACCGACCCGAATGATCGGGCCGAGCTGTGCGATTTAGACCCCCAGCAATCAGAGCGTTTAACAACTTTCGTACGTACGGATGTACGTGCGTATGTATGTATGAACGTATGTACATATACATATACAGCAGGAGAGCTGGAGAGCTGGAGAGCTCGAGAGCCGGAAAAGATGATTTGACATGAGCCCGATTGATATTCTAGTGTGCCTGGATAAGGGATAAGGGATAAGGGATAAGGGATAAGGGATACGGGATTCGGATACAGACCAACACGTCTGAGATAAGTTTCGAGACGAATTCAACACTCTGCACAGTTTTCATTTGTGCGGTGCAAGTTCGCGAACGAGTCTTAAAATAAGAACCGGGAAAGGTATTTTGCCTAAGCAAAGAAACTCAGATTCTGAGCCACGGCAGACGACTATTAGAACACGCCAAGGTGCGAATTATTCTCGTTCTCGTTCTCGCTGTCGTTTTGTTTTTCGCTTTCGCTTTTGTTTTTGTTTTGTTTTTTATTGTTCTGTTTTTGCACAAATAGATATAATCATAAGTAGGTATAAGCATATGTATATGCCTGCTTAATCATGGGGCCATGGGGCTGTTATTGTTGGATTCGACCAGTGACCAGAACAAAGCGCAAAAGTTGCAACAATGCCGCAAGATAATTTTGACATGATAATGCAGAGAGGAGCAGAGCAGTCCGAACAAAACAAATGCTGTGTTTCAGCTGTGTCCATGCCCATATCAGCCCACACTCGATATGCAGTCGAGCATTATATTGTATGTACTGAATAATGGCCATCCAGGCGTACAGGCATCCAGGCATCCAGGCATCCGAACAAAGCAAGACTCAGTCGAAATTGATTAGAAACAATGGAAATGTGGAGACGTGGAGATGGAGCAGAGAGAACTCTAACGGAGGCGTCTCCGGCTCTGTGGCATGGCAACCAGAACCAAAGCAGGAAACGCAAAGCAGCTTCAGCCCTGATGATTCACTCGTCGGCGCTGTGCTTTGTGCAATCAGGGCAATTAAAACAAAACAAAACAAATCAAATCGAATCAACTAAAACGAGAGACCAAAAAACGCCGCCTGAACTTCTACCTACGGATCCCGACCCCAGAATCCAGCGACCAGCGTCCCAGCGAATTATCGCTGACCAAATTTTGACCATGACATTGAGTGGCTCCCCCAATCTCTGTTTCTATCTCGACTCTATCGACTCGGCCGAATGTTGCGCATACGCAACGTTAACTGAAAGCGGGAAATGGAATTGGAAATGGAACGGGAACGGGAACGGAAACGGACCACACATAGATCGGAGTACCGCCCACGCCGTATCATCCGAACAAGCAGTGAATAAATAGACTTTGAATTCAGGTTCTGTGATTGCGGCCGGATTGTGGCTGCACTTCATTATGTTGCTTCTGTGGGCGTTCATTGGATAGTTGGGGATGGTTGGGGAAGGTTGATGAAAGCTGCAGATAAGGGAAACGATTTGAATAGGTCTGGTATTGGGTTGAAGCCGTTTCTAGGTGCATTTAATACCCTTCAAAAGGGTACACACATATGTATGTGTGTACCTATCGTCTGGACATGGTGTATTTGAAATAATAGACAGTCCATTTATACGTACATACATATGTACATAAATAGATAGATAAATAAGTTCCTGGTCGTCCAACTTCAAAGTTGGACTAACAATACTGAGAAAAGGGCACTAAGGACACGTCCTGCACATATGCATACATATGTACATACGTATGGATGTACATATGTCGTATGTAAGTACATATGTACATCTGAAATGGACGCTTTCTGAATTGAATCTCAATCGGCTTTAGATCTGCGCTTACATCAGGTTGTGTATCGGCTATGAACCTGTTAATTCAATGCCACCACCGCCGAACCACTAGCACTTGTTTATCTTGCACTCTTGAGCTGTTGCCCCACTGGGCAACAGGCAGCGCCTGGCAACGCCCTGCAACGCCCTGCAACGCCCTGCAACGCCCTGCAACGCCCTCCAACGCCCGGCAGTGCAAGGTCGCCACCCAATTGGCGATAACAGCACCACTTCGCTGATATGCACATGCCCGCTCGGTGTCCCTTTCTGCGAGTAGACAGGTACATATGTACATACATGTGTACATATGTACATATGTGCCCTTTCGATGCACCCATTCATTCATGTGCAGATTGCATTATGGGGCGTGGACTTTGCCTTGACCTATCTGCAGTGAGCGCACTGCCTCATATTCCCCATAAACATACTCGTGTAATGAGTGCCCAAATGTTGTGCGCAGTTAATGAAATTGCAGTATCAGCAGCTGCGGAACACATTCGATAAAGTGGTGGGGCCGCTTTGGGAGGTGGTGCTTTTCTTGTTTTTGTTTTTTTTTGTGTTTTTTTTTGTCCGGGCTGGGGCTGGTGCTGGGACTGGTGCTGATGTGGGTCGTTGAACCACCAGCAGAAGCAGAAGCCGAAGAAAAAAAAAAACAATTTTCGGTGCCACCAAAAATGGCAAGAGAAATAGAGAAAGAAAGAGAAAAAGAAAAAGACACGGGCCACACTTGCATGGAACATGCCATGGGAAAGGGGATAAAACGAAGCAAAAACATGCCAGCGTGCACTCTGCACTCTGCACTCTGCACTCGTCCTACGGTTCGTTCATCCAGTGCGGAAAGCCTCTGTTCGGCGAATTAGTACTCGTATAATAAGTCCCAGAAGGTGAAGGAGACAGTTTTCTGTCACCCTCTAGTACCCAACGAGCCCGTTCTTGGTCTTTAATCCCTGTTAGAAGAATCCAACGCGGCTAGGAGTTCTCCCAGTAGTCAACCCCAGTCCGTCTGTCCGTCTGTCCATCTGTCCATCCGTCCATCCGAACAACCTCCTTATTCGTTCACACTTTGTTTATCGCGGAATTAATTCACTTTGCTTGTCACTAAATGAATTTCTGATTTTGCGGTCACAGATTTTTAATTGCTTTGGCCTTGGATTCACTTTGTGCTCGCTTCCCACTCCGGCCACAGCCTGCCATCAATCTCCTCCGCCGGGGCAGAGGTGGCTGTTGACCTTGGACAGGGAGAACAACTGACCCACTAACCAGATTTCTCTGTTCGCAGTAGATATGAGATGGACTGGAATCACTTACATAGGTATGATACATGTTAAGTGACGCCGACCTGCACTTCCAAAGATTTCACTGTTTTTACGCATCTCTTTCCTCAGATAATTCTATTTGACCCTTATCCTGAATTAGTTCAATACATAGTACATTTATTAGCAATACATCTCGTCAATATTGTACATTCCCTGTTTTGGAATGAAGTACGTGGTTTTTTACCCTTTTTTACACCCTTTTTATTTCCTACTGAATCCTCTTAATTTCTTTGCATATTCTTTTCCGTTTATTTTCTTAATTTTCCGGGTGAATCTTAACTCCATTTCATACTGATCAATTCAACAATTGAATCCTCTGGTCAAAAACTACATACATATGCTTGTATGTATTTCCTTCTAATTATCGTAATTCTGTCTTCGGAACCTTGCTTTCAAATATGCTCTATGTCAAGCTAGAGGACAATTCATTAAAGCTACGTTCCCATATTTATTTGCTCCTTATATTTTTCGAATTGCTTTTCTGTAGGCTCGATCTCTTCAATATTAGTCTTTCCCATCATTATTTTGCTCCACTTTCCAGCAATCTCCACACCCCCCAAGATCAACAGCCCTGCCAACCTTCACACAAGTCGGTATCGATTCCACTCCAACTCCCACTCCGACCCCCCTTCAAAGATTGCACTGGCATGGGCATGGGCATGGGCATGTGCATGGGCCACCTGTTGACCGACTGAATGGCGAGAGGGGAATATGCATAGGGGAATATGCACTTTCGGCTCTCCCACATTCGTTCTGTGTTTGTGTTAATAAGAGTGTGTGTTTATAGGCAGGCAAAGGCAAACCGAACCAAACAAAAAACATAAATACCAACAAACTGTTGAGAATTCATTTAAAAATAGTCTCAGTAAAGAGTGCGCTCTTTTCGCTTCGCTTCGCTTCGCTTCGATTCGTCTCGTTTTTATTTTTGTTTTGGTTTCCAGAGCGATTGCATATTTCATTTTTGGAAGTCCGTGTAGATCTGAGTGGATCATATGAGAGCTATGGCTCAGAACATATGTAACTGCCCGCTAGCAGAGTGCTCTGCTTACCACCCGGACGGTGAATGGTGAACAGTGAACGTTGATGACTTACCTCTCACTTTCAGTTACTGTTAACGGTATTTCTGTTACTGTTACTGTTACTGTTACTGTTACCAGGGATATGCGTGTGCCGTTACTATTGGTTTCTGTCTGTTGCTAAATGCTTCCTTTCGCTGGAAGTGGGCACTTATGCTGGGTTCGATTCGATCATTTGATATTGGCTTTGTTAGCGTTTTTTTGTGCGCAAATCGTTTTACGACTTTGTTGACAATTTTCGTTCGCGCTCTGTCCGCTGCAGCTGCAGCTTGAACGTCCCGTCCTACAGAGATTACGAACTGCACTCGAATCAACTGCAATCAGATTGCCATTAGATCGGTCCAATCTGATCAATTTCACTCGATGCACTTTTGATTGATTTTTCCCAAGGATTTTGGATGATTTTTTAGCGAGCAAGTGGGGAAAGTCCTGTCTTGCTGGCGCTTCTTTTCCTTACACTTTTCGTACTTTCAAGCTTTTCGCCTTGGACAATGGTTACTGGTCTACTGAGTGTACGATTTGGCTCATCTTAGGCCTATGTTCGATCCGATGCGATCCGATCCGATCCGATCCGATTCATGTGCATAGAGGCCGACGAGACGCAACCGATGTCGTTGTCAGCGAGAGACCAAATAAAATTAAATGTGAAATGTGTAAGAGCAAAAAAGCGAATAGGAAGAAGCAGTGGAGCGGAAGAACAGTGGAACAGAGGAACAGAGGAGCGGAGGAACGGCAGCACAGAAGAAAACATTGAAACCATTCCGAATGCTTGCTCTCTTACCCGCTCGCTCTCCCACACGCTCTCAGCGGGTTCTTATCAATAGCTTCTGCTGGAAAAAGCGAGAGCCCCACCGTCCGACCGTCCGACCGAACGACCGACCGACCCCAGAGAGACGTATGAGCCACAGATAGAGAGACTAAAAGAGAGCGACAGAAAGAGAACGACAAAGGGGGGTACAAGGTGCAGAGGTAGCGGGTGCGGGAGTGCCAGTGATCGGACTCAATCCGCATTCGAATTATAAACACCTTATCAGCTCTATAACTTTTCTACATTCCCATTATTGTTGCTGTCCCTTTTTGTGATTTCTAATTGTTGTACCGAAGCAAACACCTCATACATATGCATGTACATATGTACATATGTATACACCGTGTTTCTAAGAGGAGTACGGCACTGGCTGATCGAACTTGGAATGCCTATGCCTTTCTGGGCTTAGTGTTAAATTTTAATTAACAAATTTATCCGATACGCATTGTGAGCAAAACGAAATCACGCATACTAACACCAGGAACATCAGGGTCTAGACACCATATAGAGTTCGATAATACCCTGCCTCACACGTAGCCTAACTGGACGTAAACGGCCTCTGCCAAGTTTAATAAATGACTAGAAATTCACATGCATACATATGTATGTGCATACGAACATATATAGTACGACTCCATTTTGTGGACATCTAGAAATATCCTATATTTTGAATCAAGGCCCCTTTCGGTTGTTCAATTCTCATTTAGAGTAACTTTTGCTGAGACTAACTAAAATATTATTAAGCTAAATAAGTTTAAATTGTATCTGCGGGAGAAGTGCTGCCCACAGTGTTGGAAACACACTTTGCGGTCGGACAAAGAAGTAGTGGGGATGTGAAAGTGATTTCCCGATCTTCTTGCATTCTTTGCAGATCACAGTGGAACAGAGAACAGAAGTTTCCCATCCTATCACTCTACAGTGGTGAAAATCTGAGGTCCAAAGCGAAAGCGACAACAAAAAACGCTGTTTCTCTATGTAAGTTTCTTTATAGAGGCTGAGTGAATTGGATCCCTGGATCCCTGGATCCCTGGGCCCCCTGTACACCCCCTGGCCCCCAGCCCTAAACAACTGTTCACTGACCATCAAATATGGAAATTGGACTTGGCCAAGCTTCGCACCGATCGCATAATTTTCTGAGCAAACAAAGCTTGGCCCAACACCGACATGGATTTAATGCTAAAAATACACAGCACTCGGGACGAGCTAGACCCCAACACGAGACCCCTGATCACAACCCAGACAAGGTGCGATCGTGACCAGATCGGTCACAGGTTATCCGATCAAGATTTGCGGAGATTACTTGCCTTTTCTTTTCTCTCTGGATCAAACCCCTTCCGCCAATCGATTTACTATTCTCGAAGCACGACAATTTCAATGAGTGATAAGGGAATGACAAGGGAATCGATTCCGCTCAGAGCCCCCGAAGGTGGCCTGCCGCGCCCCATTTTCAATTGATAAGATGGTTGCCAGATCCTGAGGCAGAGTACGAGATATAGCTACGGCTGGACGAGTCTACAACCGGGTAAATGGAGTGGAACTCTTTGGGTGGGTTAGCTCAGGAGCGGAGGGGATAGAAGCGGGTTCCGGATCCCGGCTCAGACTTTACACCTAGATTTTTCTGTTTTCAAAGCGTTTCTGTCATTCAAAAACATTCAACAAATTGGCACGAGACAACAACAAGTTTGACACGTAGTGATAGATGGATCGTCTCCGCACTTCTTTGAGCTAACGTAGAAGGATGGTTGGTTCCGCCCCCAGATTGCTGCTTCGGATGGTGGTGCCGCTATTGCCGCTGTTGCACGGGCTCCAACAACTTGTCGTCCATAATCCAAGCGGACTGGCTGTCAGCAAAAATCTGGGGATATGTGGTCGAGTGACCACAGAGTGCGCTCCTGCTTCTCCGGTCGATACTTGGTTACTGTTGTTTCGGTTATTTTTAAACGCATGGTGCTATTTTTAAACTCCAACTGTATCCCCAGCATCAATCTTCCGTTTCAGGTCTCAAGATTCGCAGCCTCCCAGTTTTCTGGTCTCAGTCCCTGGCGTCGTCCAGCGCCATGATAGCGCCCGGTCACGGTGAGAACATTTCGTGGCTGTTGTTGCTCCAGAATTGATTGTGTTATTGTTTGTTCATCTTACAGCGAAGATTAGCAGGGGCAATCTGCTCCAGCGACTGCTCCCTGACTGGACTTCACCAAAAATGTGTTGTGCACTCGGACAGTGGGACAGTCGGACAGTGGGACAGCGGGACAGCGAGACAGCGATGGCGACGAGGGTGTTAGACTAAGACAACTACGACGATTCTGGATGGCGATAAGCTGGTGCTATTGTCGCCTTCATCCGCAAGAATTGCGGTCAATAGCTCAGCGATCCGTAGTCAAAAAAATATTAAGTTGTGCATGTTCATGTTCGTGAGTGTAATGTAATTTGATCTGGCTTTGGCTGGCCTGGTACGGGACCTAGCAGCCTCTTATCGGTGTCAAACACCTCTTGCTGATTTTATTTTAATAGGTGCATTCACTTGCCTTCCTCAATTCGAAACGGAACTCAAATAGAATCCCCATTGGCTTCATATTTCAATGCACTTCGATTGCAAATCCTATGTCCTATAGGGGGTTCAATGGTTCAAGCACTGCCTCATATATCGATATAGATGGATGGAGGCTATCGATGCAGTTACTGGATCGATCGTTATTTTATCGATGGGCATTGCTCGACGCATATCTATGAGGATTCCATTACGCTAGCAATCAATATTTACACCCTTCCTTTCCTATTCCTTTCCTGGCCTGGCTGTTAATTGCCCAGTTCTCAGGGAATTTTGCGAATTGCGGAGAAGCCAACTGCCAAGAACAGCGCAGTAATATTAATGGGGTTTAGATTCATGCAAATTCATGCAAATTAGCTGACAAAAAAGATTGGCAGTCATCAATCAGCCGTAAATTGTCTGGCAATAACAAAGGAAATACTGCGCGTAGACATTTTGCTGTTGCCCTAAAGACAACAACAACAACAACAACAACAACAACAACAACAACAAGAATAACAACTGCAGCGACAGCACGAAACATGCCGCATTGCCATTGCGCATTCTAAACGCTGGCTATAGGAACTTGTTAAAGCGCCAAGTGCAGGGACCCACCAGCCACCAGACACCAGCCACCAGTCAAATGGGCGGGAAGGAGATGGGATGGCCCTGACAGGTCATCCTAGATGTCGCTCTGGGGCAGGTGGCCCGGCCTGCCAGCCCTGCCAGCCCTGCCGGGCCGTTTGCATTGTTACCGCCTTCTATTTAACATGCACTTGTCTCGTCCCCTTTGTGTCGTATTAATATTGCAAGCCAGCCATGGCCAGTGGGCGGCTAGCACCTGTTGAGTGCCAGAGTCAGATGCATCAGATGTGCACCCCCATGGCCGCAGCTGGGCCTACGTGTGTGCTGTGGTCTATGGGTATGTGGGTATCTGTGGGCCAATTATGCACAGGATAATGAAAGCCTGTCCCCTGGGCCTGTTCGGGACTGAATCGTGGTTTACTTACAATCAGAAGAGTTATGCTGGGACTGGTCCAGAGGTGGATCGGACGACGACAGCGCGGGAGAACTCATTGAAACTAAATGGCCAGCATCGGCGGCTTCTCGGTTGACTTCAGTGTAGTTTCGCTGTTGCACGTGCCGTGTGCCGTGTGCCGTGTCCCGTGTCCGCGACAGTGTATGTGCGAGTCAGTATCTGTGTGTGTATGACAGGTGGTTACGAGTATATCAATGCACAATGCACAAACTTACATGGCTCTGTGCCACGCCGTGCTGTAACTGTGTCTGTGTCGGGCATCCCTCGGGCCACAAAAAACTTACCCTTGCATTTTTCGCTAGTTCACTGGCACGTGCCACGTGATGCGCCCGGCACGGATCGATCCTTAACTGCAGGTCACGGACGCTCGATACGGCACACGGATACGGATACGGATACGAATACGGAAACCTATGCGCTATTATGCACCAATACCTCCTCAAGTTCGAAAATCGAATTTGTTCGCGTAATTAATTGAAACTGTCCCTAATTTAGTTTGGACTGAACCCGAGCCGTGGAAAATTGGCCGCGGGCCGCCGTTTAACTTTTAACGGAAGAGCGTCACGCACGCAGGTACCGCAGGTACCGGCGACAGGATTAAACGCTGTGTTTTGGCCCGTCTTGGGACCAACACAAAACAAGAGAGTCAACAAAGCTCGACGTCCCGTTTTGAAATGCAGCGCCGACTACAAGCTTTCGAGCTTTTATAGTGTGCTTTTACACTGCAATGGCCCACTCTACCGCTCTGCCACTGCCTCCACTCCTCCTCTAGAAAAGTGCGCGCCTGAATCACGTGGAATGTGAACCTGAGGTTCACTGAAGAGCTTAACAAATTTGAGTATCGTCATCCATGGAGCCGCCTTGCGCTTCCTTGACAGTGTACCACATGTGTCGCTCTAACGTGAGGCAGTCTCTGATGCATACATACATACATATGTACATATGTATACATATGTATGCTTTTGGAGCTTGGGGCATTACGAAATCTGCATATGGCAACAGGTTGGGTAACCTCTGCCAACAAAGCGTGGCACCTGGGATTGACAGGAAAGCTGCGCCTCAACATTTCCTTCCCCTGCCAACAGAGGGGCAGCTGGTCTCTCTCCAGACATCTTGCAAAGCAAATAGTAACTGTAAAAAAAGAAAGAAACGCTAGCTTTAAGCCTAGCAATCCTGCAGATTTTTCGTTTTTATGTAGACACACCGCTGCTCAAGGGCGTACC